AGAAGAGACGTGCAGCGGGCTTGCCAGGGGATGAGAAGGTGTGGGGGGACGGCTGAGGCATGAGGCATGTGTGTGTGTGTCTTGGTGCATAATGCTCGGGAGGAATTGTGGCGGTGGTGGTCGCAGAACATACTCTATGCAGTCCCGATCCAGCCAGCCTCGTTCATGTATGTAATTAATCGTGACCGAAGGTATGTGGGGTCCTTGTGTTGTCATTCCTTGCAGGTGGGAGGGAATGCGGAAGCAGAGAACCACAAAAGCGTAGGGGGAGGGGGGGTGGTGCACTATTGTTCCGGCATGTGTCTGATTAATGCGCAGAAAATCATCTGAAGAGGGTTTTGATGCCCCCCCCAATGTACATGATATGTGTGTCAGAGAGAGATGAGATGAAAGATTCTTGCAGCAGTTTATTTTGGCGTGCCCTCTCTTCAGGGAACCCAACCCCACTGAAAACAGGATGCTACATACACAGAAGAAGAAACAAAACACACAACAAGGGGGCCACAGCCAGGTACTGTAGTGCATACAGTAGTAAGTAGTAGTACTATGTAAACTGATCGGCAGGGTCCCTGGCGGGGGAGGCTTTTCCTTCTTTCTCCACCACTATCCCAGACACCTCCAGGGCTGGGGGTCCAGATCTCTTGTGGCTTGTTTGGCTTTTGTCTCTTGTCCAGAGAATATTGCTACGGTACATTGGTGTGTAACATGTGTACTTATGTACTTGAGCAATCAAAAGATGGAGGGGGCGGGATGAACCACATAGTAGAGATAGGAAGCAGCTGTTCTGTGCAGTCCCCATAACTATCCATCCATCATCATGTATCCCTGTGGCCTGGTTCGCTTCTTTAGCGAACAACAAGGATCGTGGGCTCGGAACAGAACAGAACATTTCGGTCTTCCATAGTGGGTACAAGACTGGGACTGTATGTAAATAGCAGGAGGAGGAGGAAGGAAGGTAGTAAGATAGTGAAGCAGGGGTGGGCCTCGCCGAGCCTTGTTTCATGTCTTCTTGAAACGTAAGCACCCGAGCCCCGATGGATTCCGGGGTAAAATGGCAGGTTGAGGCAGCAGAGAGAGAGAGGGAGGAGATGTGCTAGGTATGGTTCTGTCTGTCTTTGTCTTGCCCTTGCCTTTTTCCAAGGGAAATGAATATACGTGGAATCTATAGTAGTGCCCATAACTGAGCGCAGAGATCTGAGCTCGCGCGGGTACCAACGGGCAGAGAATATCGCAATCAAGAGAGAGAGAGAGAGAGAGAGAGAGAGAGAGAGGGAAGACACCATCATGGCGAGATGAGTCTTTCATTTTGGTAGATCTCTAATACTGCGGGTAATTCCACCCAATAAATTACCACGAGTCAGGATCAGTTTGTGTACTTGGCCTACCACGGGATCCCTCCACCCTCAACGCCCCTCTCCTTTGAACGTGAACGTGCTTTTCATAATTTCGGAAGATTCTATATCGGAGGGGGAGCACAAACAAGAGAAAGAACACACGACGCAAGCTGGTCTGAGTGAGGTGGGAGATCACCGGCAGCTATCCAAACCATCTAGTAAATATAAAAATAAAAATAACAAGGTTTTGCCTAACGCATGTCCTTGGCACGTTTGTCGCGGCGACTACATATGGTGGAGGCAGTATACGCGTGCTGAACGGGCATGAAAATGTCGACATCACGGAACCATCTTATTGTTGCTCTCTCTCTCTCTCTCTTCAATCGTGCCACCGACGGCAGGGAATGGAAGTCAGGTCCGGCAGGGGCACGTCAAGTCACCTGCTTCTGTTTCGCCTTAAAGTCCCTCTCAGCCCAGGGCCTAGGATTCGTCGGTCAGTCTGGACGAGACCCTTCGGTATCGAATGTAGAGGAAGGAAACATTTGAATCAATCAAATCAGCCTCCTTTGACGGGGAACCCGTCCCGCCCCCTCGTCCTCCCCACCACAAGGAAATCCGCGGTCCGGTGGCGGCAGTGACGATCAGCGCCTGGGAATGGTTTTCTTTTTTGTCTCTACCGGCATGCCGGTACGGAGGATCGTGCTGTATGCGGTCTCGCCTGTTGAACAAGGAGGAAGGACCAAAAAAAAAAAGTGGGTGTGGGTCGGGGTCGCGCGTTGGAAAATGACAGACACAAAAGAGTAGAGGGTCGACTCTGAAACGTGCGCGCCGGGCAATCACTGCGGGCGCGCGCCTGGGCGGGGGGGGGGGGGTTTGCTTGTTTGCTTGCTGTTGGCTCCTCCTTGTGGCAGGCGACACGTCTTCTTACAAGTACTTTTTTTCTTCAAGGACAAAATCATTTTTTTTTATGCCACGTCCCCCTGTGATGTTGAGATTTCCTGCTCGGTGAACATGCTCAGCTTGGCAACTCTTGGGATGATCAGTCATGAGGGAACAACTAGACCGAGGTAAGAGGCCGAATTGACTTTACTATGGAATTGGCAAGTCTGGCGAGAGGCAGCATCTGACTGTCGGCTGGGTATGAACTTGTTTGTCAAGGTACAAGGCAGTATCACGTAGTACTCATGGACTACACGTCGACTTTGTTGTTGTTATTTTCAAAAAGGGTTTCATTTTTTTTCTTATTATTTCTATTCTACATCTTGAGGTACCGGGCCAGCCATTGTGGAATGTGAGATCTCAGATATGGATGGACATGGGCTTCAAAATCTCCGGCACTGCATCTAGCTGGACACACACACACAGGGTTGGCAGGCCTGGGTGCGCAGGCCAACACCACTCTATATGAAACCTTAAATGGAGACCGGAACGTTGGAAGAGGGGGTCGCAGCCCAGTCTTTTTTGGGGGGGGGGTGGTCCGATATCTTGCAGGATGCACGCGTAACGGGAGACGAAAAAGAGTCCTGTCTGGGAATAGTCTTGTGATCATCTCGTGTGTATGTGTATGTGTTGGTTAGCGAGAGAGCGAGTGAGATAGGGTTGTCCACTACTTTGCATCTGACCATGGACGTTTGAGAAGTATCGCTGGCGCTTGTGAGAATGTGGCAGAGAAATTGCATTATTGCAGAACGGTAACGCCGGATGAGTGAAGTGTTCTTTTTGACTTTGGGAAGGGGCTGCACCAAACGATAACCAACCCCTCTCACCCCCCCCCCTGAAGCTGGATGGGATACTTACAAGATTTCGGAGCCAAGGCTGGGCGCGAGGCTGGGAAAGCGCGAGGCGCCGCAAGGCTTGATGATGTAGCATCTGTTGGCCTAAAGTGAATGTTCCCTATATTACTACGTAATACTATATACTATGGGTAAGTATGTACTACAAGCAGTTATGATGAAGGTATTCAGTCGATCACCTTCTGGCTAAATTGGCCGCAAATCGAACAGACAAAGTCTACGGGGAGCCTGGTCTCGACTCGGTTAAGCCAGATGCTTGTGTAGGCAAACAGGCCTGGTGACCTCGATGGAAAACCCATCGCCAAGGTCACCAAGGCTGCACTAGCTCTAGATGGCCTGCTCTCTTTTTTCTGTTTTACTATTACACGAGATGTGGCGCCAGATCGACCAGCTAGTCGCATCGTACCTCATACACTATTTCCATAATATTTCCCATCGAGTCCGTGCGGTCATGAAGATTAAGGGAGCCAAGAAAAGAAAAAAGAGGGCAACCGTGTGGATTTAATAACCAGAGTTGGGATGTCTTTGTAAAATGCGGTGAAATTGCGCAGATCATATGTCCCTGTCTGAAAGACCGCATCTGCAAACTACGTATTTTGGACAAGAGAACATATTGGAGGGCAAGACGAATATACCACCTACCATTGGATGCCATTGGGAAATGAAACCCACGCAGTTTTCCCCTCTCAAAATGATGCAGTAATTCGAGGGGGGGTGCCTTGTGGATATGAGCGGGTAAAGTCCCCGACGTGATAACGATGACGGCAACCTGAGGAGTACAAACGGAAAACACCGACTCGAGTTGTATTATACAGAAATTCTGACAATAAAAGCCCAAGAGGAGCGCGATCTAGCATCGTGGGGGAGTACTTAGTGCCGCTGTTCGTCCGCCTGACTGATCGGCAGTGATTGTGATGTGATATGATGCGATGTGATGGATGCACTGGCACGACTCGTTATATGTAGCAAAAGTACAGTGTGGGTGGGCAAATGTGGTCTGCTTCTAGCTAGGTGCAGATTTCTTGCAGGAGGCAAACGTCAGGAGGGGAGGAGAGAGGGGGGGGGGGTGTTTAATTAATTGTAGGTTGCCCAACACACGACCAGCTGCTGTACGATACCACTAACTGGTATGCGAAATGCCAGTAGTGAGAATTAGCGAACGCTGATTGGAGTGGGTAAAATTGATCATAGGCATGGTCTGGCCCGCATAGCAATGTCCATAATTAAAGGACCAGAAAAGGTGATTATGTCGAGGGTTGACGATCACTCATCACAGGATTGCCCTATCCTCTGATGAGAATGGTCACAAAAAAGCAATTGTCTGTGAGATTGGAACTTTGCTGATAATTAAACCCAAGGTTTACCAAAAAGATTACCCAGGCCAGTAGCCAGGCCAGCATGGTCAGGCACCATAAACCAAGACCCCTTGGTGTGGCCAGGTAGTCCCTGTCCCGAGCCCACGCTGACTGTGTGCTGTAATCGTGCTGGAGTAGGTGGTAGGGTAGTAGGGCCTCAGCGCCCCAATAGCTACTTTAGCCCGCCCACACAGAGAAAAGGGGGGCCCTGCATTGTAGAGGTGGATGGGTGTGTAGCTCGGGCCCTGCAGAGGGGACCAGAACAGTGTGCACACAACCCTCTTTAGTCGTTGTTGCCCAGCAGGTCCAGGCGAGGTGGGGTGGGCCTTGCAGCACACCCTCTCCTCCTGAGTTCCAGGCTGTAGCTGCCAGGGCTCATGCCGGTCCCAGCGCCAAGTCCACTCTGGCCAACGCTGGCCATCTTATCCACTCCTGTCCTGGCCCCTCTTCCAACACCGCCGCCTCCTCAAACACACACACACACGCACCTCTGCATAGCCAGGTCCCCCGAAAATAACTAAAGATTCCACCTGCCACCTCACCTCACTTGCGCATGTGGTCCAACACACCTAACCCCTTCCCACCAGAGACGCTCGTACAACGAGCAACGAGACGACGGACAGAAGTGGACGGCACGTTCAACACCAGTGAACTCTGGGGGGAAGAAGACTCAATTCCTCTTCACACACTGACATCGACAGGACAGCGTCTGTGCCCTTCTCAACGGTCTGGACTTGGAGCTACAAGATCGCCGGGTCTGATCATTCTTTTTCCAGCGAGCCACGAGTCACTCCAGCTAGCCTCGTCGCCACCCCTGAACTGGACCTCTCAACCGCGTGGACCGCAACCGACTCTTGCCTTCCCCTGAAGGAATCTTTGACTTTCCTCCCAATAATTGTCCAACCAACGTCACCGCTTTGTTGCCCTCTCGTCCTCCAGACTGTTGCTGTTGTCGGGCAGGCTTCGAGGCCAGGTTCGACAATTCAATGTCGATGCGATTGTGTTGAAGCCCTCATCACTCCCGCCGAGGGACGCCGCCGTGTAGTCCCCTCCCATGAAATTCCGCCGTCAACTCCCTCCCTCTCCCTCTGCCAACACACACGATCGGCACGACTCCTGCTGGTCTTGATTATATTACAACTACGAACTTTTCTCCTCTTTCGCCACCCTGGCCAACAGGCGACCCGTCCTCTGCCGTAACAAGGAAGAAAAAGAACAAGAAAAATTATGGATGACTATCTGGATAGTCCCATGGAGGAGGATGTCTTCCCGTGCAAGGGATGCGGAGAGGTAAATTTGACAACCTCCCAGCCCAAGTGAAGCTTTGAGAGCAGCAGCATCACGATACTGTCTCTGGACTCAGAATATCTAACTCGAAACTTTCCCAAACCACTAGATCTTGGAGGAAGGAAAGGCCTTTGAACTTGGTATGTCCTGATCTGATTGGGCGTTGTCAATGCCCTGCTTTCTACCCCCTCGTTCTGTAACGGTCCGCTTCCTGAGGCTATCAAGGACTGCATCTTTTGTGGCTCTCCATCTGTCTCTTTCACGACCTTCCTTTGCGAGCTCTGATGTTGTTTTCATTTTCATTTTTTTTCTTTTCTTCCTTGAACGCCAAACTTTCACACAGACCAGTATGAGTTCAGAGCGCACAGCTGACAATGCCACAGCCGGCAACCGTTGGCATTTGAACTGCTTCCGTTGCAATACCTGCGGCACCCTCCTCGACTCCGATGCGAACCTCCTCCTACTTGGCGATGGCTCCCTCATATGCAATAACTGTACATATAGCTGCAACGCCTGCGGCAACAAGATCGAAGATTTGGCCATCTTGACGGGCGACCAGGCCTTTTGCGCCACATGCTTTCGTTGTCGGAATTGCAAGAGAAAGATTGAAAACCTGCGATATGCTAGGACCTCTCAGGGTATCTTTTGCATGAGCTGTCACGAGTCACTGATGGCAAGGCGGAGGAAAAAATCAAAAGCCGCTGCACAGGCGCGAACGCGAGACAAAGACTCCCCCATGGTCGAGAAGTCGTTGCCCGCCCTCCCTCCGAGTGCCATTCCCCCCAATGCATTCTCGGACGAGCGCGTCTCCCCCGACTCCGACACGCCCACAGAGCTCTCCCCCCGACCGACACGGCCGGCCCAGTCTAGGAAGGAATCAAGAGGTAGCGAACGCCCCGCCCGCTCGCCAGAGCGACACCCAGGACTTGTCAAGGACTCTGCGCTCAGCTCGCACGCCCCCAGCTATCGGAACAACAGGAACAGCAATATCTACGGCGGCCAGGCTGACTCGGTTGCTGCAGGTGCAGGCGGAGATCGTGACAGCTACAACTTTATCCCTATGGTTTTGGACCCCAGCCCCGCGCCCTCCGTTTCCTCTCCACGCTCGAACCTCGAGGCGGCGGAAGCGCGCAAGACGACCGCCGACAAGGACTATTTTGCGAGACAGGGCAACACGTCAGACAAGAAAGGCGAAGGCCGCGGCTCCCAGACATCCACCCCGCACATTGCGTTCCAGGAGAAAGCCATGCGCACCTCGTCCGACTACGAGACTTCGACCCCCAAGGAGCCGTCGCGGAAGGCGTCCAAGTCATCCAAATCTGACAAGAGTGTCATGTCACAGACCTCTCACGAGGAAAAGCCCAATAGGCAGGCAAACGGGAAGCCCGACGACTTCAAGCTGCAGGACGCACCCAAGAGTAAGAAGCTCACAGCCAACAAATCCCCCACCCATCCCGGCAGCCTCGACGAGGAGGACGGCTCTCCCATAGCCGCAGCTTCCGATGAATCTCCAAGGAAGGACAACACGACTGCCAAGCGTGACTTGTTTCCACGGACTAGCCCTGCAGAGCTATCAGGCTCACCAGCTGTTGGCGGCGATACTACTCGCGAGAGGGCCCCTGACACTTATCAGCCGTCCGACACGACAACGAGCATGAGCAGAGCGGGCGATGCAGAGAACCCTAGGCCAATACCCAGGAAGGAGCTTCCTGCGTCGGCCGCCGCTCGCGGTGGTACGTCCACAAATACGGCCCTGTCGACTCGTACTGACGCGCACATGATGGCAGTGAATGGCAAGACCCCGAAGGAGGGGGAGTTCTCCCCGCCGCCGCGACCACAGATCGAACAGAAGATGAGCGACACGTACATGTCGCCCCGTGCACCCCCTCATCCCCCGGGACCTGCTGCGAAGGAGACCCCTACCAGCGCAAAGAATGGCGCCCAAGGGTCCCCGAACAAGACATCACCAAAGCTTCCTAGGTGGAGTTCTGGTGGTGACTTCACCATGGACGAGGACATGGCTCGAATTCTGGGAACCGACGAAGGGTCCTCTTCCATCCTCCGACGTGTGTCGAATGCCGTTAGGCACGGCCGTACTGCGAGCGCTGAATCAACGCCGCAGGGACGTGGTGGCCACAACAGGAGTATGAGTGAGACGACCCGCGGCACTACGTCCCCACGATGGCCAAAGACTCCAGTTGTAACGGACCCGAATGGCGACGCAAAAGACATAAGTAGTCCGATTTCTATGCAGAGCGCGACAGGGGATGATCCTGCGTTTCTCAAGCGACAGCTGCGCAACTCAGAGCAGCGCGTTGCGGAGCTCGAGAGGCAGTTCAACTCAGAAAAGGATCTATTGACTCTTAATGAAAGGCTGATAGAAAAGAGGAAGACTGTCTCCGTTCTGGACTCGCAGACGGAGATCATGATCCGCCAACTGGAGGTACTGGCTGGGTATGTGGAGAGGGCTAAGGACACGAAGCAACCCATCGACCCCCGCGTTCTCGAGGATTCCGCCATCAAGGAGTTCGTCCAGAAGCTTGACCGGGTCAAGCAGAGCATGACAAACACGATCGAGCAGCTGCACGCCGAGCGAGATCTTTTGATCGACGAGAAAAACCAGGCCATGGCCGATCGGGACCGCGCGCTGCTTGAGTTCGAGCAGCTCTCGTCCAAGAACGCCCAGCTTGCCGACATGAACAACGACCTGACACATCAGATTCAAGGACGCTTCCGGTCGCAGGCGACGTCTGACGGCAAGCCCAATGGCCTGGGCATCTACGCGAACCACAAGGCCACGTCGAGCACCTCTGTGCACAACATTGACGCCTCCAGCATCCAGACTGGCGCTACTACTATGGTGGGCACGGACATGGACGAGCCTATCCTGGAGGGCCCGACGGTCGTGCAGGTCAGGAAGGGCCAGGCCAAGAAGTTCAACTGGAAGAGGGGAGGAAAGACAGTAGCACAGAATATCACCAAGGTCGGTCGAGCGGTAGCTGCATTCCAAACCAACGAGCGCGACCCACGAGCCCAGCTGCAGCCCGGTGGCCTGACGAGCGACAACATCGGGCTCCCCTATAACATGACTATGGCCAACATGGAAGCACCATCGACAACGCTGACCAACGGACAGCAGAACCGCGGCGCACCGAACGATGCTCGCTCTTTTGGTTTCTTTGGCAAGACCAAGCAGCCGATGCAGAACATGCCAAAGTCCATCTCAACCGCCAATCTTGGGATACCGACAGCTACGGTGGACGCCTCCACCACATTGTTTGGATCTGAGCTCGTCGAGAGGGCCGAGCATGAACGACGCCAGATCCCCAGCGTGGTGACCCGCTGCATAGAGGAGGTCGAGCTTCGGGGCATGGACTCGGAAGGCATCTACCGCAAATCAGGGGGCAACTCCCAGGTCAAGATGATACAAGAGGGATTCGAGAAGATGGAGGATTTCGACATCTCCGATCCCAGCATCGACATTGCATCTGTGACCAGCGTGCTTAAGCAGTATTTCCGCAAGCTCCCGACACCGCTGCTCACCTTTGATGTCTATGATCGGATCCTGGAGTCCAACGGTGAGTCTATTTCACCCACACCTCTACGCTCAGCAAGGTCATCTACCAGAACGAGCACTGACAAGAATCTAGGCTGTGTTGACGCCGATGAGCGCTGTTCTCATCTCCGCAAGACGGTCAACATGCTTCCGCAGAAGCACCGTGATTGTCTCGAGTTCCTCATGTTCCACTTGGCCCGGGTTGCCCAGCGGGAGCCGGAGAACCTGGTACGTTCATCCACCTTCATTTGTCTCTTTTCCATATTGTAGCTGACCACCTGCCGTCAGATGTCGCCCAAGAATCTTGCTGTGGTGTTTGCCCCCAGTATTATGCGAGACCACAGCCTAGAGAGAGAGATGACAGATATGCATGCGAAGAACCTCGCCGTGCAGTTTATGATCGAGCAGAGCAACGAGATTTTCGCTTCGGAATAAGTGAGACCAAGGCGAGTGTCAGGGCAACTGACGGCAATATCATCTTAGGCGACAAGGAGAGGCAAGGACGCCTCAAGCATGACGATCAAGGGGATTGGAATTGGAATGGGATGACCATTGGTGGACGGAGATACTAGGGATACCACGGAGCGAATGACTGACTGGCTGATATCTCATACCTGACTGAGCCTTTGGACTGACGGCTCAGAGTCCTTGTTTGTATATATTCACTTCATTTGGTGTTGGAGTCTCTTCTGGGACGAGCATGAGCGAGCGAAGGCAGGCATCGTGTTTTTCATTCTTTCCCTTGAGGGCGCGAGGCGCGGTCGACTTCCTTCCCCCCCCCCCCCCTCCTTTTTGACACGGATGACCTCGACGCGTACACACATATGCGCGCCCGCCCGCGCCGAGACTCCCCAAATGTACGACCGACAATTTATGTGGCTGGCTATGCGGTGGAGACAGGACAAGATGAAGAAAAGATACCGATATACCTGAGTGAAGAATAGAGCATTGAGTGCGACACTACGACGGAGTTTGTCTACCTTCTGCTACTTGCTGCTGCTGTGAATGTCACTATTACGCATTCCAAACCAACGAAAGGAATATGCAAGTATCTAACATGGTTATCAGCTTTGCACTACGGTAGTGTACCATGGAATAAGAATTAGGGGCCCACGTACACACAGTAGTGCGTAGCAGTAGTGTGTAGTACTGCGTAGCTACCCCCTGAGGCTGTTCTACAGTAGGTGCTTATCGATAAAGGGGGGTGTTGGTGAGTGACGTGTGCGGACCTCGGCCGCAACCCTTGAGTGACCACTATGGGTGATTAGACCTGGACCCCAATTGCAGGGCCAAGAGCTCAGCTGTCAACTGCACCAGAAATCTGTCGAATCGATCTTTTTTTGAGCCTTCTTTCCTTTTCTGACCGTCCACACTCCCTTACACCACATAAGTGACAGACTTAGGCGACGAGAGAATCCAGTTTCGGGCTTGCGAAGCTGCACCAATGTCAATGCCTCGTCGATCCGACGCGCCATAGCCAACCTCATCTGCCGCCCCCCTCTGCTCAACGCCATGTGGCTCGATCGTCTCGGGCACAATGCTCCCCCATCCGGCTTCGACTCCCGCCCGATCTCTCCTCTCCCCAGACGTATCTCCGGTCGAGGGTCCCCTTACATCACCGCATCATCGTCACAGCAGCGCTCCGCAAGGGCCTCGACGGTGTCGCTCGTCTCGTCGAGCGATGGCACGGGCTCGACCACGTCCCTGCTGAGGGGCCGGGCCAACGGCTCTACAGGCGCAGGCGTTGCGCCGGCGGGCTCGAGCCTGCGGCAGAGCCATACTGTGGTGGTCGATGACGGGCGGGAGAGCCTGGATGTGCTGGGCAAGATATTGGGCGAGGAGGCCGTCGCGAATGGTGGGAGCGGGAGTGTCAGCCCGTTGTCACGAGGGGCAGAGGGCGTAGGCATACGAGAGGAGGACCTTGATCTTGAGGTCGACTTCGGCGGGCTCTCGCTGAGGGAATACCTTGCGCGGGATGAGGTCAGCGGCGATGAGGGGGTATATAGATCACAGACAGTTGAGGAATGTATGTGGTTTTCTCTTCCTTTACTTTCTTGTCCCTGCCCTTTCTTTCCCCTGGAACACATTATTTCTACAAGCATGCACACAGGCACAATCTCTCTCTCTCTCTCTCCCCCCCCCCCCCCCCCTCTTCTCTCTTTGCGATAAGTCTATATCTATGCGCAGACAGGAAGCTAACGGCGATATTGTCCTGTACCAAAACAGACGAGCACGACAAGACCAAATTTGAGGACTTACACCGCTCGATCCGCGCCTGCGACGATGTCTTGACCTCCGTAGAGACGAACCTGACCTCCTTCCGCAACGACCTAGCTGCTGTGTCGGCCGACATCGAGACGCTGCAGGCGCGGTCGCAGGCGCTCAACGTACGTCTCGAGAACCGGCAGGCCCTCGAGAAGGGGCTGGGCCCTGTCGTGGAGGAGCTCAGTGTGGGCCCCCACGTTGTGTCCAAGATCGCCGAGGGCCATGTCGATGAGGCTTGGATCAAGGTCCTGGCCGAGCTAGATCGACGGTCCGAGGCGTACAAGAAGACGATGCAGGGGCAGGGGCAGAGCAGGGCCCTGGCGGATTTGGGGCCATTGCTGGAGAAGTTGACATTGAAGGTATGTTGAAAATTCCAATACTGCCTCCTTCTGTTCTTTTTAAGCCAGGTTTACTGACGAGAAACCCAACAATCAGGCTATTGAGAGGATAAGGGATCACCTCGTGGCACAGATCAAAGCCCTGAGGTCACCACATATCAACGCGCAGATCATCCAGCAGCAGAACTTTCTCAAGTTCAAAGACCTCTACACCTTTCTACACAAGCATCATGCCGCCCTCGCCGACGAGATCTGTCAGGCATACAGGAACACGATGCGCTGGTACTACCTCAACCAGTTCACCCGGTACCAGAAGGCGCTGGAAAAGCTCAAGCTGCACACGATTGACAGAACCGACGTGCTGGGCCACGAAGACTCATCCCGCAAGGCCACGGTGCTGAGCGGCACCTCCAAGCTCGGCGGCGCGCCGCACGATGCGTTCAGCCTGGGAAGACGTATCGACCTGCTCAAGACGGCCAGCCAGGCGGCCATCAGCTCCTACCTGGCCGAGGAGGACCAGTCGACACACTACCTCGAGGTCCCCTTCCGGAACTTCAACCTCGCGCTCGTCGACAACGCGACTGCCGAGTACACCTTCCTCGCGTCCTTCTTCGCGCCGGCGCTCAGCATGTCCACGATCGGAAAGCACTTTGCCCACATCTTCGAGCCGACTTTCGCGCTGGGCCACGCCCTGACTCGACAGCTCGTCAGCGAGACGTACGACAGCCTCGGCCTGCTGCTGTGCATCCGGCTGAACCAGCACCTCGCCTTCGAGCTGCAGCGCAGGCGCGTGCCGGCCATGGACGGCTACGTCAACGGCACGTCCATGATGCTGTGGCCCAGGCTGCAGAGCGTCATGGACGCCCACTGCGAGAGCGTGCGCGCCCTCACCTCGTCCCTGCCCTCGCGGCCCGTCCCCGCCGCCACCGCAAAGACCACCTCGGCCGCCCCGCACGTCGTCACCCAGCGCTTCGGCCAGCTCGTCTGCGGCATCCTGGCGCTGTCGCTCGAGGCCGGCGACGACGAGCCCGTGGTCACGAGCCTCGGCCGCCTGCGGAGCGAGATGGAGGCCTTCTTGACCAGGTACAGCCAGGCCTACTTCGGCGCCGACACCAGAGGCAAGAAGAGGGAGCGGTTCTTGTATAATAACTACTCGCTTATATTGACTATTATCGGGGACGTGGGTGAGCAAGGGGGGAAATTGGCTGGGAAACAGGTGGAGCACTTTGAAGGGTTGAAGAAGGCATATCAGGACGGTGCTTGAGATGAGAGAAGAGGTTGGTAAGGGGAAAGGGGGAGGATGTTGGATTGGGCTTGTCTGTGAGGAACTCATAGAATGGGTAGAGAGGCCGGTTTTTCATGAGAGGGGGCCGGGGGAGGAGGGGGGGGGGGGGAGAGAGAGAGTGAGTGTGCTCTTGGTGAGCATAGGTTGGGAAAAGGTTGTATATCTAGCTTGTCTTCCTTATAATAGACTGTCTTGAAAGTTTTTGAAAGATGATGGGTAATGTGGGAAGAAGGAGGATATGGAAAGAAGAAAAGTCCCATTGGATGAGCTCGATTATACCCACACAACAGTTCAATCAATACATACTTGTGTATTAGGTGAGAATAGTGTATACATGGATGAATACCAAAAAGTCTCACAAATACACGCTTGCTTGCTCGACCCATACAGAGACAGCAATAACTCCTGTTGGCCTTCCTTGCACTCACTTTTTGTTCTACAGTACAGACATACTAATCTACTTCCCTTCCCCCATTCCACTTTCTTCTGCTAGTTGAACTTTGCAGCCCTTCAACTCTCACTCAACATTTATGTCTGATTGCAAATCATTCTACCCAACAACCATCCCATCCAGCCGCATCGCGAACCCCAAACACCGCCTCAAGCCAGCCCTCCACGCCCGTAACCACAACGCCGCAAAATGCAAGGCCTGAACCAGACCGGTGAGTCTTCTCTAGAACTCCCGGTACCACCACTTCGAGAACACGGCGCGCAGGACTGTCGCCGGCCGCGCCAAGACGCCGCTGCCACCGCTGAAGCCCGCCAACGACGATGATACCAGTGGAGAGCGCCGCATCCAGTACGCCAGCACACCAAACAGGACCGCGAAGCCGACCATGCCCGCGGGCCGGCTGTAGGCCCAGAGAGCCTTGACCACCTGGGCCCTGCGCTCGCGCCTCTCGAGATCGCGCACGTGCTGGGTGAAATAGTACTCGCCGACAGCCTCGCTCTGGCCTGCGCAGTCGGCGGTGCTCCGGGCCGTCTTGAGGGCGCTGAACTCGCTGATGCCGCGCCTCCACGCGGCGCCGAGGGTCTCGGGCGGGTAGCGTGCGCACAGCTCCGAGGTGGCGGTGATGAGGGCCTCCAAGTCGAGGGGCTGGGGCAGCTTGCTGAGGATGGAGTGGAGCATCTCGGGCTCGGTCGGGGGTGTCTCGAAGAGCTCGGTGCGGCGGTTCAGAACGATCTGGGCAAACATGTAGACGCTGAAGATGGGCTCGCGCGCCAGCAGGACGTCGAAGAGGCGGGCGATCTCGCCTAGCGATTGTATGTCGTGGGCATACATGGTGAGCGTGCCGGACAGGGCGAAGAAGGGTTCCGTCTGGGAGAGGTGCGCACAGAGCTTGGGGTCCGCGGCGTTCAGAATGGACGGAATGAGGCGGAGCTGGGCTAGCGCTGCGGTGAGATTGGGGAGCATAAAGTCCCTGATGCGAAGGGTTGAGAGGCGAGTTACCGCTGGCGCGCGCAGGGCCGGCGGGAGAACGAGGAGGAATACCTGGGCTATGTCGTGGTAGCCTTGAAAGTAGCAAAGGTAAGGATGTCGGCGGAGTACAGAGAGAATGACGTTAGAGAGATGTGCCTTTTGTCGATTGCGTTCGTCGTCGGTTCGATCTGATAGAATTTGTCAGTGATAAAGTGTCAAAAGTCATGGCACGGCTGGTCTGCTCACAATGAGGGTAATAGACGAAGGCCCTGTCCACATCGAGTCTGACCTGGTCTTCATCCTTGTGAGGAGGCAAGTGTTTCCATGAGAGGTCTTCCTGGCTGAGGTACGCCTCATGAGCCTTCTCATCTCCATCGGTTCGTGTTCTTATGGGCAGGCCCAACAAGATAGGCCCTGAGAGATTGTTTAGCAACCACGATGGCTTCATATCTACGATTAAAAGATATGATATTATCATGAGAGCAACTCACATGCCTCTTGTCGCAAATCATCCGTTATAAAACCTCCAGGTAACTCAGCCAGTGCCTGGAGCTCGGAGATATCTCTTCGCCCGCAGGCGTCCAGAATCAACGCCTCCTTTGGTGAAGTTTCCCGCGTCTGAGGGCTGTCCTCGGTGACCGTGCCATCTGCTGCGGGACTCGAAGTGTCTGTGGCATCAATACCGTTCTTCTCATCCAGGACATCGTTCCTTTCCAGGGAAGGCGGTCTATCTGCCTCAGCCATATCTCTCTGATGGTCACCAACTTCTCCTCAGTCTCCTTGGATCAATGGGCCCAGAGAGCGGCCACTGCTCCTACCGACGGTGACGAGTCTACCTCGACAAAATAGACCACCTACGGCTAGCAGCTTCACTTGGTCTTGCTGAAGCGGCCTTTCAGCAGCACACGACACAGATTGGTACTTTTGAGACTCCCTCCGAAGGATGACCTGGATGTATCAGGTGTGCTGATACCAACGTGTGTTGGAGCAAGTGGCTTCGTTCAAATATGACACTAGATGCTGTGTGTGTCCGCTGGAGTATTTGGAATCTCGGAAGTCTCTTTTGTGCGCGACGATATGCAGTAGAACTTCTGATGTGTTCCTTTTCTCCGATGTTGAAATCGCATGTTGTTTGTTGTATTTTTCTGGTTTGGAGTTGACGACTTGAAGCTAGGCTACAGACCGGGATGACGTGCGCCACAGCAGGGTCCAAGGGGCCCCTGTTCCAGCGGGAAAGACCCGCTGTAGCGGATCTCGCTGCAACTCTCAACAGGGGTCAACTCTCTACCCTGGCATGTTCGTGTGATCGTTTCTGCCAAGCACTTGCTGGTACGTCGTTGCTTCTACCGGTGCGGGTACAGTGTGTCTGGGGTAGTAGTGACTTACATTATATCCATCTCGAGAACCAATGATGCTCCCGACTATAGGGTCAATCTAGGTTTCCAAGCCCCCAAGACGCTCGCAAGCTTTGACAAAATACAGCTGCCACAAATTTAAATCTTGAATTACATGACCATCATCAGTCAGAACTTAGAAAATAAGTCAATCACCCCTACTTTCTTCACATTCTCTTGCATGCATTTGGGTTTGAAGGTGGTTGATATCGAAAGACCAGCACCAATCCATGCCCTTACTCAACTCGGACCCGCTCCGTTGCCATAGAATTCTCGTTCAATGTGACAAATGATACTTCAGTGATACAGAGAATCCGAGGAAGAGCAAGCCATGACTACTTTGATATTTGAAATTCAGTAATGTTTCCCCGCCTCTCCAGCCCTGAGGAGAAATCCGGGTTGGTATATCCAGCCGCCGTAAGCGCAGGAGTTGTTTTCTTTTCTTTTCCCTCGGCGACAGCGGCAAGCTGCAGAGAATTTGTTGGGGCTATTGCCTGGCCGGCGACGGAACAAGGAGGGGAACGGGAAATAAATCTACTTTCATTGGGCACTGACTGAGCGTCCAATTCTCGAGAATGTTGCGGGTTTGACGAAGATGATGACGACCAAGAATCTGTGGACATCATGTCCCCTCCCCCCCGGGATCCCCCCATCCCTCTTCCCGTGGCCTCTAAACATGGAGCGAGGTCAACGATATGCCAGGAATGAGGACTCTTCTTCATTAACGTGATTGAAACCCTAGTTGTTCTGTTTGGTGACAACACATCGATATAAGATGACAGCTATAGCCAGGGTCTGCATGATGCATGCTCTTTGAAGCCTCGAATATCTTCACGAACCCTTCCTCCTCCTCCCCACCTCCTTTCCTTCCCCCTCTTTTTTCCACCGGCCGGCCCATCAGGCGTGGGGGGCATGGGGTTGATGCCCAGATCACGAAGACAAGCAGCTGCCAGTGGTATTCTACCACACACGATCCGACATCACTAGGCAGTGCATGAGTGCATGATGGCCCCATTCTTTAAAGTCGACTGCATGAATTACGACCTCCGGTCCCGACCCAGCACCGAACCGTGGCTGGCTGTGGAAGGGGTTGGGAACCCTCAACCGAGGGCGCACCACAGCCTCGCTTTTTCTCACACTCGGTCCTCGTCTGCGTATTGGGTAGATTGCACATACGAGCTGATGAAGGAGGAAATAAGCGATATGCCAGCCTTCGGCTCCATTCCAAGTACTAGTGAGTTCCCAAGTATTAGTAAGTTAGGCGTGGGGATGACCGTGCAGATTACTTAAACAGTAAAGTACATACTTCCATATGTACATGCAAACAGTGCACAGTCAAAGACAACAGCCCTCCTAGCTCACCTTACCCAATTGCCCGCCGGGGGAGGCAAAGAGACCAGGTGCATAGAACTATGACGAGAGAAAGGAAAAATTGAGCTGATCATGGCTGGCTGGGTTCACAACAGGTTTATGCAGAGATGGCTTTGCCCAACTCCTCCCCCTCCATCCCTCCTTGGCAAAAAGGCGCCTAATGATGCAGATGCAGGAGGGGGGGGTGACAGGTGGCACGGCACAGAAAGAAAAGGAAGCAGAAAAGAAAAGAAAGTCCCTCGTCAGGATGCAGTCTGCGTATGTTGCTGGAAAATTCCCAAGGCGTTGTCGTCGTATAAAGGAGGGGGACGGGCGTCAGAGGTTCGTGATTGGCAGCCTCGGACACTGGGACTCGAGAGGTGACGCGAGCAAACACTTGGCTCGAGAGAGTTTTTGAGTACGCATTATTCCTTGTTCTTTCTCTTCTTCCTTCCTTTCTAGTCGTGTTAGAGATCCCGAGAGGCATGTGTGTATGTTTAGGGTGGCGCGCGGGTGTCAGGAGATCCAAGTATTGAGAGACATGTCATCCGATTCAGAGACACACTATAATGCAGTGGTACTCTGGGTTACAGGCGTGCTACCACGCTGCCACGCTATAACTCAGGTAAGCATGGCGCTGTCTGGTACCTGACAGGTCGAGCCTGTGGGCGCTGACACCGCCCGTTACACCGGTATCAGCGCCAGCACTGCAGTGAGCAGGGGTTTGACACCTCTGAAGAGAGGGGCAAAAAAAAAAAAAAAAAAAAAAAAAAAAAAAGGCAGGAGCGGCGGGCTGGCTACACCCTGCACTGCTGCCCAGCTGCCCGTCTGCAAAGCTGCCCTGCCCGTTTTGTCGTGGTTGCAGAACCACTTCTTAGTGCCTATCTTGTTCCTGCACCAGCACTCTATGTTGTGGTTTCTCTCTTGTACCTAATATTACTTTCTGGAAGCAGGTACGATGGTCATTTTTACCGTAACAACATTCTCCAGCTTCAACTGCTCGGCTCAATATTCCAGGCTGATCAAGACGCAGCTGCTGGATTTATTTCCCCCTCCTTGAGTCGGCACAAAGTTCATGCGACATCATATGCCCACCTACATTCTTCGCGCTGTTGCAGATGGGGTAAAAGAAGCTACCCTCACTTCTTGTTGGACCCTCTCCTCCTCCTTCTTCTCCTCCTTCTTCTTCTCCTCCTCCTCCTCCTCCTCTCTCTCTCTCTCTCTACTACTCCTCTCTCTACCCCTCCTCTTGGTCCTCTCTAAATCCCTCATTCTTGCCAGGGGCATACTAGCATAGAGAGAGTCATTATGGCTTTCCAGTCTCACGTTCTGGAAAATGGCCAGTGGGTCACCAGGGATAGCAACCTGGTCGACCTCCTCAACAAGACGAGCACCACCAGAGGGTCCCCAAGACAAGTTCGACGTGCACCGCGTTGTGGTATTATGACAAGAACTGTCGTCCAGAGCCCGGTGGCACACTGGGTCCTGTCTGTTCGGCTGCGATCTTCCCAGCACAACGATGTGGCCTTTGTAGGAGTGAGCACACCCACCCGCGTCTCTAAAGCATGCATGCATGCCTGCCAGACTGTGGCTGATGTGTGACTGACTTACCTTCTCTCATAGGACCACTACGTGCAGATAGCAGAGCTCAGACGAGACGGCCAGCTGCACAACATCAGCAGGAAGTGTGATTTTGGCTCACGTATTCGAAATGCCAATGTCATCGGCTCCAGTCCCGTTGTGGTCAACGGCGAGAAGTACGCCACGGCTGGCTTTCACCCAGATGCTGCCGACGACGACCTGGGCGACATCGAGCCCTACCTCTCCTCGCCCACCTCACCAGCACTAGGCGCATCAACGCTGCCACCCCAGCTGCTCCTGGTCGTGCTGGAGACGGGCGACTGCGTCTTCCTTTTTCTTCGCCCGGGGGATGAGCCTGGGTCCTTCGACTTTGTTGCTTTGCAGGAGCATGTCCACAGTTCACGCCTCGTCCGGCCGGGCTTCCACCTGGCCGTAGATCCTAGCTCGAGATTTGCTGTCCAGGCCTGCGCCAGGAACATGTTCATCGTTCATGAGCTGAACTCAGTACGTCGTCTGAACGACTCTTATACGAGGGGTTTGCCCCTGAAACCTATCCTGTCCTCTCGCCCAAGGACCGTCAACGGTGTCATACATGCGGTCGAGTTTCTCTACCCTCGGTCCCAGGATCCTCAACACATTATCCTATTGCTTATCGTGGTGAAGGATGGCGTCTCCCGTATGATCACCTACGACTGGATGCTGGGGGATGACCTGAGGGAGGTATTTGCTCGGGAAAAGAACGGCCACGCTCTCCCTCCACAGCACGAGATGCCTCTGATGATCATACCGCTCACTGTTCGGTCTGCCTTCTTCGCGGTATCGGAGGGTGAGGTTGCCTACTGTGCGGATGCCCTCCAGGGCTCTCCCTCGTTCGAACCCTGTGACATCAATCGCTTTCCCCCTTCTGAGTTTTACACAGCAGATGACCCACCGCTCTGGACCGCATGGTCTCGCCCTCCACGGCTATACCCATACCATCGAGACAGAGATTTCATCTACATGGCAAGAGAAGATGGCGTTGTGATCTACCTAGAATGTGACTCGGATGATATACTAGGTGCCTCTTTTTACCATGGAACTTTCTGTAGCGTGTCGACGGCATTCGCAAGTCTTGCCGATGAGTTCCATGACGGCGAGGCGTTGGTCAATGGCGAGACTCTGGTGTTTGGGGGAGATTCTGGACAGGGAGGGGTTTGGAGGGCAAGTTCTCCAGCGAAGATGTCACCACAACTTGAACAGATCGTTAACAATTGCCAGGCATCCCCTCGGAAAGTCATCACCAAGCTGTGCCGTATCCCGAACTGGGCGCCTGCTGTTGACTTCGTCACCACAGCAGAGTCGAGCCGCTGGGACAGCAGCGATGGTGTTGGCGGCACGTCCATTCGAGGTCAGAGGCAGGACGGGCAGGACAGGTCTTCTCTCGAAGGCATTGCGGACTCCGTATACGCTGCCGCAGGGAGAGCCAAAGATAGCTCGATCGTGGAATTCCGCTACGGTCTGCAGGCCAACATTGGTATAGAACTCGATCTCGGCACTCTCATCAGGCGGTGCTTCATGTTCCAGGACAACGCCTTAGATCTTGACTCCGGTTATCATCTCCTCTTATCAGTGGCTGGCAGGTCTGCTCTGCTTTCGTTTGACTCGAGATTTACCGCCACATCTGTACGTGATGTGGATCAGGACCAGGTCTTCTTTGATCTGTCCTCGCCCACACTCTTGGCAGCTCGTGTGGACGACGAGACCATCCTTCAGGTTACAGAGAAAGGTGTCATATTTGTGAATCGCTTCAGGAGGCAAGTCTGAATTCGCGTCTCTGTCCACTCGTCTGTGCTGCTTGTCTAAACTAATGAAAAATAAAATAGCTCTCGGTTTCTGTTCCCGTCACTGGGCCTTGGCAATGCGAATGTCTCAGACGCCACCCTGGAAGGAGATGTTCTGGCTGTCATTTCGCATACAGGCAGCAGCTTCCAGCTCCATACTATCAAGTTGAATGCTCGAGATCTTCAAGCCCAACATCATTACACCACAGATTTTCCCGAGGCTGAGGTCACGTCCTTCTCGTTGTGTACGCTCTCAGGCCAGATATATGCCGCCGCCTGTTTGTGCTTGGATAAAGCCGTCCACCTGGAATTTTACAGCATCACAGGCCAAAAACGCATTGGAACCGTTTCCTTGGAAGAGTGTGAGTGTTTGGCACATGTCGTAATGATGCCTGTTTCAATGACTGACTGATATCGGGCCGTGTTGCACAGTTGCCACTGAACCTCCCACAAGCCTTGTGTTCGTCTTCGAAAAGACTGCCGGGAAAGCCGTCTTGGTTGCTGGCAGCCGCGACGGTCTTGTCGCAACGGTCGGCATCTCTACTTTCGAGCCTTTGCAGACAGGAGCCGTATCTCTCTCTCGGATGGGTTCCATGCCTGTTCACGTCTATTCAGGCCGCAAAGCCGGCGAGGTTTTCCTCTGTTGTGATTCACGCCTCGTGCTGGCCAGCAACTTTCTTGAGGGTCACGGCTTCACACTGAAGCAAAGCGTTTGGACAGTTGATGCAGAAGACAGCAGCAAGCCATCTCCGGCGATTACATCCGTGACAGTCCTACCGAACAGCTTGTCTGGGAACGAAGCCAATACCCCGCTCCTCCTCCTTGCGACTGATCACGTCTTGCTAGCCGAGCTACAATCTCAGGCGGGTCCTGTCCAGCGTCATCTGCCATTAGGGTCAACGCCTCACAAAGTCTTATACTCCCACGTCCTAAAGTGTCTCGTTGTTGGCACTCAGACGATCCGTGAACAGACGACTTTGATGTTCATCGATCCCGAAACCGGGCAAGATTTGGGGGTTTCGGCAAATGGCCAGACGAAACATGAAGTTCCATTCATCTCTGGCCTGGGAGTGTCGGGAGACAGAATCCTTAGTCTTGAAGAATGGCATGTCAGATCAGACTATGGGCACGACCATTACTACCTCCTCGTCTCCACACGCGGGCACCAAAATGGAGGCAAGATTATCATAGTGTCAGCCGTCCAAGAGAAACCGGAACCCGGACAGAAGCGAGGCAAGATCCGCTTCTGGACACGGTACAAGCTCAAACGGTCAGAAGGAGATCCTCCTGGGCCTATTTCTGCGGTCACCACGAGTGGTCACAAAATTCAGTCGAGCATGGGAGCATTGATCCTCTATCACGAACTCGACGAGGGACAGAAAAAGATCACACAAGCGCCGAGCCAGGAAATTGGCGGGCCTGCATGGAAATTGTCCATACTGCCTGGTGGGTCGCGAACACTGGCCTTGATCAAAGGCGATTCGTTGCGTGTTCTGGAGAAGAATGATGATGATCAGGAGCCCACGATGACCCACATGGACGGGACCACACGATCAGTTATGGACATGCTCGAAGTGGCGGGTGCCTGGGACGAGGCGCTGTCCACACCGATCGTATCCGACCCGCCACAGTCCATCGTACTGGTCTCGGACCAGAACTGCAACGTGACAGGCCTCTGGATCCCCTGGGACAACCCGGGTCAAGACTGCGAGGTTCTCTTCGAGACAGACCTACCCTCATCTGTGCGCCGGCTTCGTCTTGGGCGCGTACTACCCACGTGGTCGCGTGAGAGGCGTAGGGAGAGGAAATTCGGTCTGTTACCGGCCTCGGTCGACGGTTCCGAAATTCTCGGGATGGGTATCGACGGTTCCATGCAACACTTCACGCTGTTAGATCTCAGTGTATGGAGGCTCCTGCGTTTTGTGCAAAACATCTCCGAGACCTCACCCGAGCTGTATCCGTTCACGTATTTGCCTCTGGAGGACATGGGCATGGATGAGGACGATACGGACGCCTTCGACCCAACGCCTGTGGTGGACCGAGGTCTGGAGATGCAGGTCGATGGGGACCTGATGCAGCGCTGTCTGGAGAAGCGGGCACTCGAAGGACTGATGACAAAGAGAGAGGAGTGGATGGGTATGTTTGTGGAGTACCTAGACAGGCTAGACAACGGGCGGTGGACGAAGGATTTCTCAGGAGACGAAGACAATGATATAGGGATGGATGGAGATGGGTTGAGGAGGAGATACTTTGATTTGGCATACGACATTCTGGAGTATTTCCTTGTGCCGGTCTTATGAGAAACATCTCATGGGAGGACAGGATTTACGTTGTGGCGGCTATATGCACTCTTTTCTTCCATACTTCTTGGTAGAGTGTGTATGAACGGACTACCACATGCTCTCAACGAACACGAGGCGAATTGAAAGGGTGCCGCTCAGATTTCATCACACCGTCTCTCTTTGTCGGTGTCCTCTTTGACATGACATGGAGGTCTTCATCACACGGGCCGACGTCGAAGATATTCATATCTGATCTGCCAGGGATGCACAAGAGGTGGGTGAATAGGTCTGTTGCACTATATACAAGCCAGTAAGTAAATAGGCAACGCTCTCTCTCTGTCTCTCTGGACACCACAACTCTAAGCTCGTGTACAATGATTTGGTCACCACCCCAGTCATCGGCAGCCTCGTATCAAAAGTCATTGTCGTCCTTCCCTTTCTTCTTGCTGGTTCTGCCTCTGGACCTGGGAGACGGCCGCTTTGGCTGCATAGCATGACTGTCTACAGGCGCCTGCTCCGCAGACCATGACGACGAGGGAGATGGATCTCCTCCTCCCTCACCTTGTTTGGAATTGGTGGCTCTCGATGCGGCAGTCTTGAACATGGCTGTCTCGGCTGCTTGCAGTTTCTGCCACTCGGGCGACTTTCGGTCGGGAGTGATAGAGTCCCAGGTGTCGACGTCCTTGTCTTGGTCGCTGATGTCAATCCAGTCGCCGTCATCAGTCTCGGGTAATGTGTCTGTTATGAGAGCATTAGCGACGGCATTACTGGCAAGCTCGCCTTCGGCCGGGTCCGCGTTCTGCAGCACCCAATTGTCCTGCTCAGCATCCGTCTCTTGCCTTCCACTGGCTATCTCCATCATCTCCTTGAACGCCTGCGGGATATCATCCCCGTCCTCCTCGTCTTTCTTCTGCGCCTCGTTCTCTCTTTGCTCCTTCGCGTCGGTCGCCTTGTCGGTCGTGAGCAGCTTCTCCTCGAGCGGAGAGCTCGAGCGCAGCTGGGTCGTTACGGCGGATATGGCACTAGGACATTTGGACACGATGTATTTGAGCAGTCGTTCCGCCTCGGTAGACCATGCCGCCATCTGTTCCAGGTCCATGTACGCCTTGCTCAACACCATGAGCGTGTAGGAGATTGGCCGCGGCAGATGGGGATTCATCCCTTTCCTGCGCATCTCGAGCGGCAACACAGCCCGAGCCTTGGTTACTTTGGCCCTCACCCGCTGCCACCCGCGCCAGTACGGCATAAGCTGCTCCTCGCAGACCATAAAGGCCTCGCGCCACTTCTTCATGCTGACGAGGAACTGAACGTAGTAGTTCCAATTCTTGCTGTCCAGCCTGAAACCGGCACGGAGGACCTTCGTGATGGTCTTACGCAGACCGTCAGCATCGTCCTGGGCGGCGTACGTGCGCTGCATCGTTTTTAGCGCATCGGTGAGGATGTAACGCATGGATGGCAGTGGTTCGGCGCGGCTCATGCCGGGCGCAGCTACGCGGGACAGTTCCAGAACTCGGTTGAAGATGATGTCCCAGATCTCTTGGACCTCCTCAAAGCTGTGCTGGTAGAAGGCGGAGAGCATCAGAGCTTCGAGGAGCTTCAGGGGGGGTTCGGGCATGTCGGACGTTTCGGGGCTTGAGGAATGCCACAGATCGAGGACGTCTTGGACTGTCGTGAATTCTCTCATCTGCGTGAACGTAAAGATAAGGACGCTTGCCTGTTCGTTGCGCAGTGAAACGGTCGGCGGATCAGGTGCCTGCTTGACCCATGGCTGGTCAACGCTCCGACGCTGGAGGAGTGCCTTGTGAGGCTCCTTGTCCCATTCGATGGATCTTCTGAACTGGCGCAACGCCGACACGAGGTACGCCCGCGACTTGCTCGCATCCTTATGTCTGGTGGCCCACTGGCCAAGAGCTTGAAGAACTTTCAGAAGCATCTCTCCGTTCTGCGGTAATCCGAGACCTCGAAGAATGGTGCTGGTTCTCAGCAGTTCACGGGGCTGACCACTCCGTATGAAGGAGCTCATGAGAAGCGCATAATGTTGTAACGTTGGTTTCCACGTCTTACTTCTCACAGCCTCTTGAACGAGGTAGAGAGCATGGTGAGGTTGTCGGCAAAGAGCTAGACCGCGCAGCAGGTGTGCATAAGTCTCGCCGTCGTATCCGATCCGAAACCGCGTCATCTCGCCCAAGGTTTCATTGACGGTGACCAAGTCGTGGCGCATACCGTGGTGATAGAGTAAAGTGTTCCAAAGAATCGCAAGTTCCTTTCGACTGAAACGACCCTTCTGCGTAGTCATTTCAACGATGCTCTTGGCGTCGTTGTATTTGTCGTTCTGGCAGTAGGCCTCGACAACACAGTCTACCATTGTGACATTGGGCTTCAAACCGTCGTTCTTCGCCATACGATACAGCTCAAGGGTGAACTCGAGGTCGCCCCTTGAGCCCGTCATGCCCATCATGGTACCATAGCTGTATAGGTCCAGGGACACAGCCTGTCTCATCACGCCAAACACACGAACAGCAGCGTCGTATGCGCCAGCCTTGGCGTGCGCATTCAGTAAGATGTTCCAGCAGACGACATTGAGCCTCGAGCCGTGAATGGTCTGGGCCTGGCTGAAGATCCGGCGTACCTGGCCAAGCTCGCCTCGAACGGCATGGACGTGGAGCATAGGCAGAAAGTCAGGCTTGTTACTCAAGGTTTTGCCCTCAACGATTCGTTTGGGCTTGCGCTCCTCAGCGTAATAAGTCGTATACTCGCCCCACAACCGTTGTACCGACTTGACATCGCCCCTCCGCGCGTAGAACTCCATATACCTGCGATAAGCCCCGATGTCTAGCCTGCCGAATCGCCCGTAGAAATCTACGAGCACGAGTTCCATGCCTGCAGCGTCGTCAGTAGGGATGTAGACGAGCTCGATCATCTTGTGCATTATGTGGCCGCGTATCTTGACGTCGGGCAGCTGACGATACTGCTTGTACAGGTCGTTGGCGAGCCGAAACTTATGAGACGTGGAGGTATATCCTATGAAGTCTTCGTATAGGATGGGATCCTTCAAGAGCTTGAGCAGCTGGAAATAATCGTCCGGGTGACAGCGCCTTGTGTACCGGTGGATACAAGGGTAGATGAAATGGCTCATCAAGCTCTTGGAGAGCTCTGGGTCTGTGCCCGGGATGGCGACCTTCTCGAGGTGCTGTACCCTCCTGATCAGCATTATGAGCCCTTTCATCAGCTCATTCACCGAGATGTATCGTTCGATGTCATCAAAATTGAGAGCCTTCGAGCTGTGCGCTTCGGGGAAGCGTGCCCAGACGTCCCAGACCGTTTTCAGGTTGTGAAACTTGAGACACAAGGCTAGCAAAGATGATTTGCTCCTGTATTTCGTGATGTAGTCCAGAAATTGGGGACGATAGACTTCTCGAGTCTCCCGTGAGTGAACTTTAGCATGGTAGGCCTGCCAGACATCATTGAAATCGGCCTCCTGATTTCTTCGCAGGAGGTCACGCAGTCGGCCCAATACGTATTCAGGAGAAGGTTTCCATGTGGTAGACCCATCGTGAGGAGTATCTTCGCGTGTATGCTTTTCGGTCTCATCAAAGGCCCCTTCATTTCCTAGCTCAGTCTCCTCGCCGACGTCATCCGCTCGCCGATCAACCTCATCTTGTGTGGAAGGACTTTCCGCTTCTGAGGCCACTCTCATGTCCCCAGGTGGGGACGGAAGTTGTTGTTGAGAAGGAGATGCTGAGGCAGTGAAAAGCCGTGGTACCGCGCCACGGAAATGGAGCCTCGGCCGCCCATACTTGTCTAGGATAGATGGTGACAGCTTTCTGAGGAGGGAGGTAGCCCCTTGAGGGTACAGGAAGTCGAGCAAGAATATTGAGGGGTTCGACGAGTCAGGTCCTGCGGACTGTGGGGTGGACAGGATGCTGAGAGACTCGAGTGGTTCGCGGAGGAGAGCGTGCCAGACGTTGGACAGCTCAATGTCGGCAGCGCCATGTTGCCAGAAAGCAGTATGGAGGCGTCGTCGTGACTTGAAGGGAAGCTTTGTTGGAGGGAGAACCCTTTGGAAGTTGCATGGCTCCAGACTTGCAGCCGTTCTTTCCAGCATTGGCATGAGGACACGGTGCAGACCGTTCAAATCGAGAAGGGGCCGTTGCTTCGTATCAGATCATTGTAGGAGGAAAAGACTGAGTCGGAACGAGCAAGTCAGCAAATGTCGACTTGTGATCTGGCGCCTGACCTGATCACCTCTTCTAACCTTTGGCTATATCCGAGGGATTTCCCTTACGCGCTTCATGCTGAGTACTTATGCGATGCTGATCTTCTCGGTGTTGTGCTTGACAATTCTTGCTTCCTCAAAGACCTCGGTGGAGTGCGCGCCAAACTATTCGTACAGTCTAACAAATGAAAATGTAGACAAGTAGAAAAGTTCTTCTCAAAAGAGACAGACAACCGTGAGCTAAATATACGTAAGGCGATCTGTGAAAAGAATTAAAAAAAAAAAATGGGTGGAGGGAGGGGGCGGTGGGTGGCGGGTATAAGAGCAGCTTTACAGCTTGGTGTATAAATTTGTCGTCGCCAATCGATGATATGATGGATATTTTTTGGACTTCCTGCGCCGGAAGAGCTCATGCCACCCGCGTTTTTCGGCGACAGGGATTAGAAGCTACAGTACAGGGCGGTGTTGGGCGGGACGGGCCCGGTCCGTTATCGCTGTAGACGGTATCTGATAGCACTGTGACGTTCTGGTAACTGGACAGCTACAGCATCTTTGGTGCTAACGCACGAGGTTAGCTTGCAGCGGGGCACTTTTTCGATATGGCAAGGCTAGTTGCTGCTTGTAAGTATTCTCAGACTTGCCTCGTCACCACACGCTCTCCCTCCTCTGCAACTTGCGCTGTGACCGACCACACCTTCTCCCTCTCTGACACACTTGCCACACGTAGTACTTTAAGCCTTATTGCGTGGGTGGGAAAGCAGCCCCGACACCACCATGGATGCGACCAAATTCGTTCTCGAGACCAGGCTCGAGCTGCTCGACTACGCCAATGACTACAGCGCATACGCCTCGCGGTTGACTACGCGGCTGAGGAGCACCAAGAAGAGGCTGTGCATCCAGGACAAGAATCCGGCCAAGAACCACTCCAACTTTGAGGTGGCTCCCTCGCAGCTGGCGCAAAACCATGAGTGAGTAGTAGTCAACCTTGTGGCTTTCCGTGGCAGGCCTGGCGCCTGCTTCCAACATTACAGGACTGATCGCTTCCTCAGGTTTATTCAAGTGCCTCTCCTTACTGCCGAACGATGCTGGGCCAAGTCGATGGCATGGCGGTCACGGGACGACATCAATAGCGAGACCAGGTCGCAGGTCATCTCGAAACTGGTCCAGGCCACCAAGATTGTCGAGAAGCTGGTCGCCACATTGACCGACAAGGAGAGCGGTGCGAACTCGGCCGATGTCCTGAGCGCTTGGGCATATGCGGCAGTCCTCAAGGGCGACTCTTCTTTCCGCGGCAAGAAATGGCAGCAGTGTCTCGAGAGCTACTCCATTGCCAAGATCATCTACACGGCTCTCCCCACGGCCGCCCTAGAAGGCAATACTTTCAAGGACTACGTTTCGGACTCGGTCGACACACCTCTGCGTTTCGCACAGCGTCAACTTGACATACCGACAACACTCTCCATACTTGCTTTGGCCAAGAAGCACTTCCCACAATCCGACGATGCTCTGGTGTCGAGAGTCGACGATGTTGCGCCCACTTTCTTGAAGGAAGATGAGGATACGACGATGACCGATGGCGGCGCGCTGAGGTTTACCACGTGGAGAGGAAGGAAGGTCCCTGTGGAAGACGCCGAGATCGCACTGAAGCTCGAGGCTCTCGAGGGCGCGACTGCAGAGCTGTCTCAAAAACTGGGCGCCTCTTCGGATTTGCGGCCGAACAGCAAGGCTGAAGCTTACGATGCCGTTCTCGAAATCAGCAACGATGCGGTGGACGCTACGCAACAGGCAATTGACGAACTCAAGGAGCAGGGTGTTGCGCAGGGCGACTCGCGCATGCAGAACCTGGCCATCCTGCGCACGAAGCTCAAGTACGACCTGCTGAGCTGGCAGATAGGTCGCAACAGGGTTTTGATGGGCGAAAGGGACGGTGCCGTACTGGGCGACGGCCCTAGTCTCAAGAGCAAGAAGAAGCTACCAGAGGTGGACCAGCCCTTGATCAAGGATAGCCAACAGGTCAAGCAGCAGGAAAAGAAGGTCAATTTGTATGACAAAACCCTGCAGAGCCTGGAAGTCGCAAACGAGCTACCAGGAGTTGCAGCAGACGAGCATCTCGCAGCGGAGATTGATGCTGTGACTAAGTATTTCACAGCTTTGAAGTGAGTACATTTGAAGCCATTTGCTCACCAATGGCGTGTCACTGACGAATCTCTTCGCCAGGTCCCTAGCCATTGCTCGTTCCCACTCGCTGGTCGGCAATGCAGCCAATGCCCTGGCCTTGACCAAGCATGCCCACGACCAGTGCGAGGCTGCCATGCCAGTTCTCGCCAAACACAACGGAGGCCAAGATGAAGGACTCAAGACTGTCGAGGTCGCCCAGAGCGAGGCTGCGTTTCTTCATAGTCTCCTGAAGGGCGAGCTGCAGCGCACCCGGGCGCTTGTGGAGATCTCAAACCTGCGCAAGCAGGCTGGCAAGGGCGATCTCCATGCGGCAAGACGACCTCTCATCGAGAGATTAGCGCAATACCCCTCTGAAGGCGTCGATCTCGAGAATGTGGTCACCTACCCACCAAAGCTGGAGCCAATTCCTGTGAAACCCTTGTTTCTGGACGTCGCCTGGAACTACGTCCAATATCCCACGACACAGACAGAGAAGGCCAAGGCGCCCCAAAACAAGACTAACGTGCAGTCTGACTCTGAGAAGCAGCCTGCTAAGAAGGGATGGTTCGGATTTGGACGGAGTTAAAAGAAGGAGAGGTATCATCTTAACATGATGCAGATAAAGATGCAAGTGAAACTCACCTTCCGAAGAGCTTGCAAATCCTCTTTCAAACGGGTGACGATGAGAAGAAATGTATCTGCGATACTTGATTGTCCTGCTCGAAAGTATTGACAGGATTTCTATCGGTTACACTGTTGAGACAGGTTCATAGTATACCCGGAAAGCGGATCTTACAAGGCTGGAGACATATTGTTACCAAGAAAAAGGGAGGAGACGAGAGAGGTTGCGGGAAGTGGATGGTAACAGGGAAATGAGCCGCTCTGACGTGACATCTGGGTATCTTGCAGTTGGCCCGCATGTCTGGATCATCAACAAGGCCGTCTCTGAGACACAAGGGGGGGTTTGCGCCATCGCACACCAAGAGACAATCAGCCCTGGCAGTACTACCCAGCTGCCGCCTACATACTTACTCAATTCACATCTCCTCAATTGCAGCTATGTTCCTTCGCCCCTTGATTCACGAAAGTTCCTCGTCTTGCTTGGAATGTTGAAAGGACCGCGTTGTCAACAACAAACTTTGCCCAAGTCAATACGGGTAAGTCCTCCCTTACCTCGGTCATCATGAGCCTGTTTTCCTGGCCCGTGGAGTAACCAAAGAGATACCCATCTCAATGCACCTTTCGAATCTCACGATACAATGAGCCATGACTTGGATGACATGGGCGAGAAACCAGACGAGGCCGCAAACCTCACCCCACCGCCCAGGACCGCGAGGCCAACTGACCTGCGGAGCATCGTCGCGTTCATCCGAGATCTATGGCACACGCGTCGAGAGGAGGATCCGTCCACCGCAAAGCTCCTGGCGACGATTGCAGAAGAAGACGAGGACAACCTTGAGGATGTCGACCTCTCACAGCCGTTGCCAACACTGAGATCAAGACTGCCTGGCCTCCGCAGCAGCTTTGTCCCGTCCGTCAGGGCCCTGGCACTCATTCTGGTCGCCTTCACAGTCGGTCTCGGTGTAGGCTGTGGACTGGGACTTGGGATCCCGTATTATGATTCTTTGTTAGGTCTCTTCGACGAACCGGATCTCTTGTCCTCATCCTCCTCCTCCTCCTCCTCATACAACGAATATGGTGTGCCAGATGAGCTCCCGGTTATTCCCATCGCGCAGCTCATCAATGAAAGAGAACTCAGCCTCAACATGGGCTTCCGCATATCCCGCACGCCCACTGTCCGCGAGTTCGAGTTCAACATCTCCCATGGCCTCGCCGCACCCGACGGGTTCTACAAGCCCATGATCCTCGCCAACGGCCAGTCCCCAGGGCCCCTGATCGAGGCAAACACAGGTGACACGGTCCGCGTGCGGGTGAACAACCTCATGCCCAACACGACGACGGGCATCCACTTCCACGGGATCAACCAGTACCGCTCACCATGGATGGACGGCGTCGTGGGTGTGACGCAGTGCGGGATTCCGGCTGGGGGTGGTTCTTGGACGTATGAGTTTGTGGTGGCTGGCCAGAGGGGCACCTTTTGGTGGCATGCGCACGCGGGCGTGCAGTTCACTGATGGGCTTTTTGGGCCGATTGTGGGTCTAATTCACCTACCACTCTTCTTATTGACTAAAATCTCATGTCGTGTAAAGAACTTCTGCTAAAATGGTGTGGAAAACAAAAAGGTCATCCATGATCCGGACGAGGCGGTTCCCGAAACAGACGATGATAAGATCCTTTTCTTAGGGGAGAACTACCACTCCTTTGCAGCAGAAGTGAGCACACTCTAAACCCAGTCGCAGTCTCCTCTATTCATCTGATTTGGTACTGATGAAAACCTCCGGCCCTCAAGCTTGCTGCATACTACCTTGCCCCTTCCTCCACCTGGGACCCAAACGAAGCCGGCGTCGAGCCACTCTCAGACAACCTCGTCCTCAACGGGCAGAATACCCACGACTGCTCCATCACATCCACCACCTTTACAGCCCCAACGTACGACCAAGAGTCCACCACCGAGCCACCGTGCAATGGCGGACAGGCCTACACAACGAGCATCCAGCCCGGCTCGACCCTGCGCCTCCGACTCATCAACCACTCCTCCTATTTCTCCTACTGGTTCAGCATCGACGCCCACGAGCTCACGATCGTGGAGATCGACGGCGTCGAGGTCGACCCAATCACGAGTCTAGGCGGCGTGCACGTGAACATCGGCCAGCGATACTCGGTCATCGTGAACGGAAGCCGCAAAAGAACAGGGACTGAGTACACTATCCGCTCGTCGCTGGAGAGGGCCTGTTTCCTGCCCTATGGCACGTACACGTCGAGTGGGCTCGAGAGCATCGGGTACGAGGCGAGGGGTGTGCTGCGGTATGAGGAGCCCGACGCGGGCGCTGCGCCAACCAAGAGGGAAGAGGAGGTGGAGGAGGATGACGACTATGACGACGAGGAAGAGGACGGGCAGGAGCAAGGGCAGGGGCAAGTCTCAGAGTTGAACGACAAAGCTTCTGCAGACACCACCACCACCACCACCACCACTACCACCACCAACAACAATCCATGGGGATGCAACGACCTCCCCTTCGATATACCCATCCCGATGCGCCCAGAGCCCGCCTATGCGCTGTCCACAGCGAGCTCGCAATTTTCCCTCGACTTCCAGTTCCGCCAGGTCGGCACCATCAACCGCATCTTCCTCAACAGGACGTCGTGGGCGCCGTACGGGGACGACGCGACGCTGTGGCAGGCGCTGGAGCAGGACTTCGTGCCTGGTGACGGGGGCGCCTATAATAACTGGGGGTTCCGGCTGGACCAGCAGGTCCTGCTCGTCCCGGACGAGGACGAGGCGGTTGGGACGGTGCAGGTGGCTGTGAATAGTTTGGATGCCATGGAACATCCTTTCCATATGCATGGTACGTGGTTGTGCAGCTCCACATGCTCCCACAGTGTTTTGAAACTTACTATGCTGTCTTTCCACTCTTCTTCTTCTTTTCTTTTCTCTCCTTTCCTTCTTTTTCCTTTTTGCTAAGCTACAATGGTTTCTCCAGGACATACCGTGCAGATAGTAGGCTGGGGCCCAGGCCGCTACGCCGGCCCAACCTCCCCCGCGACGACCTGGAACCTTGAGAACCCCATGCGCCGCGACACCTTCACCGTGCCCGAGCAGTCTCACGTCGTCATCCGCTTCAGGGCTGATAACCCTGGCATGTGGATCTTGCATTGCCATGTTGCGTGGCATCTGGAAGGTGAGTCTTGCTTCTTTAGCTGTCTCTGTTGCCTACCAGCCGTTCCAGCTGACGACCTTCCTTTTTCTTCCTTTCTTCTTCAATAGCGGGTATGGCTGCCTCGTTCCTTGAGCAGCCAAATGCGCTGAAGGCGTTGGCGTATGATATGGATCCTGATACCAGGGCGTTGGCGCAAAGTTTCTGCGCGGGGCGGCAGTGACTGATGTGCGTGCATGGATGCATTGCCCCTCGACGGAGGATCACAAAGACAACAGACCAGTACATTCATGTTCATAAAGTAGACACTTCCCCATATAAAAGCGTGCCTCGAGCAGCCTAAAATGGCTCTCAACGATGAGAAGCATGGTAGATCATAAAATATTGAGGGGGGATGTCAGATTATCTTTTCTTTCGTCAATAACATCTAGTAATTTACATACACATGTAGAAGAGATAGCCTCCCCCAAAGAGACCATGCCATCAGTGTCATCCAGAACCCATAATTCAAATGACCAAGCCTTAAAAAAACAAAGCAGAAACGTTTTGATGCTCAGAAACGCCGTCCCCAGCCCGTTGCTGCATTAGATATGGGAGAGAGAAGGGGGGGGGGGGGGGAGGAGTGGCAGCTTGGGAGCCGCCAGGAGGGAAAAGTCGGGGGTTGTGTATGAGTACAGTAGGTAGGTAGCAGGAGGGGGTAAAGAAGGAGGGGATCTATCGTGCTGCCGCGCCGCTAGAACGCATGACCGAATAGTGGTATAACAACTTAGGGGTATAAAGCAAAGTTTTTTTGTCTTTCTCTTTCCATCGGAATCTAGCCCGAGTCGCCATTTCACTTGGTCTCGTCCTTCTTCTCACCCTCAGCAGCGCCCTCGGTGCTGGAGGTGTTCTGCTCGCCAGACTCGGCACGGGCCTTGTGCATCTTGTCGAAGAGGTTCAGGCTGGCCATCTGGAGCTCGTCGGTCTTCTCCTTGATCTCGGCGGCAGTCAGCGTACCCTCGCCAGCCTGGCTCTTGGAGATGAACTCGCGCAGCGAGTTGATCTTCTCCTTGATCTGCTCAGCCTCGGTCTTGTCCAGGCGGTCAGCGTACTCGTTGAGGGCCTTCTCGGTGTCGTTCACGACGCTGTCGGCACGGTTGGCGGCCTCGATGGCAGACTTGCGCTCCTTGTCAGCCTCGGCGTACTTCTCAGAATCCTGGACCATCTGCTCGATCTCAGAATCAGACAGGCCAGATCCGGAAGCAATGGTGATGGACTGGTCCTTGTTGGTGGACTTGTCCTTGGCGTGGACGTGGACGATAGAATCGGCGTCAATGTCGAAGGTGACCTCGACCTGGGGCACACCGCGGTGGGCAGGAGGGATGCCGACCAGCTGGAAGTTTCCGAGCAGCTTGTTGTCCTTGACGAGCTCACGCTCACCCTGGTAGACCTTGATCTCGACGGCGGTCTGGAAGTCGGCAGCAGTGGAGAAGACCTGGGACTTCTTGGTGGGGATGGTGGTGTTGCGGTTGATCAGACGGGTGAAGACACCACCCAGGGTCTCGATACCGAGGGACAGAGGGGTAACATCGAGCAGCAGGAGGTCCTTGACCTCACCAGAAAGCACGGCACCCTGGATAGCGGCACCGATGGCCACAGCCTCGTCGGGGTTGACGGACTTGGCGGGGTCACGGCCAAAGATGTTCTTGACAGACTCGGAGACCTTGGGCATACGAGTCATACCACCGACCAGGATGACCTCCTGGATATCCTTGGCTCCGAGGTTGGCATCCTTGAGGGCCTTCTTCACGGGCTCGATGGTCTTAGTGATGAGAGGGTCGACCATCTTCTCGAGCTGCGCGCGGGTGAGCTTCAGGTTGATGTGCTTGGGGCCGGAGGCGTCGGCAGTGATGAAAGGCAGGCTGATGTCGGTCTGCAGAGAGGAGGACAGCTCAATCTTGGCCTTCTCGGCAGCCTCACGGATACGCTGGATAGCCATGCGGTCACCGGACAGGTCAATGCCGTTGGCCTTCTTGAAGTCGCCAACAATGTGTCGCACCAGGTGGATGTCAAAATCCTCACCACCCAGGTGGGTGTCACCGTTGGTGGACTTGACCTCAAAGACGCCGTTCTGGATCTCGAGCACACTGATATCGAAAGTACCGCCACCAAGATCGTAGACGGCGACCACGCGGTCGGCCTCCTTCTCCAGACCGTAGGCCAGAGCAGCGGCGGTAGGCTCGTTGACAACACGGAGGACGTTCAGACCGGCAATCTGACCGGCGTCCTTGGTGGCCTGACGCTGAGAGTCGTTGAAGTAGGCAGGGACGGTGACGACGGCGTTCTTGACAGGCTTGCTGAGGTAGGACTCGGCGGTCTCCTTCATCTTCTGGAGGACGAAACCACCAACCTGCGACGGAGAGTAGCTCTGGCCACGGGCCGAGACCCAAGCGTCGCCGTTGGTGTGGGAGACGATCTTGTATGGCACCTCCTTGATATCGCGCTGGACCTCGACATCGTTGAACTTGCGGCCGATCAATCGCTTGGTGGCAAAGAGGGTGTTCTCGGGGTTAACGACGGCCTGACGCTTGGCAGCGACACCGACCAGACGCTCACCGTCCTCTGCGAAGGCAACTACTGATGGTGTCGTACGGGCACCTGCAAGAGATGTTAGTAACAACACATCAAGCCGGACTGACATGGAAGACTGTGTATTCGGTGAGAGGACCAACCTTCTGAGTTCTCAATAATCTTGGGCGTCTTGCCCTCCATGATGGCAACGGCCGAGTTGGTAGTACCCAGGTCGATACCGATCACGGAGCCCTTCACCTTCTCATCTGTAGACTGGAAACGGGCAAAGGCAGGAGAGGCAGACTTGTGCAGGAAGCCCGCAGAGCGGGTGGCTCTTGGGAGCTGCGATGATTGAAAAGAAAAGACTTGTTGTCAGCTTCACAGTCCTGCGAGGTCAAGTTGTAAGGAGAATCAACATCAAGCTGGTTTGTCAAAGCAGGGCGCAACTTACAGCTCTCGAGAGGCGCGACGACAGCATTTTGAACTGATAAAATTGGTACAAATGGCTCTACCCAGAGAAGAAAGTGGGAAAAAAGAGCTGGAGAAGAATCGCTCGACGATGCGATCAAGAAAGAGAGAGTGGTGGTGGTGGTATTGATGGAGAAGGATCCGGAGGTGGATTATTTGATCACTTCGGATATGGAGAGGGAAAGATGCAAGTGGGAGTGAAGAGAAAAAAAAAAGCTTCAGCAGAAAAAATTCATGACGCTGTCGGTCGAGAAGCTTCTGCGGAACGGCGAAAATTTGCCTGCCAACCCTCGGTTGCGCGATGCGCTATGGTCAAATGGTGGGCCGTGCATAATCCTTTTTCTGCCAATCCTTGTCCCTGTAGATATTCTGTACCATACCTCAGTGCATAGCAGTGTACCTCAGTACCATAGTACTTGGGAGTCCTTGTCCACTTGCACATGCAGACAAGAGACTCGAGGAAGGCACTGCATGCTGCTGTAAAGAGTTATGTTGCACTGCAACTCAAGTCATAGTCTAGCTGCAAAACGGTCTGGGATCCTATATCAATGTTTTCATCTCAACACAGGCTGCAAATGTAAGTGAGTACTGCCAATATCCTATCTTCTTTTCTGAGAAGCAGATTCCCTTGGCACGTAGTGTAGACTTCTGCATCCTGCCATAGCTGGGCGAGGTGCTTTCTACATTAATGTAACTCATTACTATGGACTGCAAGCTCCCTGCTCAGAGTATCTGTGTCCAATCTGTCTGGTGCTCATGCAATGCGGTAGAATGCAGCCAGGCATCTTTCTATGCTTGTGGTGAAGGCCTAGAGTCGGGATTGAAGGTGATGAAGTACTGGGAACTCCCAAATGCCTGTTCCTGCTACTGTAGCCCAAGTAGCCAGTACCTTTCTCCAAAAAGAAATAAAAAACCCCTGCTAGCCGTCGATACTATAGCACATAGTAGTAATAATAAACCTCCCTTGTGGAGCGGCGGCCTTTGTTCATTCACTCCAATGCAGTCACCAATGACGACGGGGCTCAGGCCTATCATTTGCAATCCCATCCGCAAACAACTCCCGACACCATCGCCTTGTCAACTTTATCCTTTTAATTGCATCACTTTTCCTATCTGTAGAATTCTCCCAAGTTGCCACAACTTGCTGCCAGGCCAGGTTGTCAGATCGATCATCATCACCCGACAGCTTTGTTCAACTTACCTTCCAAAGTTGAAACCTCGGACGACCCATCCCATCAGTCCAGCTACTAATTTCCCTTTCGGCGCATTGCCATTGACATCACCCTTCTTTCTACCCGTCACATCACCCATCTCGGACTCCGTCCATGCCTTCGCAGCCTTGAAGCTTGGAGCCTCACACCCGGCAACATGGCCGTTACGGATGATAGGATGTATGTTTTCTCGTGTGCAATCAACCAAAACCCTTGGAGGTTTTCGTCACGATCCGTGATGCGATTGATGCCCGCCATCGCGATGCACGCGCAGCCTGTCGCGTCCCTTTCTGCAGCTTTGCGACACCTGCGTGCAGTGGTTCTGCAGCCTGACTGACGGGAACCTGCATGCAGATATCATCCGACCGACGCTCTAATCCTCAAGAAACCCAGACGTCACTACCGTGTCGGTCTGCACTGCGAGTACGTTCCAAGACCTTCCACTACAAGCACCGACCGAGCGCCCTTTGCGTCAGTCAACATGTACATCTCCGGCTAATCAGGATACTATTTGTCAGGCATTGGCAGCTACGATCGCAGATTGGCATCTCGTCTGCACAACATGTCTACTACGTAGGAGGTAATGGCAATACACAGGTCCACAGGCTCGACACTGCAGCCCACGAGAGCGAGGTCGTCAAGCTTCTCACCTTTGTGCCCCGCTGCCTGGTCGCTAGGAACGGCTGGGTGTGTTGCGGCGGAGAGAATGGCGAGTTTGTCGGTTTCCAGATGAACGAAGAAGCTGGCGAAAGCATCGAGGGCAGCGAGCGCGATCGAGGTAATCACTTGACGACGACGACCACGGCCGATTTTGTCTTAAGTTCACTCCGACGATACATCGAGAGCGGCGGTGTCAGCGACGACGCGCTCGAAACTTTTCGCAGCCAAACCCAACGACCCATTGAAGACGAAGTTGGAGACGAACAGCTGCCTCTGGCCCTGGATACTGCATCCGACACGGCCGACCCCTTGCCACCTCTGGTTCCAGGAAGCCCTGGAGCGGACGCTAACAATAACAGCGGCAGCGGCAATGGCAAAGGTCTCGTTGCCCGGTCCAAGACTTTTGGCAAGGAGCGCGTCAACTGCATCACCCTCTGGTTCCCTCCCAGCTCCGATGCCGACAGGGCCCGTGGCGCCTACGCACAATCTGTGGCAGTGCTTGCAAATAACGACAAGCACGTTACGATCGTGGGTCTGACCGATCAGGAGTCCGTGGACGAGCTCTCGTATCCTGACTACGTCAACCGCGCCCTGATCTCACCAGACGGCCGGCTGCTTGTCGCCATCTGCGATGATCCGTATCTCTACATCCACGAGAGGGTGCCCAAGCAGCAGCAGCCTACCGGGCAGGGCCTCTTTACCCGCAAAGATGTCGTGAACTTTGAATGGAAGCTCTGCGCCAAGACGCATCTCAAGAGCCAGCGCAAGGAGGACCGTTCGGACCAGCGCGGCAGTTTCGCCGCCTGCTTCTCGAGCACGGGCCGTTACCTCGCAGTCGGCACCCAGTACGGCGTCATCTCGGTCTTTGAGACGGCAGCCTTCACCGAGGGCGGCTGCGGCGACCCTCTCATTACCACCTTTCAGTCTTCGCGGCCACATGAGGAGTTTGGGGCGATCCGAGATATGGCCTTCTGTCCCGGTCCGTTCGATCTCTTGGCCTGGACGGAGCACCGTGGTCACATTGGCGTTGCCGACGTGCGAAGTAATTACGTCTCGCGGCAGATCCTGGACCTTAGCGAGTACAATGTATATGACCACCTGATGGTCACCGAGAGGGGTTCCATCGACCCGCGCCTGCTTGAGAGAAATGAGCGGGGGGAGCTGGCACTTGCAGACACGGGCGAGTCCGCAGCACGGCGCGCGGCCACGCGACGACCTCCCTCTGACTACCACCCACCCTTGAATGCGGATGAGACGATGATCCTGGAGGCTCTCATGGAGCAGCGGAGACGCCGAGACCAAGCTGCCACTCGTGGCACGTCAGCCGTCGGGACTAGATTGATCGAGCGGCTGCAGAACCGAGTGGCGGCGACCCGCGAGTCTCTGGCGGCCATGCCTCCTGCAAGGAACAACAGCAATAGCACCAGCAACAGCCCCAGCAACGGCAACAACAGCAACAACAACAACAACAACAACAACAATAACCGCGTGAGTGACCTCGTCGAAATCTACCGAGAATCTCTCCGCGAGCCACAGTCGGAGCGCGCGCGTGCCCGACGCCATGCCGAGGTGCATGTTGCACACGCTGAACGCGCTACCAACATTGCAGCCACGCTGCGCGTGCTCCGGACGCAGGTGGCCAGAGCCCAGCAGAATCTCGAGTCCTACCGTGCAGACAGCCCTGCCACCACCAGCTCTAGCACTGACCTTGACAATCTATACCAGAGCACCTTTGACGTGTTGGGTTCCGCGGCCACGTACGAGCCAGGAGCAGGCGACTCGTCTGGCGAACGCCCAAGAGACTACCTGGCGTCGGTTTGGAGCACGATCCTCCGCCATCGGGACCACCAGGAAGCCGCTGACATCACAATCTCGCGGCTCAGAGCTGCTCGTATGGGTGATCGGGCCGCGGGGATGAATGTGGGCAGCTATCGGCCTGATGATACGGCCGGACTGGCATGGAGCGACGATGGGCGTACTCTGTAAGTTGACCCGCAATCATTCCTTCTTTCCGTCTTTCTATCCGCTTACAAAAGTTTTTTTTTCCTCTCTTTCTTTTTCTTCCAGGATTGTTGGTGCTGAAGACGGCATCTACGAGTTTCACGTCGACCTATTCAGCAGGAAACTCTTCCCCAGCATTACTATGCGCTGAGGTGTGTGACATTATACGACAGCGTTGTTGTTTGGGACTCCTTCCCCCCTTCTTCTTCTTCTCTCTTCTTCTTCCATATTCCGGGTAGGGAGTAAAGTTCATCCATTGGGTTTGGTGATGTGGCGTTGAGGAGTCAATCAACGAATGGTCAACAATAGTGCGATGGCATTTGGGGGGCTGGGCGGGCCCGAGGTGTTTTGATTTTATGACGGTGGATCGATCAGCCCTGCTTTCTTATATCCTTTCCCCCCCCCCTCTTTTGAGACACCCATGACAGTAGCAGCTTTGTCTTGGGTGTTCATTCTGCTGCTGCTTTTCTTTGCACGTTCACAGCGACGACGATAACAACAACAACCCCCCACCACCACTCGAAAAGTTCTGTGGGGCTCTGATATGTTTCTTTTTCCCAACTTGGCGTCGGGGGCGCAAGACTGGCTCAGTGGTCATGACAGAAAAGGAAGATTACTAGGAACACGACACAATTTGCATATACGGAAAAGGGTGTGAGTGGAGGGAGAGGAAATTAGTCTAGGGCACAACAGAGCAGCAATGAGAGGCCGTGCACAACCGAGTCTGGCTATTCCTCATCTTGTCTGTGTGAGCTTTGAGATTGAAGTGCTCTGGATAGGTGAAGTCTGGCAAGGTCTCTTTGTTGACTAATATTTGTGTTGTAAAAGCTTTATGTGTATCAATAAGTATTCAATTTCGATGAGCCAAATCATCCATGCATACAACCACAATCCAAATCCAAGTAGTGCTTTCCCCCTCAACCCTCCATCCTCTTTGTTCACTTATACAACAAGCTCTCCACCCTCTCAGCAATAGCCAAACAGCTTGTCAACCCAGGACTCTCGATGCCAAGCAGGTTCACCCACCCCTCCCAGCCCTCCTCGCGGCGAATAATAAAATCATTAAACTTTTGGCCATCCATGACGGCGCCGCCGGGGACCAGCTTGGGCCGGATGCCAGCATAATCCGGGGCCAGGGCAGTGACATCGACGCCAGGCAGGTAGCGCAGGATCTCGCGCACGGCCGTGTCCATCCTGGTCCCGTTGACGGCGAGGTCATCAGGGCGGTCCACCCACTCGACGTCCGGGCCAAACTTGATGCGGCCGCCCATGTCCATGGTCAGGTGGGTGCCCAGGCCGCCGTGGCCCGGCACAGGGGCCGGGTAGATGAGGGTGTTGACCTTGGGGTGCGAGGCGGTGTAGGAGAAGTAGTTGCCCTTGGCATAGTACAGCTTCTTGTGCTGCTCGGGCGGGGCGATGAGGTTGTGGATGTCGACGGCGCCCAGACCGGCGGCGTTGATGAGTGTTGCCGCCGTGATGGTCGTCTCCTCGCTGCCGTCTTGTCCTCCTCCCCCGACCGTCACCTCCCACCCCTCTGCGCCAGGCGTCTTGCTCCCCAGCGGCCTGACGGCCGTCACAGGCGAACCGGGGGCAAAGTCCCGCCGGCCTCCTCGAAGTGGCCCAGCAGCGCGACCATCAGCGCGTGCGAGTCCACGATGCCCGTGGTGGGCGACTCCAGACACCCCGCGTCCGCCCGCACCATGGGCTCCCTGCGCGCCAGCTCCTCCCGCCCGACCCACCGCACGGGAGCCCGCCCGGCCAGGTCCCCTTCCTCGCAGTGCCGAAACACCTTCTCCAGCGCCTCCCGCCCGGCCTCGTCCTGCGCCACGATGAACTTGCCGCAGTTGCGGTGCGGCACGGCGTGGCGCCCGCAAAAGTCGTACATGAGCTGGCGCCCTCGTATGCAGAGCTCTGTCTTGAGCGTGCCGGGCCCGTAGTAGAGCCCCGCGTGGATCACCTCGCTGTTGCGCGACGAGGTCTCGGTGCCTGGGTGCTGGTGGCGTTCCAGGAGGAGGGTGGAGGGCGTCTTCTGGGCGAGGGCGCGGGCTATGGCTAAGCCTACTGCGCCGGCGCCTATGACCTGAGGGAAGAGTTTGTGAGCTGATGAGCATGAGGGTGAAAAAGAGGAGGAGGAGGAGGAGGAGGAGGAGGAGGAGGGTGTTGGGGTATAGATCCAGCTCAGAAGAAAGCAAACTTGAGAATATTGCAACCCCAAGGGAAGACAAGACCCATAGATTTACTCACTCTCTCACTCTCTCTCTCACACACACACACACTCATATATATCCAACGAGAACAACAGATTCATTCACAGAAACCAGGACAAGAACAAGAGGGAAAACCCCCCAGAGAAAACTCACCACATGCTCAAAATCAACCCGCCTCGCAGCCGTAGATGAGAACATCCGCCGTACCGCAGAGTCCTGCCCCAACAACCCCCTGCCCTTCAGGAGCCGTCCTCCTGCGACGGCTCTTGATAACATAGCTTCCAAGCAGGGAAGAGATGAAAAGAAAAGGAGAAAGGGGAGAGAAAGAAAAAAAAGGGACAAAACGTGGCAGGGCAACGAATCTTGTTTAATTCCTGTATGTGGTTATTTTTCCTTTTTTTTTCTTTCTGTTATGTACAAGGTTGGTTGTAAGTCAGTATGAAGTCGGTATTATACATGAGTTACTTTTTTGTGTATAACAAGTATTTCTGATAGGCAAAAAAAAAAAAAAAAAAAAAAAAGAAGGGGGAAAACTCCGGATGACGCAATCGCAAGAATATCCACTGACTTTCAACCAGAACCATGTACATGAATCGACGGAGAGGCACAGAAAGGGGCAAGATTCTATGCGCTCAATTCAAGTTTGTATTGATGGAAATTTAAAGAGCAGATAAAGAAAACCAAAAAGTAGGTGAGGTGATCGCCCAACAATCAACAAATCAGGTCACAGCTTGCATAAGAGGCTCTGAGCCAATTGGGGTTTCTTGGCTTTTTATTTTATGTTTATTCAAATTTTTTTTATTTTAATTTTTTTGACTAGGCCAACAGACAGGTGCTGGAAACAAGCTTCCCTTTCATTGGCTATGAAAGAATCTAGAGACGAGCAGGTTCTGTAACGTCTAGGCCTCTGGTAATCCAGCCGTAGTTAGAGTTTTGGATATGAACCTTTTCAGCTCAACAACTCTTTCTCATCATTCTCCATGACACCAGAAGAAAGTGCTACTCTTTCATTTCCCTTTCGCGATATCGACTCCAGGCCATAAGAATAATGAAAAAAGAACAAACACCAAGGAAGTATGCAGCCATTCAAACATGAAGGCGTTATCATTTCTCTAACGCCGCTGTTCCTCGATCCCCATAATCACATCCATAACCTAGACCTCGATCTTGGCCACGGCCTTGCCATAACGCCAGAATTCCCTCCTTCCTTTGACACCACCATTGCAAAGCAGACCCTAGTTTCCCCTAAGTATTTTTTTTTTTTTTTTTTTTTTTTGGCTTCTCTCTCTTGCGGCTGAGACTTCATTCATCTTTGGGCGTCTCTCGCACCGAGAAGCTGCCTTCAGATGCCGAGGCAGCTCCAGAGGGCCTAGTCTCCTCGGACACTGATTCCGATCTCATCAGGCCTGAGTGATGTGCAGGCTCCCGGGTGACGGCGGCCGCTCCCCCGCTGAGATTCTCAAGTTGTCGTTCTGTGTGGCTCGTTAGCAAAAGGTCAACCTGACTTGACTACTGCTGACGCCTCCTCTCGTGGAGAGTAAGGGAGACCCCCCCATACGACACTCACCTAGATCTCGAATACGGTGTCGTAGCATCTGATTCTCCCTCGTCAACATCTGGGTCTCGGCCTGGTAAAAAGCACTCTCATCTCTGCCGCCCAGCACAAATGGTTCGCCGCTTTCTTGGCTGATGGAGGTAGACCGGAGTCTGGGCGAGGCACCGCGGCTGGGCGTTCGAGATCGGTGTCTCAGGTCGCCGCGAGCAAGGTCAAAAGAGCTGCGGGGCAACACTGGCGATCGGGGCAGGGAGCCCGTGGAAGGGGCAGTCGGGACGGCAGAGTGAGCATGAGAGGAAGCCACAGGGATAGGCTGTGCAGTCAAAGCTGGGGTGGACTGGCCGGGAGACTCTTCGCCGGCGATGGCGGACTGATTCTGGTACTGTAGGATCTGGGCCTGCTGTTGGCGAATTTGGAGGAGGAGCCGATTCTGTAGGAGGGAACACATGGAAACGTCAGCGTATGATAATCCCACAAAAAGGCTGGCTCAAGGTTTCGCTGTCGTACCACCTGGGCCTCCTGCTCAGCCTCTAATTCCTGGTGTAGCTCGCCCAGGCTTGGAGCGCGGTGATGAGGGAGCTCACTGCCCGTTATCAACGGTGACAAGGAAGACGGCGCGATAGGGCTGGCCACGTTGGATCGGTGGGCAGTCTCCTGGACCATCTCGCCCGGCCCAGGGACAGCAGGGTCGTTGAGCTGGAGGTTCATGAGGACCTGAGATCGCCTGCGGCCGTTGCTAGAGGACGTGGTGACCTGTCGAGAGAGGGAGCCGGAGGAACCTGCGATCAAGTGGTATCCCGTATTAGTATGGGGGTAGACACGGAGACCTAAGACTGGGAAGGAGGAGGGGGGTATATCAGATCGTACGTCTCGAACCCTGGTGTTGCAAGCCAGCGTTGACAGCAGCAGCAGCCTGGAGAGAGGTCGATGCGGATCGGTTTGGGGATGGCGAGGGCGAGCCGCCCTGTCGTCGGGTGGGCGAGGTGGCAGACTCGCTGCCGTTGTTGTGAGCGTTGTTGGAAGACATGGTGGTTAAGGCTGGTGGCATCACAGAGGCAGGAATACGCGAGGTGGTGGTCGTGGAGGAAGAGGACGAGGACGAGGACGAGGAGGAGGAGGAGGAGGAGGAGGAGAGATTGGTGGCGGTGGTGGTAGAAAAGGTGGTTGATAGTGGAGCTGTCGAGAGGGAGGGTGGGAGGGAGTTGAGATCTGGCATGGCGGTCCAGGCCCTCTTTTCCCTTTCTAGTTTGTTATGGCTCAGAAGAAGGAAAGGAAAACAGTGAAGGCGCAACTCGATCCGGGCTTGTGAGCTTGCGTTGAGGCGAGGTCACGCATCCGCCAAGGCCAGGAGTAAGTGGCAGGTGCATCTGTGGGTGGTCTGTTCGGTTTGTTTGGCTCGTACGCGGGGGAAGAAGATATCACTATGCAATAATAGGCAGTTTGGCTGTGTAGGCGGTAGGTGGTAGGCAGTTGGCAGTTATGCACTATGGCGTATGCGCAACTATCAAATGGCGGGGCTGTGCGGGTGCTGGGCTGGGGTAGATAGAACCTGCTGGGGCTGACTGCTATGAGCTCACCGGAAGGGATGCTCAGCATGGAGGGGTACAGGGGACCGATGCGTCACTGGACCCTCCCCCCCTCCCCAATCTTCTCCAAACTCCAGGGTTCGCTCCCTACTGAAGCAAGTAAGCCTTGATACTTATGTACACTGTAGCAATTAATCACCACAGCAGTTGTATTTCTCGAAACCACGTCGATAACCATACCTTACCCAGGTCTCTCTACCCAGCTCGCTGTCCATCAGGAAAATGGTCAATAAGGAGGAAAACATCAGATGGAAAAGAAGGAGAAGAACAAAAAAAAAAAAAAAAAAAAAAAAAAAAGTAACACTAGGCTGAACAGACCAACCGTTTAGCTAGGCCCGCTTATTGGGTTTCGTTTGCAGTGGTTTATGGTGTGTCATTGCTGATCCCCAAGCCAGATTCTGACCACCACATGACCGTCTCCAGGCGGCCTAGGTCATCGCCGGCAGCTGTGATCTCGAGATCTCGATGTCTCTCTTCCTTCCCTCTGTATCCTAACAGACTTAACTGTCTACTGATGGCTCGAAAGCGGACGGAGGGGACGGACGTGCAAACCGCAAAGAGGCACGGGCACAAAGCCAAGGGTCGGCTCTGCCTGCTTCCTCCCGACCTGAACAAGGACGCGCCAATACCATCACACCACTCCACGCCTCCTCGACTGATCTGCCGTATGATCCAATCAACTTGACCGTGACTCTGGCCTACGTCCATGACCATCATAACCGCCTTTGTCTAAATTTCTATCTGCCATGTGCGCAAAGACCGTCTAGGATTCCGAACCTCGCGCGACTCAAAGACACCTGCTCCCACAACTCCTTCATATATGGAGCCTGGTCACTTTTCGCACATGATCTCTTGACGCAGCCCTATGAAGGCCTAGAGCGCTCCCTGGTTCTCGGATAGTAACGATTCCTACAATTGATACTCCCATCTGGCCACGAGGAACCTTCAGAGACTGCGCCACCACAGAGAAAGAGGAAAAGAAGATGGAGAGAACATTATCATAGGATCTGGATAATAACTCGGACCCGACTTGCCTCAACTTGCACCCCTACATAGCCAAGACTGGGGTCACGATACTTTGACCTGAGTTGCCTCTCTGCCCTCTGAGGGAGGGGGCCTTGCGCGTGAGCCCACCACTAACAGCATTGTTGGGAGGACAGATGCACGTCAACAAACGCACACGCGACCGACGTCGTTGACACTTTGGATCCCACCACTCAACCTCAACGGGTCAGACGAAGGTTTCGCCCGCAACGGTGCAATGCTGAGTGATTTCTCGTGTATGTGTTGTTGCACCGGTCTAGCTAGGAAACCATGACTCTCACGACGTTCCGCGTCTGTTTAAACTTTTTCTTCGTCCTTCTTTCCTCCAAGGACGATATCTAGTGCTTCTCTTGAGATTTGGAATCGGAGAGGGCCTAGCACATTCCATCAGTGCATACTTCATGTTGCTTGGGTAGAGGGCAAAGCTCAAACTTGATGGCTGTCGTTTCCGCTGAGGCCATGATACCGCGCGTCGAGGACGTGATTTGCCTCGTATCACCACGCAAAATCATATGGAATACATGGGGGCCTTTGCCTGTAGGATGTGCTCCAACCACGAATACCTAGTTCGATGCTGTTGAGCTCCTACAGCACCAGGGCACTCACGGAATTGACGCGCCACCGGGGCCGGCACGTCTGCTGCCCGAGCGCAATTTCGTCTTATCACATGGACTTTTCGCGACTTCGGATCTCGGGATTCAGCAGAAAAGAGAAGAAAGAGAGAAGAGGTTCCTACCACTACAATCGTTCTGTAACAATCTTGTAGAAACAAGGCTGTCCTCGTGCAGGGCGGAAAGCCTCTAGGGCGCGATGTCACTGTCAAGCTCTGCGAGCGGGAGGGCGGACGGCCTAGGGGATGTATGCGATAAGTTCCGGCAAAAGCTACATTTTGCTGAATCGTGGAGGAAAAGCTGAGTTATCGTAAAGGACAAATAAGAAAAAGAAGCTAAGTAAATATGCAAAGAACCCAACCAGGCTGTCGCTGTTAAGCTGGCGCTATTCTCCCTTACAGTTTGTTGACTACTTCTGCACCGGCGATCTGGAATAGACGAGGCAGGCAAAGCGTAGTGGTTTTGGGGGAGGGGGGGATTGCTTCCTCTCTTTCTTTTTCGTATATACGAGCAACATGCACTTCTTTTCTGTTCTCTCTGCTCGTTTTTCGCATTCTACACAAATCGATCCCCTTACTACTTACTACTACTACTACTATACTACTGTACGCGCAAGAAGCACGCGCGGCTCGGAATCCGACGATGTGCGGGATTTCGACACGAACGGTTCTTGACAAGAAAAAGAAAAAAAAAGAGGGGACTACAGTAACGATGTGTGTAATAACTTTCCTATTGCTTGCCTCCGATCCGGCCGTCTGGCTTGCCGCGCGCCTGGGTGGGTGTGGGTGTGGGTGTGTGGGTAGGCGGATGGGCGGAGTCCTGCAAGATCCAGTCGGTCGGTCGGGGACCATCCTATTCGGCGACGTCGTGCACGGCGGGCCGCGTTTTGTATGGTAACCCTTTTGTTTTTTCTGTTGTTTACTTTTTTTTTTTGCCTTTTTGTCACAGGGTAGGTAGTCTATAATTTGGAATACTGCAGGATATCAAAGGTCTATTTTCCCCCATCCAAAGATATCGAAGATTGGCTGCCGCGCCCCCCCCCCCCCCGGCACTCTGGGCAGAGTTTGTGGATATGCCATGGAACTCTAATCTACACGAAGCCAAAACGAAGGAGGGGAGCACCAGCCAAGAGCACAATCTCCACCATTGTTGTTGGGAAAAATACAGAGAGAAGAAGAGAGAGAGAGAGAGAGAGAGAGAGAGAGAGAAGAGAGAGAGAGAAAGCACGCGATTGTATTCTAGAGGTCTGGGCCGAGTCAGGACTTGCGGGGACCTCCCAGAGCATCCGGCCGGCGCTACTGCAGGTACCAAGTGCGAATGGAGCTTCTTAGTGAAAAGGTGAGCGAATGCGAAGGGGGAAAAAGGCGAAGGAATATTTCTGTACTACCGTGTAATAGTTATAGTATGTTACTTGTGGCGCAACGCTGCGATAGTGTATACAGTAGTGTGTAGAACCACACTGCTTCGTCAGAGGGGGATGATCTGCGGTGCACCGCATGGAAAATGGGGCACCCTAAAGCAGATCATCTCGAGGCTACGCTGCATGGCCCCAGGACGGGGCTCAACGCGTCACCGGAGGAGAGAGGGGATGGGAAAAGGAAGGGAAGAGAAGAAACAGGAGAAAGAAGAAAAGAGTTGAGGGGACAATCCCGCTGGGCGGAGGAATTGTCCAAACGTCGGTCCCGATGGGAGGCAGGAATCACGAGGCCACTTTGGTGTCTTTTTGAAACATATACTTATGTACTTACATGGCACATTGCCTGATCCGGTATGGTATGCCTCTTAGGACGTCTCTCTGTGTACAACATGAGGGGGGCGAAAAAGGATCTCAGAGTCGGCGAACATTAACTCTGTGGGCAACATTCCACACCTGTCGGGGAGACAACCCGAAATACGCCGTGTCGGGTCATGTAAGCTGTCCTTTTGACGAGAAAAAAAAAAGAAGAAGAAAAGAAAAGGAGTGAAGGACCGTGTCGAATGTGTAATGTTTCTAAAAATTGCCTCGCGGGACAGGACATATTCTTCCCGACTCGCGCGACATCCACCATCATCACGAGCCAAGGGAGGGAAAGAAGAGACGAAGCAGCTAAGAGGGGAAAGAAGAAAAAGGAAACGAAAAGAACACGAGACGGTAGCACGATAGTGCGACGAACCAGTGGAAACGTGCAGAAGAACACCCCCGCCCCCCCCCTTCCATGATGCCGTGGTCGTTCTTAGGTGTGCGACGGCTGGTAAGCGAGAGACATGGTGAAAGGGCCGCCACAGATAGGCTGGGCCCTTGGGCTGGCTTACCCTGCCTTGCCGTGCTGCTGGCGCTGGTCCTATTCTTCCTTCTACTCCTGTTCCTATTCCCACTTACTCTCCCTCCCCCTCTTTGGAACTGCTTCTGGGCCCCAGAGATGGCGGCGGGGGGCTTACAACTTCGGAAGCTTTTTTCCGTCTCCTTTGGGTCCCGTGTCGAATCCCTTCTCTCCAGTGATAGGTTATCGTCGCGTAGGGTTTTTTTTGTACAAATTGGTTGATTGGCCTCTATACTACGCGATGATTTTGGGTAGGGTTGTTCATTTCGAAATTTGATGAGATGAGACGCGAATGGAGAGAGAGGGAAAGGGGGGGGGGGGCGCGGATGGACAGAGGTATCATAGTACGAGATGGGCAAAAGGTTGGCGCCATCTAGAGCGAATCAATGAGTAGTGCAGAAACGAAAGGGGAGGGGCGGAAGAGGGGGCGGGGGGCATCATGTACCAGTATGCATGTGTGTGTGTGTGTGTGTGTATGTGTAGTGTGGTGTGTGTGCCTGCTCTCGTGGATGGAAGGAGGGGAAGCGAAAGAATGGGCTGCAGGAGTGATCGAGGAGGTCTTGCATCACGGCCCCTGCGCCGTCGCAGGCGAGACGCATGCCACCACTGTGGGGGGAGGGGGGCAAGGGGGGCCGGAGTGGGATGCTGCAGGTCAGGCTGCAGCCGCGCGCGCTTTGGCCGTCTGGTTCTCGTCTTGCCTCAGGACCCTTTTCCTCTCTCTTTGTGGTTGTCTTTTGTGTGATATGACCAAGGTAGACGGGAAGGGGTTCGGGTGCGTGGATGGATGGATGGATGGATGGATGGGTGGGTAATGGATGGGTGTAAGTCGAATTCCGACCTGCGGTTGTGTGGCATCATGAGACAAGATGATTTGAGGATCGAGACAAGACAACCAATGAATAAGAAATGGGAATGGAGTGGCCAGATGCAGAGCCGCCCACCCTTCTCCTCACAAAATCTCCAGATGTTTGCAGTAGACTGACTGATGGCACAGTCTGGGCCAAGAAGGGGCGGGTTGTAGTTGTAGCCCTCGTATTTATTACTTTTTGCCCAGACGTTTCCAATGCGGATCACCTTGTCTTCCCCGCGCCAATCGCTTTACATGAAGTGGCGGTCATGACAATCTTGAAAATACTGTTGTTGTATTCAAAACAGCGTTGCGAATACGATTTCTCCCTTTTGCAGAGAAGAACAAAATTTAATAAGTCAATAGATGAAGGGGGGAGAAAGGGATAATCAAAGAAAGTTCATCAAAATGACGACGTCAAGGAGGCTGAAAAAAGCATTGCGTGCCTAAGTTCATTCCCCTTGCCCCTGCTCCAGCTTTCAGCTTCTCCCGGTCCCAACAGTCAGAAGTCCCCGTGCGGCCCCTGCATTTCGTGGTCCAAGTGAAAACCTTTTCTTCTTTTCTTTTTTCTTTTCTTTCTGTCGCTCTTTCTGTTTATCTCTCTATCTCTCTCTATCTCTCTCCGTCCCCCCCCCCTTCTCCTCTGAAGATGGCTATGGAAGGGGGAAAAGAAGAGGGGGGCAAGGGTGTCTTGGGACGCTCAGAGTGGGGCAAAGTCACGCTGGGATCGGTTTGTGTGCCGTCGTCAAAGAAAGGCTCCGCTCTTGGCGGTACCGTTACATTGTACTTTATGTATGTACGTATGGTACTATGTACTACTGGAGTGTGTAGGAACCCACAAAATACACCCTCTCCTCCTTGTCGGGTGAGGAGGGATGCAGTCTCACAAAGGTCCTGTCCTGTCCTGTCCTACCAACCTATGTACGTAGGCGCATACAGGAATGGGCTCTGATATCAGGGGCGGCGTAAGGACGATTTAATATGTTACCAATTTTTGGGGGAGGGGGGGCCTCGCAATGAAATGAAATTCACATGGCAGACCGGTCTGCCGGGTCTGAACACCCATGCATAACTAAATGACCGGCTTCATCGGTAAAAATTGTCCCACCGGACAAAGGGGAGGGGAGGTGTGATCTCTAGCCGGTTGAGAAGGGGGGGTATGGGGGGGGGGGAGGGGAAAGCTGAGAGACGAGGAGGAGGAAAATCCTTTGAAAGTCAAAAGGTAAGTGGAGAGATCCGATCATATGTTTTCTTCCTTCTTCGCGACAGGCTCTCCCGGCTCTGAATTCGGTCTTACCGAGGCTTCAAATCAGAAAATATATATATATATATATATATATGCCCGTTGTTCATATGCACAAGGGACTATAACGATGATGATGACGCTGTTCTTGCCTCGTCTCTTCACCTCTTGTAGGTTTTCCTGGATTTTTTCCTTCTCTTTCATCTTGTCCTTGTCTTCTCTCTTTCTGTCCACTTCGGCATATGAACTAACATCGATGGTGGTACACACAGTATTACAGGGCTGCAAGAGGTGTCCACAATGTTCCACCGATCTCTCCCATCCCGTGGAGCCGGGATACACTGGCCTGTCCCTGTCGCTCGGCTGCCAGCCCTGGCTCCTACATAGTACCATAATACAAACCCGGAAGAAGGTTTGTTCTCTTGCTGCGACACGCCGGCAATGATAGAAGATGGGAAATTTTCAATCGTGGTGGACAGAGAGAGAAGAAAAACCATGAATGCACACACAGTACCACGAGCAAAACAACAAGAGTTTCTTCAACGTGTGGCTGAACTGGTGATTGTCGCCGATTAGGGTCATCCCAAAATCTAGAGCTCGTTTCGAGATGGCCCCCAGATCGAGATGTGGCCACGGCAGTGTGCAAGAGATACACGCTGTGTGGATCGTGTGTCAGTCGGAACTCTAGACCACTCGACTCTTCTGTCATTTCATTTGCACTGTAAATGACGAAGTTGAGATCTTCTACCGTGCAGCGTGCAAGGTATTTGGTGCCCAAGCCGTTGTAGAGATCGCGAGGATAAACCCGTCACGTTGAGAAAAAATCCCAGAAAATCATCAGGGGCCAGGGGCTGAGGAAAATGCCGACAACGGTTGAGGTAAGAGGAAAAACACGAAGAAGAAGAAAAAAAAGAACCGTGGACCTTTTTTCTACTCTCCAAGAACCCTGGCCATGCCTCTCTGCCTTGGCCCAACGTTCAATTCGATCCAATTCAACTCATCCCAGCTTGGAGCCAACGCTTTAACCCCTCCCCCCCCCACAGCAGCCGGACAACCTTGATCCGCGATCAGCCCCAATAGTCATGGAAGAAAGCATCAGCCTTTTCTCATTTCCGAATCCTGCATAAACGCACAGGCAAGTGCGAGGCGTGAACGAACAAAACGGGTTGCCGACGCGAGAAATACGGGCGTGCACCCATGGAGAAACGTGGATAACACGGTTGGCAAGACGCGTCAATCCTACTATATATACAGTAGGTGTCAGCACTTTACGGTGTGATACATGGTAGGCAAGTGGTTTAGGGAAGTTTGGGTATGAGCATGGTGAGGAAGAGTCAAGGGTTGGTGGTGGGAGGAAACGAAGCGCGTCGCCGCTCCATGGATGCGTCGGTCCCTTGGCTGTGAGTGGACGGGAGCCTGAACGAGATCCGGGATGGATGTAAGATTTGCGAGATGATTGAACCCATCCCCTGGTACCCTGGTTGTGCCGTGGCATTTTCAACCTATGGGCTACTGCTGTGGTACATCTTACATGACATTTCTCAGAGGCTATCGCACAATAGTGCCCTCGGCACGAAGGGGAGAGAGACATCTGGGCAGAGAGCACGAGGTCTGTCCCGACATGTGTCACCACAGCCGTGCCAACACAGCCTGTCTCTCTCTCTTATTCTCTACACACCGTACAGAATCTTTCATTGTGACTGTAAAGGCGCTTATCACGATAGAACGAGCTCGGTCATGCACGTACAGCCGGGCGGGCTTGCCAGTCGCATTGTCTATCTTTCCCCACGTCTCCGCCCTGAAAGGCGGTGATGATGATGACAGGCAGGCTAGGGTCGGGCCAACTCGACGAGACAAGGTAAGCAAGCCTAGGTTAAACAACTGTGAAAAAGACACCTGACACCATCCTTCTCCTCTACCATTGACAAATAGAAACAAAGCCCTACTGCCATCCGATGAGTGGTTTCTATGAGAAGAGGATGGGCCTGCAAAGAGAGGGCTGACTACCACCACAACAAACACATTGTTTAAAAGAAACAAAGAGTCAACGTTGTCATCCACAATAGGTTTGTAATAGCTCTCGTAGCTCGCAGCTCGCAGCTCGGAGCCCGCACCCCCCAGCAGCACGTCTGTGCTCTCCCGTCAACCGGGCTTTCTTGCTGAGCTGGCGGGGCCACACGATCCACAGGCCTTGCATCAAAATCCGCCAGCCTAAACCCTGTACAGAGACCAGTTTGATCAGGACACACTCTCCAAAGCTCTTTCTCTCTCTCTCTCTCTCTCTCTCTCTCTCTCTCTCGTTGCTGTCTGAGGTTGGCGTGGTGGCTGACAAGAGCGAGAGAGAGCGAGAAAAAGAGAGAGCAGAGAGACAAGGGGCAGGGTAAGACACACAAGGATGGAGCTGGCATGCTCTGACACGGTACATGCTTGATGTATTTTGTACGTATAATACTGGGCATACCATGACTATAGAGAAAGTAGCTTGTACGGCTGTCCCGCAGTACCTTTTCGGGCTGTGGTGAACCCCAGGCAGGTCGTCATGGTACCCCGGGCCAGGCGGTCAGGGCGGCCGGTAGCGACAGCCCCATCCACCTACCAGCATTCAGCCTAGGTCACCCCCACTACCTTCAACGCTGCTGCTCCTCCCCCCCCGGTCGCGTCTTCCCGCTGCGTCCCGCTCCAGGTCCCTGCTAGAACTAACCAGGGCCAGGTCACCCCTTCCCATTGTTTTTCTTTCTTTCGTGCTCTCTCTTTTTTTTCTTTCCCCCAAAGAGAGTCAGTCCTCTTTAATTATTCGCCGTGTATGTTATGTACACCCAAGATCGATGCTATATCCCCCGATGGCCCAGTTCTATATGCTATACCTTGTACTGTACACGCATTATAAACTCTCCTCCCGTCTCTTTTAAAGTCACAGACTCTCCTTCTCCATCAGCCAGCCGGCGATCCGTGGCCCTGTGCAGCTTGTCTCTTCCATTCCTGCACTTCTTCTCGGAGGGGCCCTCCTCTGTTTTCACTTCACACCAAAGTTCCTAATTTGAAGGGTAAAAAAACCCTAACGACCAACCCTGCCCTCGTCCAGAACGGAATCAACGATTTCCCTCCCTCTCATGGACCTGGTCAGACGTGGACTGCTGGCTCTTGTACAACCACCACAGTCAAACTTATTTCCGCATCCGTGAAGGGATTGTCTGAAACATCTTTGTCCCCGGGTCTTGATGTGTTTATTTCAGTATTCCCTCTCTGACACCCTGAGCTGAGGACGCGTGCACCGTATCCGGGGGGACTTGCCCTGACAACCCGATCCGGACCTGGGTTTGGTCTGAACCCGATCCTGTCGCTTTCGTACCACGACACCTGTCTCGTCACTCCTTTTTCTAAATCCAACGGCGCGTCCAATCGCCTCTTGGTGATATTACCAACGAAAGAAGAGAACAAGAGGAGAACGCCCTGGCGAGTCTCGAACACAGTCTCTCGTTCCTGCACAGATGGTGGATCTTGTCAGCTTGACTTGAACTTGTTTCTTATTCTGCGTCACTCGCTTCCGTCACATGGGAGGCCAACCCTCCTCGATGATCAGCCGCTGCACAGCTCTACGATCTTCCACAACGTACTGTCATCTCCTCACTGATTATTTTCCCCCGTTTGGATTCACCGTCATATCACGGGTGGATCTATCCGTATCTGGCCTTGGGAGACGATGAACGAGGCAGTCCTGTCGACGCCACCAGAATACACCCAGCAGTCCTTCCCACAACCCACAAAGCTCACACGCAAAATGAGGCCGCCGGACCTCGAAATTAAGGCCACTATGGACAATAGGCAAGCCTTGCGCGGCGACAAGAACGCCAAGGCCGCAAAGAGGGAATCGAGGCTGACTTTCGGGAGGTTATTTGGGCGGCATAAGGTGGGAATGGAGGTGGATGCCGTCAAGGGCGGCACCCGGGAAGCCGGCGAGTCGTCCAAGAAGCCGGAGGTGGGGAGCGAAACGATCGGCGGTCTGCCTTATGACCTGCAGCCCAAGGCGACACAGTCGGACATGCAGCTCGCTTCCACGAGGGAACAAGAGGCTGCCCTGCACCCAAAGACCGGGGGCCTGAGATCACCACCTTTTTCTCCATCGCCCAAATCGCCGGCCTTGCTTCCGAGTGGCAAGAGGAGAGGCTCCCTTGCTACTACTCCCACCACCTTATGGGACCGTGTGCCGCTCTTCCAGGCCTGGCCACAGGCCATCCGCACCGCAACGCTTCCGGCCTGCGTTCAGGCCGACCACCTCCTCAAGATGCACAACAAGAAGGAGACAGCGATGACCACCATCAGCCACCCCGACCTGGGCGACGAGAAGACCATGTTCGCGGAGATGGCGAGGCCGAAGAAGCACAGGCACGACAGCTCTTCGTTCAAGCTCGACTGGACCAGCAAGATCTACATGCTGGTCACCTCGGGCTACCTGCTCCAGTACGCTGGCGACGGACCGCACGACTGTCTGCCGGAGAAGGTGGTCCGACTGACCAAGGATTCGGCGGCCTTTGCGAGCGATGTGATTCCTGGGCGGCACTGGGTATTGCAAGTATCTTCGGTGTTTGAGGACGGCGCTGCTCTCATGAGCCAAGACACCCGGTCGTTGCTGGGCAAGTTTGGACTCCGTGAGAAGGAGAAGCGGCAGGCTTCCGACTGCCTCATGGTGTTCGAGAACGTCACAGATATGGAGGGCTGGATGGGTCTCCTGCGGAAGGAAATCGAGGTGCTCAGCGGCAAGGTGCCCGTGACGGAAACGGGCAGGCCGAAGGTGGATAACGACCAGACTCTGGTAGGCACTTCGCCGCGCTCACCCGTCTCGCCCATGCAGCGGACACTGGCCTTCCAGGATCTCAATCGATTTACGCGCAACGGCAGCATGCCAGACATCCGGTGGAATGCGCCAGCGAGCTCCGAGAGCCCAGACTCCAACCTCGCCGCGACCTTGGCCGAGCTCACACCTGACCATGTGGACAGCAATTCCGCCACCAACAGCTTCGTCTCCCAGGATGGCCAACAGCTAGATGCTCTCAGGGATAGCTCTAACCGATACTCGTTCATGTCGATCGCACGGACGGTCGTTACATCGGACTCTTCAGCGTGCAATTCGCCCATCCGCGACAGTTTCGGCAGCGGGAGCCAAGGCAGCCACCCTTCTGCTGAGGATGCTACGCCCCTGGCTGACGAGCTCAGAGATATCCGTCTGCGACCCAATGCGGCCGAGATCGAGGACCGGCGACAATCGTATCGGACATCGAACATAATCCTGGAATCGGGTGGGCAGTACATGCCCCAACGACAGCACTCGTCCCTCTCGGCCGTGCAGGAGCCACCAAACTTCAGCCTCCCCAACGCCGCAGCACGTCGTCGTGCAGCCAGTCAGAACGGCGCCGACACGATGCACGGCGTCACTACTCACACGACATCAAACAACAGACCCCCACGAAGACCAAGGAGGCCGCCGCCCCCAACGCTAGGCTTCACCCGGCCCCTGTCTGTGGTGGCCGACTCTCCTTCTCCATCCAGGTCGTCGGCCCACAGTTCTTTCAAGACCGACGACGATAATTGCCTCTTCTCACAGCCACCCGACAGCTCCTCGATGCTCACTAGCTGGGCAGCCGAGAATGGTCGCCTAGAGTACGACCTTTCTTCATCACAAGCATCGAATCGCACATCGATGGCCCCATCGCTTCAGGCCCCGGTCCAGACCAGCCCCCGCAAGGCAGCCAGCACGACCACGCTCCGGCCAGCACAGCATTCTTCTCTCTGGGGCGATGGCGCGCCCCAGTCGGACCTCCCCTTCCGCGCCATCGTCCACCAGGGGCCCCCACATGACAGCAGGACGCTGGAAGTTGTGGCAGAGGTTCCCAGGAGCATGGGCTCGGTGGAGGACTACCCGGCGGTGCCCATGGCGGTATCCCCACGATCTCGCTCACCGATTCAGCGTGCCATGGCGGCACAGAAGCGGGCCAGCGTGTACAGCCTCACATCACCTACGGGCTCTTCTCGGCGCGGGTCTGTCTATAGCGTCGCCGGCCAGTCAGTCACGCACTCTGACCATCTCGACGAGCTCTTCCGCTCCCGTGCCGCCTCGCCGCCGCCACCATCCAGGAACTCGCGCAGGGAATCTCTCCTGTCCATCCCGGGACACTCGCGAAATGGGTCGAACGGGTCGGCCAAAAGCTTCCTGAGCAACAGGCGCAGCATGCCGCATATGCCACAGCCGCCAGCGCAGGGCCTCGTGCTCCCGCCGCTGTCCGCCCCGCCACCGAATAAGGCGCTGCCACCGATCCCGACAAGGAAACCCAACAGGAGGTCTGGAAGCATACCTCCTCGAATCAGCGTGGGGATAGGTGGTGCTTTCTGACGCCCCGTCCCCATTTTATGTGTGCATGTGTGTTATGTGTCTCAACGACAGATTCTTTTTTCCTTTTTTTTTTTTTTTGGTAGCTTATCTCGTTATTTATTCATGCACGGAGCGTCAAAATGACAGTCTGGGCTGGGTTCCTGGACTTTGGTCTCTTTTTCTTCTATTATTTCTTTCTTGGACGGTACCTACTTTACCTCCTGCGCTACTGTGTAGTGCTGTTCTGTTCTGTTCCCTTGAATCTCTCCTTTGTCTGGCCAGGTTCGGGAACGGTTATAACGGGATGGACAATGGATACGGATGGGACGAGACAGGAGTGAAATTGGCGTTTTCAAAGATGGGAACGGAAACACCACGCTTGGGTGAGCATTGATGACAGGGTTTTCCATTGGCCTTGGAGCATGTCGACATGTCATGTGATGAACGCATTATGGGAACGACCGTAGGGCATTGCATTGCATGGCATCGCATTGGCTTCTTGGGATTATTATCATTATTATTATTGGGATAAAAGAAGGTCAAAACAGGACCTGAGGGGCTTGCACGACAGCTCCTTCTGAGCGAAGACGAGCCTTGCTCTACAGGATGGGATACGTACCTTGTTCGCCTCGTTTACTGAAGGCTTGGAACGTAATCTAAAAGTCTGTTCAAGTAATCTTGCTTGGGTGTGAGATTTTTCAGGTGTGAGATGTGGCAGCCGTTTTATGATCATGAATCTTGTGTCCGTCAATGTATTCTGTTCCTGGTTGGGGAGGGTGACAAGGCATGATTCCCGCCAGGGTCAAGTACTTATCCAAGTAGAAGCAGTTATTGGCGTGCCTTGCTTCTACCCGCTCATGAGGTGTAGCCCCAATGACTAAGCGGGAAGCCACCTCTTGGGGTCAAACCCACGCTAAACACCCTGGCCCCACCACAAAAGACTGTCCCATTTCGAGCCTTGACGAATTTATTCTTTGCCCGCCCCCGCTGCTACCACAACCAAAGTTCCATCAAAAAACCCCCCTTCGACAGGAACAAGAGACCACCACCAACAAACAAGACACGCACCCACCCACACGCACATCACGCACATAATACAAGCACAAGCACACAAAAAAAAAAACCCCCCACGATGGCGACTGCTACCAACAACGCCCGCGACTGGGCTGACGACGACGACAACGAGGAAGTGCCAACCACCCTCCCCCCCGACGAGACTATCCAGAACCGCGACGGAACCAAGACAGTCATCTCGTATCGCATCGACGACCAAGGGCGAACCATCAAGACAACCCGTCGCATCCGCATGATCACGCACCGCGAGGTAGTCAACCCGCTCGTCGCGATGCGCAAGAAGTGGCCCAAGTTCGGTCTCTCCGCCAACGACGGCGCGGGCCCGGCCCCCGACACCACCTCGGTCGGCGAGAATATCATCTTCCGGCCCAGCGCCAACTGGAAGCAGGAGGCCCAGAACGAGGCCAACGACCCCAACGCCCAGAGCCTGAAGCAGAAGCTGGCCGGCTCGAAAGTCAAGTGCCGTATCTGCAACGGCGAGCATTTCACGGCCCGTTGCCCCTACAAGGACACCATGGCTCCCGTCGGCGGCGAGGCGGACGTTGCTGCGGGCATGGGTGACGAGCCCTCTGCCGGCGGCGCGAGCAGGGCTGGTGAGGGGGAGGCTGGTAAGAAGGGCAGCTATGTCCCGCCTGCTCTGCGGAAGGGCGGTGCTGGTGGCGAGGGCGAGAAGATGGGTGGCAAGTACAGCGACCGCGACGACTTTGCCACACTTCGTGTCACAAACGTATGTTTTCTTCTCCCTCATGGTCCTATCTTACTCTTTTAGTGCTCGTCACACCGGGTTTGGGCGAAGATATTATTGATCCGTAATGCTGACTTTTCGTCTTTTCTTTCACAGGTCTCCGAGATGGCCGAGGAGCAGGAGCTTCGCGATATGTTCGAGCGCTTCGGCCGCGTCACCCGCGTCTTCTTGGCCAAGGACCGTGAGACCGGTCGTGCTAAGGGCTTTGCTTTCATCAGCTTCGCGGACAGAGATGATGCTGTCAAGGCATGCAACAAAATGGACGGCTTTGGATTCAAGCACTTGATCTTGAAGGTGGAGTTCGCTAAGAAGGCCTAAGGAGGAGGCAGGCCGGCAGGCAAGCAGGCAGGCCCGTTTCATAAGGAAAGCTAAGGACTATGCAGCGCCTCTCTGATCGTTCACGTGGAGCGCATGACTTGTTTGAGCATGCGCATTTTTGGGCCCGTGAGATGACCGCTGGTACTCGGCAGGGCTCCACAGTCTGGAGCTATAAGGGAATCAAAATAGATGGCTTGGATTTGGGGGAATGCAAATTATTCATGTTTGAATCAGTTTCTTGCCTTTTCCTGCCAGGTCGAACTCGGGAAGTCAGAAAAATGTTGTGACTGCTTAATGGCTTAACTATCTATCCCCACTTGAGATCATATCATAGCGAGACTGAGGGCAGCCGGGTCGTCTTGCTCCTGGAATTTAACCATTTCTGATGGAAGGGAGGTGTACCAGCGAGTACCATGGTATAACTTCACGACATATGTATGCATTACGGATATTCGTTGTCATTGGAATTATCCTAGTGGTGGTATTATCAACCATTATCCTCCCTTCCTCCCGCCACGTGAACAATCTATTTATCCATGACCATCTTTTGTTCTCTCTCACCTGGGATATCACTGACAAAGAAGAAGACAAAGGAAAGAGAAGAAGAGAGAAAAAAGAAGAGAAAAAATAGAAAAAGGGGGAAAACTAAGCAGTTATGACGTGGGAAATAATTCCCTCCTCAGGCCTCCATCCCCCCAGAGCCGTACGTTGCATATTCTCTTCGTATACATGAATGACCTTCCGACTGACTGACCAGTTTCTTTTTCTGAGAAGGCCTCACCTTTTTTCGTTGTTGATGAGGCCTGATTATTCCGGTCGTTATCGTCGCTTCGTCAGGTCGTGGAAAGAGAAACAAAACTGGGGTAAAAAAAGAAATAGGAAAGAAAGAAAAAGAAAAAAAAACCCATGAGTGAGAGTGAGAGTGAGTGAATGAGTGGAGGGGTGTTTTCCCTGGTCAAATCCAACCAAGTCGCAAAAGACAAAAGGAGAAACTCGAAAAACACAGAAAAGGCCAGCCTTCACGTTAAGGGGGGCAGGTATCAATCTCGTCGCCCCCATTTTCTTCCTTTTCGATAAAGGCCTCAACAGGCCCAGACCGCCACACCGACGTTTTTCTTTGGGAGGGTGAAGAAGATCCCCCACTGTGTGCAAGATCCATTAGTTCTCGTCACGCTCACCATCATTGTCACCACGGTGATCGGCACCCTCGCGAATGGTCTCGCCGCCGTCCTTCTCCAGCATCTCCCTGTCCCGCCGGAGCTTCTCCTCCAGCTTGCGCTGCTTGTCGGCGGCCCGCAGCCTGCGCTTCTCCTCGGCCTGGCGGGAGAGACGGTCGTTCTTGTCGCGGAGGAGATATCCCGCGCTCTTGAGCACGCCGAAGCTCATCTTGAAGCCGGTCCAGGTGTGGTGGAGACCTTGTCTGAAGTGGGATTTCTATGTAGGGGGATTAGCGAGGATGGTTCTTTTTTTTCTTTGTTTTTTTTTCTTCTGTCTGTCGCTCCTCATATATCAAATGTCACTTGAACAGAAATACACAATCATCTTCACCAACCCTCCCCCTTCCCGCCCCCCCCCCAAAAAAAAAACTACATACCGCTTCATGATAATTCGCCCGGGCTGCGGTGGCACGCTTCTTGTTCCTGTATTCGCGCTCCTTCTTCTGTGCGTCCTTGAAACGGTGCGAGGCGCGGCGCCGGTTGTTGGTCAGCAGCATCTCCGTGCCGGAGGTGCCTGGGCGGGCGGGCTCGTCCTCACCCCGTGCGGCAGTGGAGGAGCCTGGATCGGACGGGTCCGTGGTGGCGCTGGCGCTGGCGCCCTTCTTGGGGCCTTGGCGGGCGGCGGCGTCTGGCTTGGAGAAGAAGCTCATTGGGATGAAGATTGAAGGTGAATTGGTGATTCTATCTCTCGGTGTTTGTGTGTTTTTGTATATGTATGTATGTATGTATGTAAATAATAACCAGGGGTTTTGGTACGAAAGGATAATAGAGGGGGTGTATGGGCCTTCCCCAATATAAGACTGCAAATATATATGTGGTATGTTTTTAAAAGTGTAATATATGATCCAACGAGATCGAGAACAGACACGAACACGGCGGAGAAAAAGAGAGAACGAGGAACGAAAACAGAAAACAACAGAGAGGGCAAGAGGTGGGAGAGACGGGGACCATATGTCGCGACGACCTCTCCCCCCAGTCGACGTCCTTCGAGGTAGTATAGTATAGCAATACTCTGACTCACTCACTTTATCTTAACTCACATATAACCATGGGTCTCCACCCCCCACGAGAGCGGTGCGCTGTACGCGCCGTGCCTCCCAGGGTCGCGGTGTGGAAAATAGCAAGGGGGGCCCACACACAGCTCCCCCCCTCGCTTGGTGTATGTGTTGGCCATCTTGTTCGAGATGGGCGCGGGGAAAAGGGGACATGGATGAATGACTAAGTGAATGAGTGGTGGGAGGGGAGGAGGGAGAGGAGGGAATGGAAGACAGAGCTGGGAAGCAGTTTTGGCTGGCGGTGTATCCCTGGAATTGCTTGGATGTGGGTGATCTGGGTGATCTCCGGGATGTTCATGCGGTCGTGTGATTTTGTGAGGCAGCCCAGGCAAATGGGAGAGGGTCTCGTCAGGAACGGAACCTTTCCATAGATCTTCGATGTTTCTTCTTGGAGGGAACAAGGGTCACATATTTCGATGTTCCTCATTATAGACATGCCTGTCCTTGTAGCTGGGATGACACGGTTCCTCGATGATGGATGTGTATATAAGTTTATGATCTCTTCTGGCCGAGGCGAGCAGTCGAGGTAGGTGAATGGAGGAATTGGTAGGGGTGGGGGCATGTTGAATGGTAGATTTCGAGAGACAGAGCTAGTGACGAGTGAAGGAGAGAGCATGAAGATGCCAAATGAAGGCGCTGGTCAAAGTTCTTACACGAGAGAGAGAGAGAGAGAGAAAGAGAGAAAGAGCCTAGCAGGAATGGGCATATCCTTGTCAGCCCTATGGTATAGCGCGCCGGTATTATACCCAGCTAGCCTCGAGATCATCTTATCTACTTTATTCTATCATATCTTCCTGCTGTGGGCCTCTTTTTCGATCTGTTGCATTGCTGAATCTTTTTCTTCTCTCTTCTCTTGTTCCCGAGGATTCCTTGGAAGTACTCTGCAAGTGTTTCGTGCTCTGCATCATGAAGAAGAGGACGAATCATTGACTGCTGACGGAGCCTGTCTTGAAAAGAGAAAGAGGTGGGAGGTGCTTTTTGCATCAAACCTCCTTTTGGGCGAGATCAAAAGACTTGATGCTCAAGACAGATCAGAAGGCAATGACTAGCAAAGCATTGAGAGACAATTATGGCCCTCACTGTTGAAGTAATATTGGGCGTGGTTGTGAGAGAAACATCGCTACTGTTTCCGTATCGCATGTCTCTAATGATAAACTCCCCCCCCCCCCCCCAACCCGATGAAATGTAGGCCGTCATAATCCTTAAGCCCTAAAGGCAACCTTCAACCCTACTTACTCAGGAACCGTTAAAACAAGAGAAAGCAAAAAAAGTTTTCAGTGCTCTGGAAGTATTCATAGGATTTATAGAAATGGGAATTTCCGCCAAGTGTCGTCATGGTCTGGTGTAGGTAGATCTCTGAGCAAGTGTGCACCGAGAACATGACTGTGGACGAGGCAGCAACCGAACCCGTCCAGGGGCAGCCCAGTCTACCGATCTGCTAGACCGTCAACCGTTGATCGGAATTAGTCTTGGACCAGAGTCTCAGCCATTTCAAGTCTCTGCCGCTTGCTCATAAAAAACTTGTACAAATGCGGACTGGTCCTCTACTGCTGCTGCCCTTTCCTCTTTCCCTACGAGACGAGTTACTCCTTCCTCCACTGCAACATCCTCTACCCTCTCTCCTTCTCTCTCTTCTGCTCTTTCAGTTGTCGCCTGCATCCAGCTCCGTCCCTTCTTCTCCCACCCCGCTCTTCTTTATGGCTCGCCTCATTCTTCCATTCAGTCTCCTCAACCCCTCACGGGCCTGCTTTCCTTTTTTTTTGACGACGATATCATCGCCTATCCTACGGCTCGTATATGAGCCAGGCCTTTGCCCCTTTTTTTTTCTTTCCTTGTCCCATGTGACTCCTTGACTCGCCTTTGTGTTCTTCTTCCAATTGGAAATCGATGTCCTTTGACCCCTTCCAGATCACCCTCTTGAAAATGTCATGACGGCACTCACATCCATTAACGTGAAGCTGAACCTTGGATATACAGTCCCTTCCCTTGATAGACGAAGAAAGACACGAGAAACATACCTACGCCGAGGGAAGGGGAAAAGAAAAAAAGTACCGCTAACACCACAGGGTAGGAGAAACCACTACCACAGTTGTTGACAAGCTTGTCATCAATAGTTAAAACGGAGAACGAGATACAAACTGGATGTCAGGAACAAAGCGAAAAGCTCTGTTGAGATTACAAATGTAAACCAACAAAGAAGCGGTCAAAGAGCTAGACCAAAGACTCCTGGATACGTTGCAATCTTTCGTCCAGCTGGTTCATCTTCGCATCCATGCCGTGCTGCATTCCGTCGATCTTTTGACCTAGCTCGGTAACCCGGCTCAGGACTCGGCTCAAGAGAACGTTCGTGTCGAGGGAAGATGCCTCCTCGTCCTGCTGCGGGCGGTCGATGTCCATGGGGCCGCCGCACCGTATGGGGAGGTTGCTCGCGGGGACATCCCCTCCTGCCCCTGGCACGGCAGGGGGCACCATCAGCTGGAGTCTCTTTGTTGGCGGCGGGTAGCTCATTTCCTGCGAGGCCCTCTTTGAGCTGCCCTCCATGGTGTGAGACCCCGCGCTGAGCGACGGATACGGGTACTGTGGCGTGGTGCGAGGGGTGTCGGCGGACTCGGACGGCGTCGACACGGGCGTGTGGGCCACAGGGGTGCTGTATGCCGGCGGGACCATTTTAATGCCGCTGCTAATGGATCGTGTGTGTTGGTGATGGTGGTGAGTATGATGGATTTGGTGTTGACGGAGCTGCTGCTGCGGGTGCTGCGGTTGTAGTTGTTGCGAGTAGCGAAGGTCGTGGCCCTGCGGTTGGTGATGCTGCTGCTGGGGGCCAAACTCCTGGTCCTGAGACCAGGGCCGCGTCGCCGGCATCTCGGGCTGGACGGGCGAGAGCACATGGATGCGACCAGGCGCAACACTTCGCAGGATCTGGTACACCTGCATACCCTCCTCATCGAGCGGCAGCACATCGTGGGGTTGGACCTCGACGACGCCCTGAACCAGTGCGCCCGACCCGTTCCGCACCAGGTGGCGCCACTGCATGATGCGCGTCGAGAAGCGTGCCGCCCAGGTCGCCTCCGTACGGGGTCCGTACACGAGCTCGTAGCGGGCCGGCGTCCGCCGCAACGTCCTCTTGAGCTCTACTAGCGTCGCCACGAGGACCTGGTGCAGCCGGACTCTCGTCTGTGCCTCCTCACCCCCGCCGCCGCCGCCGGGGGCCGGAACCACGGCTGTTGTGGCCTCCGTCTCTACCCTGGTCTCCAGCTCCCTGGTACCCTCCAGCTGAGCCCTCGTGAGCCCTTTCACCACGCGCTCGAGCGCCTCCCCGTCGGGCGCGGGGCCGTCACGCACGCGCGTGTCATAGGCGACGTTGTACTCGCGGGCGATGCAGTCCTGGAAGACACGGGAGAGCTCCTCGTCGATCTCTTCGTCGTCAGCGATGACTCCTGTGCACGGGTCGAACTCCTGCAGATGCAGGAGGAGCTGGCAGAGGTAGATGGTCTGGGTGAGGACGATGGTCTCGATACTGTCGTCCGCGCATGGGTAGCGGGGCTCCGTCAGTGCCGCAATCAACTCCTCGTCCTGGCCGATGCGCCATCTAAGGTTCTCTTGTTAGCAGGGTCACCTGAGTTCCCAAGCAGCATCCTTCTCTCTCCCACCCTCTCTCTTGCCGCCTATGGCATATTGAACGCTTAAGGTCAGGGGGAGGGAGCATGGGCATGTGGTCTGGTCCAAGTGCTCTGAGCCTTTGAAAAACAGGGACCCCTTCATGTCTTCTGATACGGGACACCAAACAGTGGATACGAGCGCCTTGTCGAGTGAGGGACGGAGCTAAAACTTACTGGATCTGCATGCACCAGGGCTCGCTGAGGCCTGGCACCTGGGACCACAACCTGCACAGAGCATTGCCCGTCATCCTCATGGCGAAGGGATGAGGAGTAGGGCAAGTTTGGCTGCCGCCGTCGGGAGGAGAAGGGAGGAGTTCGGATGGTGTCAGGGCGTAAGACCTCATGTGGGCTGGCGCTGTGTTGTCAACCAGGACAGGGGAAGTCTGGGTGGAGGAGAAATAGGAGGAGGAAGATGGCCGAAGGAGCTTATGGTCAGGGCCAACAAGCATGAGGCGGCGGTTCTCAACGTCGAAGGCTTTGGGTCAAGGAGCCGCCAGAACAGGCGGTGATGGACCTAGCCTTGGTGAGAAGAGGGGAGGGGAAAGACCCTCTGTGCTGTCCTATCTTTCACTCGTGGAACGGACACCACCTCTTACAGGTGATGTAAGGGCAGGTGGGTCAGCGAGAGGAGCGGTAGGATTGCTGGCACGGCGGTTACCCAAGTTTTCGGAAGGAGGCCGTATATACTGGTGATAGGATGGATGCTGGCCCAGAATGGAGGTAAGTGAGTGAATATGGAGACCGTAACCTGGCCTTGAGTACAGCAGGACGAGAAGAAGGAGAAAGGGAAAGAAAGACGAGGGCAAGCAGAAGGAGATCGACGGCGCTGGGGAGGAAAAGTTTCCGCTTGCGGGCCGTTCCCCCAGGCGGTTCCAACCGCACCTCGGGTTTCTGCCGGGCTGTGGCTAGGGCCACAGCGGTGCGCGATGGTATTTTTCTTAGGACCAGCTGCTGACTTATTCTTCCCCTCCTTGTCTCGACACGAATTCGGAGGCGAAAGAGTATTAGGGTGAAAGTCGAGATATCTTGGTACCCGCTCTCGAGGTGATGATCGTTGGTCCTCAGTCCTGAACAGAGCACGCGTGGGCCTCAAGAGGGGGATTAGGGACAGAAGAAGAAGAAGAAGAAGAAGAAGGAAGGAACACAAAACAAGAATTAACTACAATGGAAGAAGGACGAAAACTCGAGGCTGAAGAGCAATAGACAGGCAGGCAGGCAGGCAGGCAGGCAACGGCAGGTTCTGGGAGGGATCTTTTCTCGAAAGTCTGGACCGGACCTGTCAACAAGGCCCCTCTTTTCCGCCGAGCTGGGGGGTCCCACTCCTAGGTTTGACCGGAGTATTCGCTGGCTAGGGCTGGAAAGTCGCGTGTGTGTCTGAATGTCCTCACTGGTTCTGGAGGAGGACGACGAAGGAGCCGGTCAAGTGTGCCCTATAGTGTGGTATGGTCTGTCATGGTGATTTGGTGCAGAAGCAGGGCCGGGATTGAAGTCGACGTCAAGGCCGAACCGAGCGGGCTGGCAAAATTATTACTCTTCTACTCCTTTCCATGTGCGCGGGGGGGAAAGGGCCAGGTCATAGGGCTGTTGGGCTCCGACCGGTCAGCCAAGGGACCACCGAGCAAGCCGGATGATGAAATATTGCCTCGGGTTGGGTTCCCGGTCTGCCAAATCGACCAGCGGCTGGGAACAGGCGGGCTACTCAAGGTTACATGCCAGGAGCCCAGAGCGAGATTGGCCCTCTGCGTGCGTGGTGCAGCAGCAAAAGGGCTTGCTTGGGTTGCATGCATGCATGGGGGTCAGGGGAGCCAGGAAAAGGACAAAAAGGAAATAGGCTGGGCCATCAAGCACCTTCCTCCTCCTCCTCCTTTTCAGGCTGCCGGCCACCCCCTCCTGCCTCTCTGAACCCTCCCCTCCCTCTTGTTTGCATGCATGCATATGCTCATCTAGCTATGCAGTGTGCATTGGAACGGGAAAAGGTGGCTGGTGGCGGCTCGGATGTGATGAGAATCCCTCCCCGAAATTGTGCCCCGGTTCGCAAAACATGGACGGGGTGGGGGCCCGCGACGGCATCAGATTGATTTCCTGTTCTCGAATCTCTTTCTCTTTCTCTTCTGCCTCTCATCCTTCCAGAGTCCTCATCTCCTCACCTCCTTCGACCTGTGTTTTGTTTTTCTCCTTTTCTCGTCCTGGGAACAGCACGGCCTGCAGTCTGCCGCCGCCGTGGCTTGTAGTGTGCAACGGCCGATCATGTCTGCTTTATAATAGGAATATCACCTGATGGCGCACGCATTCTACCAGTCAGGGTATGGTTTCTGGTCCACGGGTGTATGCGCATAGGTAGAGCTTGGCGGGTGAGAGAGGGAAGAGGCTGGTAAGCCACACGGAGTAAGGCGAGTGAAGTGACGGCATCCTCCGTGAGAATGTGACGCCGATGTTGTCCCTCTTGTCTCGGAAGCCGGCAGCCTCCCCCTCATCCAAGAGAGGAGCTGAGCCGGGGTCGTGTTATGTCGAGCGGGAGGAGTTGGGTCTGGGGAAGGTCGTGCCGCGGGCTGACTGCAGTGATGCCCAACTTTCCAGCCACTCAGCTACTCGGTCTCTTTCTCGTTCTGTCTAGGAATGAGGAAGTGGAAAACGGGGGAAGAGAGATAGGAGAGACAGAGAAGGGCGTCGCATGAGAAGTAGCAATTCACACCATACATGTACGGCGACAGTCTCATCTGACAGTGCTTACATCTCTCTAGACCAGCCCACCACTCTCTCGAGATCTGTGTGCCGTTCAGATTTCTAAGATTGATGGCTATTTCGAATCTCACCAGATCTCTGTCATTTTTATGATGATCTCTACTATCACCATCACACTGTATTGTCACCATTCTCACCACCGCCACCCACTGCAGCCACTGCTGCCACTACAACCATTACTACCACCGCATTTTCCATCACCAGCCACTGCTACTATGGTAAGTAGTACTTGGACAGCAGAAAAGGAATAAGAAAAAATTAGGTAGTCATAAATCAACGTGCAGATGCAGCTGCTGAAGACAGCCCTGCGCAGAAGAAAGATCATGCCCATGGTTGGACTAGTCCAACACTAAGTGCCGACAGCCATGCAAGCCAAGTCCATGACTGGCCAGCACGATTTGCTCCCTCCAGCCCTTCACCGGTCCTCACTAGAACGCACTTTATCCTAGATTACCACTCAGATCAACAGGGCATCTGCATGCATGTTTACTTATGCCCTGCCACGTCGTTGACCCCGCCCATGTCGGATACACGGGACCCCACCAAAGTCGTTCCCAGGTTCTGTGCCGCGAAAGAATATATCTCCTCTGGTGCATGTACCAGAGTTTATGTGCCTTGCTTGGCACCTGACCAATCCCTCCTCTGGATTCCTCTCTCTTCTGTTGTGCTTTTGTGTGGGAATACTTTACGGGCGGGGGACCCTCTCTCTTGGACTGAACCCCAGATGAAGCCAGTGTGTTTTTATGTTTCTCTTCTTCTTTTCTTGCCAGAACTGCTAGGTCCCACTTATGTGGTCCTCATCTCTTCCTCTGGCTAATGCGATAACACATACAAAACCCACACCCCCCCTCCCCCCAAATGACATGTGACAGAGGATACAATATAGCAACAACAGTACGGAACAGAACTTTTTCTAGTATAGCGCTACATTGAAATACTCACCTCGTATTTCTCGGACCAGATAGACCCTGGTAAGACTGACGAGATGATTGGTTGGAAAGGGTAATTTTTTTTTGTTGTGTTTCTTCTTCTTTTGGTTCCCGTCGGCTTTGTGCAGTCTCGCGTTTTTTTGTTGGGGAAGGCCAGGGGGTTTTCTCTCCCCTCCCTCTCCCCTTCTCTCTCGTACCCCCCCCCCCCCCGGCCTTCCCTCAATGATGCAAGTTCGATTCTATTGTATATTATTTTATTTCATGTCTCTTTTGTTTTGTGTGTGTGTCTCTCTTTCTCTCTTATGTCTTTTCTTCTTCTTCTTGTTCCCTCTGGTGTGCTGTTCCAATTGGAAGCAGCAAAACAGAGAAAGGGAGAGTAGAGCCTGAATAAATTTACCGTGGGGTACTAGTACATTTTGTGTGGTAGTGCATGTGAATGTATGAGGGGAAGCATGTGTTCAGAGACCAATCAATTCACACCAAAGCAGAGTCACGCCATGCCAAAGCACATGGAACCTCGCGTTGCAGGCAAAAGGCACCGTGATGACATTCTATTGACTATTTCCCTTACACACCCCATGGTAATTCCTCAAGCTGGCCTGCACATGCAGCCAAGACCACGTTTGCCATCCTGGGCGGCCCCAAATTTTACCGTCAACAACCGCAGCAGCGCCGAAACAAATACACAAACACACAGAGAGTTTTGGAAGCTGCCGAATTGCTTTGCGACTTGCCGCTTTCGTCCAGCCGACTTCCTGTTTACCCACTCCTCCTCCTCAACCTCGATTCCTTGTCGTCGTCAAGGTCTCCCCCTCAACCCTCTCTCCTTCCACATGATACGGCACGGGCACCAGACTGCTCCCCTTTCTTTCTTTTTCCCTTTCTCAACGATCCTCCCCTATCATCCTTGACTTCAACTTCGGGGATGAGCTCTTCTGCGGATTTTCCTGCCACGGACGCCACCTTGCGCCAGCGTGTCACGGCCTCATCTGAAGTTGCGCCGCCTTCTTCTGACCACAAGGTTGCCGCTACTGAGGACCTCAAAATCACAGGACCCATTGATAAAGATGCCCAGGCTGCCCAGCATGGTGACACTGCAAAGTCGAGCAAGACCTATGGTCGCACACCAGATGGCACAGGTAATTATAAAACCTCTTTGTTTTGTCCCCCCCCCCCCGGTCGCACCCTTCTCAGCGAAGATAGTCAACCGCTGACCAATGTCTTGGGGTAAATAATTCACCACCACCACAGTCTTCATTGTCCCAACGACCCATGACATGGTCTCCCAGCTCTTCGACCCTCGAGAACCAAAGAACCTGTCTGATGCCATTGTGCTTGCCATCCTCGTCCTACATGCCTTGGTAGCCTATCTGCTGCCAGCTGACCTGCGGAAGCCTGTTGTCGCCGCCGTCTTCATCTTTTGGAGGGCTTCTTACAATGTGGGCATCGGCGTTCTCCTCCAGCAGCAGTCCTATAGCAGGCTGATGGTGGCATGGGCGAGGCGCTGGAAGCTTTTCGTGAACCCCTCGACCGGCGAGAACCCGCGCCCGGCCCTGTACCGCTTTCTCAAGCACGAGCTCGAAGCCAAGATCCCCGAGGACTACAAGTTCGACGAGGCGCCGCTCGAGTACAACACCTGGCTGGTCTTCCGCAGGCTGGTTGACCTGATCCTCATGTGCGACTTTGTGTCCTACTGCCTCTTCGCTGTCGCCTGTGCCCACGTCCCCGACGGGGAGACCCCGCTGCTGTTCCTATGCCGCTGGTCTGTCGGCATCGCGCTCTTCCTCTTCAACCTCTGGGTCAAGCTGGATGCCCACCGCGTCGTCAAGGACTACGCCTGGTACTGGGGTGACTTCTTCTACCTGATCGACCAGGAGCTGACCTTTGATGGCGTCTTCGAGTGCGCACCCCACCCCATGTACTCCATCGGCTACGCCGGCTACTATGGCATCAGCGCCATGGCTGCCAGCTACGAGGTCCTCTTCATCTCCATTGCTGCCCACGTGGCCCAGCTCGTCTTCCTGGTGGTCGTGGAGAACCCCCATATTGACAAGACGTATAATCCACCCCCGCCGAGGAAGTCTCGCTCCGGGTCAGACCGTGAAGAACCCTTCCAGCCTGTGGATGATGTGTCGAGAGAGGCATTGGCACCCGTGCACAATATCCTGGGCCTCAGAAACATTGACCTGTTCCGCTCAACCGACTACTCTGTGTACGTGTTTTATTTATCCCCCCTGGAGAGAACGAAAGAGATCCTTCTGGAGCCTCCTTCCCCCCCCCCCCCCCCCAAAAAAAAAAAAGGACTTCCTATTCTCTCCGCCCGGATACATGTATTGAGAACATCAATGTGTGAAAAAAGTGATGAATTATGTTCCATCCCAGTATGAAATACGTGACTAATCCAAAACGTGTGATAGAATTGTGGCCTCAATTTACGTGGCTGTCCTAGCCCTGGTCACACCGTCCACTCCGACCTACCAGTTCCTCTTCTTCGTGCATGCCCTCCTGTGGCGTCTGTGGTACTGCGTAGGTATCGGCATCCTCCTGACCCTGCAGTCCAAGGAGAAAATGATCACTAGGCATTTTGTCAAGTATGGCGACAACGCCTTGGAGGCATGGCGCCAGTGGAAGGGACTGTATCATTTCAGCATGACTTTGAGTGTTGCGTCGTTCTGCGCTGTGTGCTGGAAGATGTATAGCCTCCCAGAAGACTGGGCTCACGGTTGGGTCATGTTGCGGCACGTCATCGGCATCAGCCTGATTGCCCTCCAGATCTGGACCTTTGTGAGCGTCTACGAATCACTTGGCGAATTCGGGTGGTTCTATGGAGACTTCTTCTTCGACCACAAGGCCAAGCTGACGTACAAGTCCATCTATCGATTCCTGAACAACCCAGAGCGCATCATCGGCCTGGCTGGACTGTGGGGCGCCGCGCTCATATGTTGGAGCAGATCAATCGCCCTCTTTGCCCTCCTGAGCCAGATCCTCACCATGTGCTTTATCGAGTACGTCGAGCGGCCGCACATGCACAAGGTGTACGGGTCCAGCAACATCCGGGAAGAGGCCGGCCTGACCAAGTTCATCAAGAAGTCTCTCCCGCCCCCCGTCAAGACATGGTCGTCCAACGTGGACAAGGTCCTGGACGAGACCCGTAACTTTGTGGACGATGTGATCGAGACGGCCGGCCCCGTGCTGGCCACTGGCGTATCAAGCATCGTCCGCGACACCACGGCACTGTTCAACAAGTATCCGGCCAGGCTGACCATCACGAGGCTGTCCCCCCAGCTGGCCGGTTTCAACCCCAAGGACTACTCCCTGGGCATCGAGGGCACCTCAGCGACCTCCCCACTCAGTGAAAGAGCCACTGGGAAGGAGAGTCTGAATGCACGAGTGCCCAAGGACGTCAAGACGTGGGTCTTTGAGTACGGTGCCCCAATCAAGGTGAAGTGGAACGCACCTGCGAACCATGGCAAACAGGACTGGGTGGGCCTCTACATGGTCACCGACAACCGCTCTCGAGAGGTCACCGAGGTCTCGTCGCTAGGCCGCTGGATCCCTGTGTCGCCAGGGTTCTATGGCTCGAGTGACGGCATGGTGACCTCTGACGAGCCGGTGCCCAACTCCAATCTCGTCCGCGGGGAGATGGTCTTCGAAGGGGACAAGCTCTGGTGGACCCAGGGCACTTTTGAGTTCCGCTATCATCACGACGGCACACACCATGTCATGTCCATCAGCGAACCTTTCGAGGTGCGCATCACCCGCTTTGATAACGAGGAGGAGGAGCAGGCCCTTGAGGCACAGACCCAGGGCACGTACGAGCAGGCCATCGCCGAGGCCCTGTTGCCTGTGGTGCGCAACTGCCTTGACCGCGACCCTGACATTGCGCCCAACACGGTGGACGAGCAGTTTGGCAGCCACGTGGAGCGAGACTCCAAGTACGCTAAGCGCGTGGTGTATGCGATCCGCAACATGTTTGGCATCGAGTTCGCGCCGGCCGTTGTCCCAGCCGACGGAAACGTGCGGCGGCTGGCCTGGCGGGTCTGCAACGCCAAACAGGTTCTCGTGAGTAATCTGGCAACTGTCGATTGGAAGGTTTGACCTTTTTTTCTTTTCTTGCTGACATCTGGCCAGGCTCCCTACTCCATGTCCCACTCGAAGGGTCCTTCGACCCCTATCACGGACAGATTCCCGGATGACCTCAAGGAGTGAGTATATATAAAACAGACACGATTTGCATGATACTTTCCAGTGACGTGAATATACATTCATGTATGTATCTATACACAAGATCGATTGAAAAGAAACGAAAAGAACAAGGGCGCGGACGGGCGCTTGTGCATATTGACAACAGAGTATGAAAAACGTTTTGCCGCCAAGGGGAAAGAAATACCAATGAAAATTTTGTGATCTCAATTTTGTGATCTCGCGGGCATAGCTGATGATGAGTGCATGGGGGAGGAGATACCACTTCTTTCTATATCTGTTACAAGCAATAAAAATTCGATGCACTACCTTTTGGTGATATTCTTCACGAGTAAATCAAGACGCCAATGAAAATAATTGGGTCGGATCAATTTTTCTTCTACGGCAAAGGCATTATACCACAGCGAATCTATGGTTGGATCTACTCCATTTGGTATTTATCTGCCTGAAACGGTTCATGTGGCCTCAGGTGACTATTGACTGGTACTATCGAGTCGGAGTTTCTTTTCTCTTTCGAAGACAACCTTCTCCCACCCCCTGCCTCTTATCTTACTGGGTATCATCATATGAGAAGTTGCAGGCTCAATATCTCGTCATAACGGCAATCATGGAGCAGCAGGGCCCCTTCCCTCAAGCAGAACCTTCCCACCCCCTTCCCCCTTTCTCACTCTCTCGCTCTCGCTCTCTCTCTCACTCCCTCTCTCTCTCTCTCACTCTCACTCCTATACACGTATATAGCACGCCCTCTCAAGCAGCCCCGCCAACCATCCTCTTGACCTTCTCAAGCAGCACATGGCTCTCCCGGCCAAGCTTGTGCTGCCCCTGCTGGTGCTGGTGCTGCTGCCTGCCACCACCACCCCGACTCGGCTTGATCCCCCGAGCCTTGAGCATGGCCCTCCGCATCCTGTCCCTGTCGGCAACCTTGTGCGCACGCTCCTCCTCGCGCCGTCTCTGTTCTGCCGCGCGGGCCTCCGCCTCGGCCTTCTTGCGTGAGCCCTCTTGTAGGGCCTTCTCGTAGTAGTCTGGCCGCCGGCGGTTGTTGTTGCTGTTGTTGTTGTTGTTGTTTCTCGGCTGCTTCTCGCGGCGGGGCGGTGGTGGTGGTGCGGTGCCGCTTTCGTCGTGGCCTGGTCTTGGGTTTGCTGGGTGGTCTTGGTCGTCATCGAGGAGAGCCTGGCGCTCGGGGTGGATCTGGGACTCGGCTTCTTGCTGGGTGTTGTCGTTGTTGTTGTCGTTGGTTTGTTGTTGTTGTTGTTGTTGTTGTGACACTGTCTTTTCCTGCTGCTGCTGCTGCTGCTCCACTTCCGCTTTCACTTTCTTGTACGCCTTCTTGATTTTGGCCTTGTGGATGAGGTCTTCCTTGATTTTGGTGTTTTTCCTTCTCCAGGCACCGTCTGGCAGGTTTTCTGGCCCGACGCGGAAACCCTTTCTTTTTTTGGGCTCTGGGTTGGAGGCGTCGGTGGAGGGGTCAATGTCTTGGTGGGGGCGTTTGGGCGCCATTGTGAGGATGGTGATATTGTTGTCGTAGTAGTAGTGAAAGTTGTTGTAATTGTAGAGGTTGTGACTGAAGTTGGGGGTGAGGAACTATGCTGTGAGACTGAAAAAAGTTCAAGGCTTGTCTTTTGTCCGATAAGGCAAAGAAATATAGCTTATCGGCTCTGGTGGTACTGAGCATGCAAGTACTGCAGGTGGGACCTTGATGGACAGAGAGCCGCAAACCCTTGTAAGACTGGGGACTATTTTTTCTCCCGATGGACTTTTTTTTTATTTTTATTTTTACTTTGGCCGCGAGTTTTTAGAAGCGACCGAGGAGAGAGTGTGTGAGAGAATAGCTCGCTCGCTGCCTCGGCTCCAAGCCAGCCAAACTTTGGGCCGATCCGAGTCGGGTATATTCGGCCAAGTCGGATTAAGAGCTCTAAATAGCGCATTCATACCCTGGCGGGTGAATCTTTTTAGCGGCTGGCAACAGAAGCCCCCAGGCCTAAAGGGTGCTCCACAGCCCGAGTCTCAGGCTTTTTGGCCGCGAGAAAGATAGTAGTAGCACAGCAGAGAGAAGAGATAGCTTCCACATCTTCGTCCTCGCCTCCCACCACCAATCTTGTGCACTATCCACACACCACCTCTCCTCTCTCTCTCTCCTCTCTCCTTTCTGACGAAGACGACAGACTTCAAACATCCCACCCAGCGTCTGTTCTTCGATTCATACGAATTACTGCTCTGATCAAGATGCTGGCCGTTCGATCCATCGCTGGCCCCGCGAGGCGCCAGTTCGTCAGTGCAGCTCCCCGCGCCGCGGCGCCGTTCGTCCTCGCCCAGACACAGCGCCAGACCAGGAGGTGGGCGTCGGACGACTCCAGGGTGGCCAAGTACAACGGCGTCAAGGACAGCAATGGCAACTTCCCCGTGTCCCTGATCGAGGGTGACGGTATCGGCCCAGAGATCTCGCAGGCCGTCAAGGACATCTTTGCTGCGGCCAAGGCACCCGTGTCGTGGGAGCCCGTCGACGTCACCCCCATTATCAAGGACGGGCGCACCGCGATCCCCGACTCGGCCATCGAGAGCATCGAGCGCAACAAGGTCGCCCTCAAGGGGCCCCTGGCCACGCCCGTCGGCAAGGGCCACGTCTCGCTCAACCTGACCCTCCGCCGCACCTTCAACCTGTTCGCCAACCTGCGGCCCTGCCGCTCCGTCGCCGGCTACAAGACCCCCTACGATGGCGTCGACACCGTCCTGATCCGCGAGAACACAGAGGGCGAGTACTCGGGCATTGAGCACACCGTGGTCGACGGCGTCGTGCAGAGCATCAAGCTCATCACCCGCGAGGCCTCGGAGCGCGTCCTGCGCTTTGCTTTCCAGCACGCCCAGGAGATCGGCCGCAACAAGGTGCGCGTCGTGCACAAGGCCACCATCATGAAGCTGTCGGACGGCCTGTTCCTGTCGACCGCCCACGACGTGGCCAAGGAGTTCCCGGGCATCGAGCTCGACTCGGAGCTGCTCGACAACACCTGCCTCAAGATGACCACCGACCCTCTCCCCTACAACGACAAGGTTCTGGTCATGCCCAACCTGTACGGTGACATTCTGTCCGACATGTGCGCCGGCCTGATCGGCGGCCTGGGCCTGACCCCCTCCGGCAACATTGGCGACGAGTGCTCCATCTTCGAGGCCGTCCACGGCTCTGCCCCCGACATCGCCGGCAAGGGCCTCGCCAACCCCACCGCCCTCCTCCTGTCCTCCATGATGATGCTGCGCCACATGGGCCTGGGCGACTACGCCGACCGTATCGAGAAGGCTGCCTTTGCCACCCTGGCTGAGGGCAAGACCCTGACCGGTGACCTGGGCGGCAAGGCCAAGACGCACGAGTTCGCCGGTGCCATCATCGAGAAGCTGTAGGGCATTTATTCTTGAAACGACTATGAGGAGCAAATTGGAGCGGTTTAGGTTTGGGACGAGGACGACGACGACGACGACGACAATCACACCTCTCTCTCTCCCTCCCCCCCTCTCTCTTCTACAACGCGAGCGACACTAGAACCGATAAACCCAACGCACTACTGGAAAAATCTATACGGCGGGCCACCTCTCAGGTACTATTATCATTATTACTATCATTAGGGGGGCACCGGCTCAGGCGGAGGAAAGGCTTGGAGTGTTAGGGAACAAACAGAGGGTTGGCTGGGAGGGGAGTTTCTTTGGTGAATAGAAGGGTGGAAACCAACAAAAAAATACACACGCATGCAGCATCTTTCGGCGCCTCGTCAACGGTGGTGGTCTTCTTCGTTTGATAAGAAGGGACAAGAGGACGTGGGAAGGATATACCTCACGGTTCGATTACAGGGGAGGCGGTGGAGAGGAATGGGCAGACTGAACGAGGGAACTGTAGACTGTACATCATGTAGTTCTACAAACGCATTAAGTTTTTATTTATTTTTAAAAAAACAACTACGGCTGCATGTTTCTGTCCGTCCTCGATCTTTGGGCACCCTTTCTTCTTCTGTTTCTTCTTCCTTGTCTCTTTCGATTGTTCCCCTTTTCCCCTGGCTTTTCGAAACATGAAACATGAAAACAAGTCCATTGTGCATAGTGAATAAGCATCCTCTTCTCTGAAAAAAGATGGGAATGAACGTCATGACTTACATGCCGTTTTGAGTCGGGCCCTTGGCGCCGTGAGCGATTGGACCTCGTCACACAAAAAAAAAAAGAGTTTGCTGTGTGTGTTGCAGAGGTTGATCTAATTAGGGGACGAATGGAAGAGAGGGAGGGGAGGGGGACCCTTGTCCAACAAGGTCTGATGAGAATGGGGCTGGGAAGGGGCGAGGGGACAGGCACCGCATGCTTACTTCATAATGACAAGTGTAGTACTTGGGATAAATAAAGTGAACTGAAGCGAATAACTGCTGTGTGACATCAGTGTTATGTAGCATGTTTTAACATATTTGCCCGAGTTTTGAGTTGGCACAATGTTGTTGCAGTGGCAGCAGCAGAAGCATGCCATCATTCAGAAGTGTTGACCAGGATCCATGCATCCTATCCATGTATCCCTCCTCCGCTTCCGGCGGGCCATTACATACAGTGAAATCATGGGTCTGCGCAGCTCATTCCCTCTCTAACGACTTACCAAACGGCAGCTGCGTTGGTCGATCAAATTGACTCACACCTTCTTTTTAAGAAAGAAACTCACTTCACGACTTATGCCCTTGCTTTGACTTCTGACTCTTTGCATTCATTGTACAGACCACCTCTTTCCCCCACCATTTCATGCTGTAAACTTGTTGGTTGTATGAGGCTTTGAGGCTGCAGATTGATTTACCCACCCCTGTGATGATATTATTATTATTATTGACCCAGCACATGACGACAACTCCCTGTTCCAGCACTGTCGATGAGTACATACTTTAGCCTCAACCTCTCATCCCAAGACAGACCACCGACGGCCGGGACAACGACGACCACCGACCACCAACCACCACAGCAAATACACTGATTGGAAGGCGCAAAAACACCCCATTTAGACCATCCACCGTCGTGCGACGTAATCCATACAGATCCTCTCACGGAATCCCATAGCTTACCTTCCTCAAACCTCTTACTTTCTCACCCAGAATCCCTCCTAAAAAGGCAACATCCTCTCACAGTTTGGTCAGAGACACGGGGTCCGTTGGATCCGCAACCCAGCTCGAACACCCTATCTACCTTGTCGTCTGTCCTATCTATTATCTCTGTTCTTCCCATTGTACCACCAAACCTCTCCCCACTCAGCAGCCTGCGGGCCCGAGGAGCCGCCACCCTTTGTCCCTGCGGTTGGCAGCAGGCAGGCTGTGTGCTTGGTCTCTGGATGACCACCCGACCCGATACGACGACCACTTTCCTTCGGTATAGAAAAATAGGGAAGGAGGATAACACAGAAAGTGTGTCTATAAGACGCAGGTGGAGGACACAAAATATTCCCTCGTGATAGCCCACCCGCGGTCTTGAAAAGGACCTTGGGTGGTCAAACCCCCTCTCCCCTTCCTGTCCACAATCTTTCACAACAATTGTACCCCATTCTCCGTCCGGACCTGGCCCTCGTTCTTCAACGACTTTGTACTGGGGACTGTTTTTTCCCTTGCTTTCCTAACAGGCAACGAGGATGCCATTCTTTCGAGAGAGTCATGACGACGATGACGTCCGTCCGCCGCCGGCTACCGAAGCCGACGTCGTCTCCCGACCACTTCCGATCCACGGCCTGCGCCACTCAAGGAGACAGGCTCCTGCCTCTGAACAGCTGGGCCGCGGGCTCTCTGAGGAGAGCATACGAACCGAGTTCTGTGAAGGCCCCCTGGCAGACGACCTCGAGATCATCAGGACGAGCCATCCCGAGCCGGAGCGCTGCATCACCGCGGCCACTTCAGATAGGGCGGAGCTGATAGAGCGGCTCAAGAGGGGTGAGAGCCCTACCTGGGTGCCTACTCGAAAGGTACGCTCTTCTGTCCGTGTGTATTTGTGTGTGTATGCACACATAAGAGACAAGACTCCCACTGCCGATTCTCATTCCGAGAGACTGTACTAGGATTACTGACCGGGTTTTGTAGCTCGACTCTTACTTCCCTCGAGATGGGTCACGCGACCACTCGCTCAGTCCTAGACCGAGGTCGAGAGGCTCCCCAGGACTTCTCACTGCTTCGATAACCAAGGACAAGACGGATGCCGAGCAGGCAAAAGAGACGGATCCGGCAGAGAGGATGCAGGAAGGCCTGAACATAGAGCGACCCAGGTCTGCTCTACATAGCGGCGACTTTACACAACACACGTCTACACCGCGGTACGATGAAGCAGGGAAGCGGGGCAGGGGAGACGGGGAGGAGGACGACGATGACGACGGCGGGGAGAGGGAAGCATGTATTCCAGACAGGCACTCTGCATGGTTTGCAACATCACCACCGAGAGACTTCACGCCTTTCAGGTTCGAGGGCCAAACCCCCTTCCCAGACCTGCCTCCATCCTCGGCAGGATACAGATCCTCGCCACCATCGCTCTCCTCGTCGCTGTCATCCAGCTTCATCTTCAAACCCCCCACCAGCCCCCTGGTCCAGTCCGAGAGCAACGACGACCTCAGCATACACGCCATGGAGCTGGACCCCAGCACACCGAGCAGGATGCCCCGGAGGCAGACCTTGCACACATTCCACTCACCCCAGAATATACCCATCACGGCGCAGAGGATCCCGACCGTGCGCCGAGAGACAACATTTCCCTACCAGGCCCACCAGCCGAGAAAGTCTCTCACGTCTGTCCCCACGGCTGAGCGGTTCATAGCGTCGTCCGTGTCGCCCCAGAAGATCTCTCCCTACGCGGTCTCTCGGAGGTCCTCTGTGGCCCTCGACTCGTCGTCTCCCCTGCAGCGGACCTCCATGGTAGGCTCGTATGAGGAGAGCATCCTGCGGGGCAGGATGTCCACCTCTCCTTCTAAGCCGCTGGACTTCCTCGCCCAGATCGGCGTGCTGGGGCTGGGCAACTGCAAGAGCAGCCTCCGCTGCCCGGCCCATGTCACCCTGCCTTTCCCTGCCGTCTTCTACAGCTACGCCAGCACCCCTCATGGCCGCTCTAAGAGCGACGACGGGCCCAGTCCCTACGTGGGGTCCATCGATTTGGAGAATGGTCTTCCCAGCAACCTAGAAGGCTCGAGAGCGCGGCGCAGGTCTGGGCAGAGGGAGAGAGGCAGCGGCCGGCGGTCCAGGGCCGGCAGCGTCGGGCCGGATGTTGAGATGGGTGGTGTGGATGACAGCACTAGCCAGCGAGTACCGGACTCGCGCGAGATGGCCAAGAAACGTCGGCGGGCTGGCTCGTCCTCGCCCAGGGCCCCGCCAGGCGGCAGCTATCGCATCCCAGAGAAGGGCCAGATCCAGATCATCATCAAGAACCAGAACAAGACCGCCGTAAAGCTGTTCCTCGTGCCATACGATCTCGCCGGCATGGAGGCCGGCACCAAGACGTTTATCCGCCAGCGGGCCTATGTCGGCGGTCCCGTAGCCGCCGACAAAGCCGAAGCGACGACCACAACGACCAACACAACGACTGACATCACCGGTACTACCACGATGATCGAGGCCGCCGAGGAGAAGGAGGAGAAGCCCGTTCTGCGGTATCTCGTCCACCTGCATATCTGCTGTCCCGCCAAAGGCAGGTTCTACCTGTACAAGTCCGTCCGCGTCGTCTTCGCCAACCGCGTGCCAGACGGCAAGGAGAGGTTGCGCAACGAGATTACCCTCCCTGAGCCGCGCTTCACACCGTACAAGGCCACCCGTGTCATGCAGCAGCACCAGTACCAGCACCTGCACCCTCACGCGAGGCCAACGCCGTCATCGTTGTCGCACCAGGAGTCATCAGGGCGCGGGTTTTCGTTCGCGCAGGTCGATACTGGGCATTTGATGTCAGACCTGCCGGCTTTCGAGCTCAGGAGAAGGGCCGCGAGCGTACAGGACCATGGGGAGACGGCGATGGCGGCAGAGCTGACAGCAGCTCCTATGCCACCTGTGGCCGGGTTCGTTCCGCTGAACTTCTCTAAGAAGGGTGAGGTCGGGCTTGTTAACGGCGCCGCAGCTGGGCTGGGGGGGCTTGGTGCTGCGGCGAGCGGCGGTGTTGCGGCGGCGGAGAGTCTATTGTCGATGCGGCTGCGGTCGCTGGGGATGCAAGGCGCCTGTCGGGGAGAGATGGATACGGAAGAGGGGGAGATAGATGACGGACGACCATAAGTCTAGTGAAGTAATGAGGGCATCAACATGATATGGGAGGAAGTGGACGTGAACAAGAAAGTGATGGATAACATCATCTCTTGTCAACTGGAATGCTGGGTTGGAGCACCAGGAGGGACGGCTTATGGAGGAGGCAGTCATTTCATGTATATATAAAGGTTGGCCTAGGACCAACTGCAGAATAATCAACGTCACCGACGTGACTAGATCTGATACACCAATGATGTATATTGTGTATGCAAGATATGCACAATGAATGAAATCAATGATCAAAGATTTGAGGGTACGGTCTGAATTTCTGATAGTCCTCCCTCACGCTATATTGCTCCCTTGTATCGTCTCCTGCTGCTTCTGATCATCTTTCATATTCTACAGTGTTACCCTTCGTTCCCCCCCCCCCCCACAACTTTCATTAGTGGTTACTGTCTGGTAATCTAGATGATGATGCTGGGAACTACGAAGTTTGAACGTGGTATCATACGTTGGAGAGAAGAAGCAGGCTGTTCATTTCTACCGGGAGAAGAAGAAAACGATCATCTCCTTCACCTACCAGTGAAGCATGATATGGCGTTGAGAGAAAAGACGTGTCAGCCACGAAACTCCCTGAATCCCCGCATGAAACCGAGGTTCTCGAAGCTGCGTCTATGCTGAGATTGTGGTCATGATTAATCGTGGTGAAATTTCATATGCTGTGAGGGAGTACAGAGTTAAAAGAGACTTCTATTAGGCTGAATATGATGTAGGATGGGGGAAGATCGGATTCCAAATATTGTGCCACTCGACGCATGTTAGTATAATTCTTTACATCTTTGACAACTGTGCTCATGTAAGAGGAACGATAGTCAACCCACTAGCAGGCTTTTACTCGCAGACTCCCTCAGGCTCGCCGGATTTGTGAAAATTCAATATCTATGTTGCGGGATGAGTTTCGAAGTAGTAAATCGTCGTTCAAAATTAGAATGTATTCCCAGCGCGGATAAATATCAACGGTTTCGTATCTTTGGAAGTGAATATAACTTACCGCGCGCTTAGTAGAGAAAGACACTTCAGCTTGAAGTGTCATGGCTAAAAAGTCAGTTGCATTTATCAGCTGGATAATCAGCTACGCCGTAAATTGAGAATTGATTTTTGTGGGATCTGGCCGGGCTTTAACATATTGTGGCCGCCCAGCCCATTCATCGGCACAACTGCCGCTTGATCACCCCTTGGACCACATCCCTGACCACGTTGGGCGATGGATGAGAATCCTGCGAGGGACAAAGAGCGTCTGTAGAGCGGTCGGTGCGACGCGCGGTCCCGAGATACACTCTCCAAGCCAGGGATGCTGCGAATAAGTTGTGATGTGGTAGGAGTCAGAAATGAAGAGACGATGCAATGTTGTCTCTCGCTTACTAACATGCACATGTGGTGATGTATCATTAGACACATCATATAGGAAACTAGTAAGCGCTCGTTCCATGGATAGACGGCGGCACGTAGGCTTGGAACCATTCAGTGTCTTATAGATCACCAGACTGGATCTCAAGATACGGAGGTCTCGGTAGCATAAAGAACCAAAGGAGGGCTGCTCGTCCAACTGGCTTCTTTTGCTGTCTCAGTGCTCGGGATTCGTCGCAGCCGCCCAACGGGCATTCAGCTTCGTCCCAGAAGGAGAACTGAGGTGGATCAGCTTGCGTCGTGGCCGCTTCTGTCCCATGGCGAGTGGTTTGGAACGGTTCTAATCCTGGTAGGAAGGATGACTTGGTGCTGTCGACTCCACGGACCTATCCGTATTACCGACACCGTTTGATACACTGTGGTAAAGTCGGCTGCGGCGCAGGGTCGACAACAGGGTTTGAGATGTGGGAAGAGGGTGAGAGAAGAGAAGAAAACAATAGAAACAAAGACGGAGTCTGCGAAGTATTCTCTGTATGTTCTTGTTGCTGTGGTTTTGAACACTTTGGAGTGTATGCATAATTAGCATCAACTTGCCACCGACACCTCGCAAGTATCAGGAGACTGATGCCCACGAAGAGGACGACAACGAGGCTCTCTCGTGACTTGCCATGATCGGCAGGTTCGCCCGCGGATTAGGATGGGAAGGCTGCGCACCCCTGCCTTCTCTGCTGCTTCGCGAGATTGACCCTGCAGTTGGGAGCTCGTGCAGGAGCCGGACAAGGGATCTGTAACCTCCTATCTGCTCTCTTGATACCCTTCCTTAGCATGCGGCCCTGCTCAATCCTCCTTGCACACCAACCCCACCGGGAAACATCTGATACCACATGGCGGCGTGGAATACGCAGATTCCGCCATGCCCTCTTCGTTCGTGGCCGGCTTTCTCACTCTCTGGCTACCCCTTCCATCTCCCACCTGTTCTGCCTTCTCTTTCTTCTTGTTGTAAATTTTTTGTTCCCATATTCGTTGATCCCCTTCCCTGCCGATCAACAGGTTGGAAGAGCCCGAGAAGTTGCGTAATAAGACGCTGCAAGTACAGTAATTATACGTTGTCCTTGCTCTTACGATGGCTACAACAACAGACAATACGTCGCCTCTGACCAACCGGCCGCGAACCATCCTCGGGTCCTTGACAACAACGTTTACTCCGCCGGCATCGTGCGCCTACAACGCCTGGGTCGGCAACCTGGACAACCCATATACAGCATGGCAGGGTATGGAATGTCTGAGTGGCCAAGTCAACGAAAGTAAGCTGGGAAACATCTCTGATGCCCTCTTCTTCATGCTCTGATTCCATCTGTCAATTTTTATTGGACTAACCGTTTGCCTCTTTGTCTCTCTTTCCCTCCTTGCTTAGTGGTGCCCGCAGAAACATGTTGGCCGGCCACGACACAAGGCGCCGTATATCCAGCATTAAGGTTCAGTGGTTGGGGGTTCTACTCACCGGGCCTGGTGTGCCCGTCGGGATATTATAGTGCCTGCACAGCAACGGCCACTGGGGCTGCGGACTGGAATGTCCAGTTCTCTATGTTGTCAGGAGAGACTGGTGAGTAAAAGACTTCCAGGTGGTGAGCCTTGGTTGGCTCTCTGCCTCGTCGACTTTTTGAAAAAAAACAGGATTTATGTGCTTACTGACCAACGTCTTTGTTATCTATTACAGCGGTTGGATGTTGTCCTACGTACGTGTTATGCCCTGCTTCGGAATGAATTCGCCTTGCCTGCTATTCTTTGGAATATTGTCTAATTGTCCATGATTTTCTTTCTGCAAAATCATATAGTGGCTTCGAATGTTACAACCCCATCTCGGGTGCCTTTCCCGGCCAGACCTGCACACAAACATTCTCTGCGACCAGTCTCACCACGGCACTGTGCAGCTTCGACGGCGTCGGCTTGGGTGGTTCCATGATACCAGGCCTGGGCACATATCCATTAACATGGACCCAGACAACCACGAAATCCACTGTCCTCACCACAGAGACCGCCACCATTACAGCCCTGATCGTATCAGCACCCATGATCCAGATCAACTGGCAGGCCTCCGACAGAGCCGTCCAGACAGGATCGACTGTTAGTAGTGGTGGCAGCAGCAGCAATTCTGTCTCGACCCCGACCTCAACCTCGACTAGCACCGCCTCTTCTGGCGGAGTTACGGCTGGCACACTCGTAGGTGCCATCGTCGGCACTGCAGCAGCCGTCGCATTGATCGCTGCCGCAGCGTTTTTCATCTGGCGCCGCAAGAGGCAGCAGCGAGGGATGAACACCGCCGAAGCAGCCCAGCTGGCGGAGCTGCAGCAATCGTCAGGGGACAATTCGGGCAGGGCGCCGCCGTACGACCAGAAACCGGGAGCATATCGGCCGGCGGCAACAGGCTGGACGGAGCTGGATAGCACGACGGGGGCCTATGAACTTCCTCATGATAATTATCATGGCTCGCCGATGCTTGTTGCTGAGTCTCCAGCCTACTCGAGGACTTGAAGAAGAGGAAGAAGAAGCGACGACAGCATCCGACCGAAGAGCTTTATATTACTGCTTCAGCAATTATTTCTGGGCCTTGTGATGCTGGATTTGGCTATCTTTGAAACCGTAGCTGGGCTGCAGGCGGATATACTGTAATTAAACCGACAAGAGTTTGTCTACAGTAGGGGATCAATTTGTCCATCACCTTCTGCCGAGACAACTGAGAAGCCAACTCAATTTATACCTCGTATTTGCCCCAAATATAACGGAAAGCTACGCTTCTGGCCAAGACGATATCTGGAAGCAGTCTAATATGTTGTCGGACGAGTTGATGGACAACGGAAATGGACACCGCAAAGGCTGTTTTTAGTCTTGATACATAGATGTAAATAATGAATCAAACCATGTAATTTGTCATGATGTATTGATGAACCAGTCCATGGATTGAAATCCAGGGAATTCCGAGGTTGTATAGTATCGTCTGAAGGATGAAGAAACGAAATGTAGTAATCAAGTATTATTGATCAAAGAAACACAAATCCCAAGTCACTTTTGATTAACCCGGTTTCAGAAATCAGTCTCATCGGCCCTGGGATCGTCTTTGATGCCTCTATATGAGACATGTTGGTAAAAGCTGTGACTACAGTGGAACAGGCATTGCATACTGATGGTACGTATATACAGTTTGGGCAATCTTTTAACTGCAGTGTTGATAAGATGATGAAAAGAAAGGATGAGTGAGACCACGTGGGCATTCACACGCTAATTATAGAACCATTTTTGCCTCGGGTTTTTCCTTCTTTATTTTGACGGGGTGCTTTGTGCAGCGGCGTTCTGATCTTCCATTGAATTCTCGAACAAAATTAAGAGGAGCACCAGCGGAACATCTCGGCGGAAACACTCCTCACACTCCAGCACCAGCTTGACTCTGAAGGCAGGATTGATATGCTGGTATTCGCTGTTAATTAGAGAGAGAGAGAGAGAGAGAGTGTGTGTGTGTGTGAGTGTGTGTGCCGAATACAAAGAAGGGCACCGCTACAAATGAAACGGACGAGACAGAATGTGAGCCTACGCAGAAGTGGCTTCTTACAGCAAGCAAGCCCATTGTCTAGCAAGAAGAAATCATCACATATGCTAAATTCGTTAAGAGATAGATAGATAAGAGCGTTGCTAGAGACCGCACCTGAATGGTGCGTGCTGCTTACACAAATGGTTTATATAACGTTGAGCGCTAATCAGTCATTGTCGACACTTGTCTACCTGAAAACTTAGTCAAGCTCTTCCGGGCGATGATGAGACAGGAAGACTCAAATTGGGATAAAGGACATGAAGTCCCAGCTTTATGTTCGCTGTCTAGACTCTAAATTGTATATATACAGATATAGCTCTCGCTCAGCAAGTGCTAGGGTTTAAGATAAAGCACAGCGTGCACATGATGCTTCCACGGCAGCAGTAGCCTTTGTCCCATGATAAGTCCAAAATCGAAGTTGATCGAAGTGTGACGTTGTGCTGCCGTCCCTTGAATATCAGGGGGCTCCCTGATTCAGGGATGCGCTGCCTGGATCATTGCCCTAGATACCGAAGCTCCGGAACCGCCATCCACCAAAGATAAAGAGAAAAGAAGAAAAAAAGTTTCATGGATTTAAACTTTTCATTCTAATGCAACGCTGTGTCGGTGATCGTTTCAAGGGAATTCGTGTAGACTAACACGCCATCACAAGGATAGTGGGCGGTTATGATCTTGGTTGTGGGGGGGAGAATAGGTTGTATGCGGGAGGCGGCGACGCTATTCTCCCTTCACCTCCGCGGAGCCTTTGTTTGAGACCCACTGGACTGACTCGGAGGTGGCGGGAGTGACGTTCAGGTTGTTCTTCGTTCAGTGCGAGCCCGAGGTCGAGGAAGAGCTGACGGAATCTGTAGAGCTAGACCGGGCAGGCTTTGTGCGCTCACTGTTCGAGTGCTCTGTTAGCGGACCGTGGAAGTTCAAGGAGGGCGAGGTTGTTGTTGTTCTCTCGCAGAACTTACTATGTGGAACGATCAGGGAACATCTGGCACTCGTAGCTCGCGCCACCGGTCTTGATGCGGAACTTGAGAGGTTTGGTCTCGAGGACGCTCTTGATGTCCTTTTGGCCGGGGGCAGACGAGGAAGCAGAGGTGGCAGATGTACCGGACATTTTGAAAGTTCGTTAGAGAGAAGAATCTCAAGGGATTTGTTCGGTCTGATGAGGTTTGAGAGCGAAAAATTAGGAACAGTGAAGTTGCAGAGAGCTGGTGTATAATAACGAAGAGTGCAGTGCTAAGAAAAGATAAGTCACGAAACAAGTCAGGTACAATCTGAAATGAAGGCAACTTGGGGATCATGACCAGATATTTATATATTCTACCTACGAACTACATAGTACATTCTGATTAGTGACGACGGAACGGAGAAATGGAACACAAGTGACCGAATACCGAGTTTGTTGCATACTGTATGGTGTAACTGCGTGATTTTGATGCCGCCCTGGATCGTCAGTCCGAAAAGGAACCTACGTTGGCTGCCCCCACACCCACAGATGCATCTGAGATTGATGATGAAGCAATGGTATTACCAAACGCCTCATCTTACTGGGGGGAACCCGCTTCTCAGCCGCGGCTCGTTTATCGGCGCTCTCGGGAACACCAGTCCCCTGACCCAGGGTCCAGGCAACGTGGGAACGTTGGGACCTACCAGAGTACAATGCCGCGGAGTTTTACCTACTCACGAGTCGCCGACTCTGTGGGGAACTTGGCCATCGGGTGGCCCCTCGCAAACCAATACTCTCTTGCTCTTTCTGACAAATATGTCTCGGCTTCTTTGTACACCTTCATCACATGAGAAGGAGATTCGGAATGACGAAAAAGGCGGTAAAAGGCGAGGCGAAGGGAATCATAGGCCGTTGCTTGTCCAACGCTTGGCAAGGCTGAAAAATTGCCCGATGTCGTTTGAGCTATCAATTGAGCCCTGGCTTTTAGCAGCTTGTTCCCAATGCACATCACATATCCTGTTTTCCAGGGGTTCACGGGCGCTTCTAGAAGGCGGTTACGTGAGACGAAGAAGAAGGGGAGAGAAAAAGGAAACCCACTTCGGGGTTCTGTGCAGAGCAGAGCCCGCAAGAAGGGTCTCCCTTGGCCGCGCAAACTACCCCGCGTCTTCGATACACAGATAGCGAAAGCAGTTACCCGGGCACGCCGATAAAACCTCTCGCTCTGCTTGATACTATAAGAGCCTGACTGGCGCTTGACAAGATGGCACAATTATTAAACGCCCTTAGCGTTCATGCGCGCTGGCGTTCACCTCTCACTGAATCATGAAGAATCCACTTGAGATCTAGTTTTGTCGACTCAGGTCCGCGATAAGCGATACGATCGCTGTCCGTGAAGCAGGTTTTCTTCTTCTTTTCATTTTCTCTCGAGATCGCTGCATGTTGATCTTGTGACACGAACTGGGATGGACCCTCTTTCAGCCTTACGCCCTGAGATCTTCAGCGACGATGATTCGACCATCAGTAGAGCCATATTCTTGTCATGTGCTGGAGTGGTGGGGAAGGTTTAGTTCCACCCCGCGTTGCCCCAGAGCGTCTCACGGAGAGTGTTGTCTTTCCCCCAGGATCGCAGTGCTCCTCAGCGCTCAAGGGCCACTTCAAGTCGAATTGTGATATTCATGGCCCCCAAAGGTGTTTATGTATACAAGGACCTAATAATTCTACAAGACCTAAGTAATTCTCTGGTTGGCAAAAAAAAGGTGCAAACCGCATTTACCCGTCGTAGCAACATGCTTGACCAGCCATTTGGAATCCATTCCTATCAATGAAGCGATCTGAAAGAGCCCGAAGGCAAGAACCGACAAAATAACAAAGAGAAAATAACAAGAGAAGATTTTCCAAGAAATCGGACTGCTAGATAAAGAAGGAAAAATAGAGGACATGAAATCAATGGCAAAAACATACAACACCGGGTATTCGCTAATGGTCACCCACTTAACTACTAATCCGGCGGTTAGTGGCTTATTTAGGGGAGAGCAGACGGGATCCCAAGTTCTCCACTACCTATGGTCGTATGTGCTAAGACTTGCAAAATACAACATTATATATATAATATGTGTAATTCGCTAAGTGGTTACTTTTGGTGAGTATAATAATCTCTTTAAAGTATTGTCTCATGTAATTAGACCAATGACTGTTACCGACATCATTCATTACAAGCAGAGCAACAACAGAGACGGGAAAATACATTCACAATTCCCAAGTCACCTCGAAGATGCAGTCCTGTTTACATGTCATGCGCAGCCTCGGTATGACTGTCTCTTGGTCAAGTATACCTCAGTTCGTAGTGTCAATATCACTCACGGGGATGGTCAGCAGCGCAAGAGGTCCAAAGTGGAATTACTGATCATGCTTGGGGCATGCTAGTCTGTCGAGATATTGCCCACGTTCTAGGTCCTTGTGATATGATAGGCGATTATACTCTGTCGTCCTGGGATCCCCGGCCCAAACTTGTCTTCTTGCTCATTCATCCCCAAAGAGGCTGGAATCCTAGAATAGTGTACACTAGCTGGTGACTGCTGGACTCCTGGACTTGACTGTTCAACCCATCTTTGCAGAATTTAAACTGTACCCTCTCAAGTGCACATAAACATTCATGGATTGAGCACAAGAATGGATTGAGCACAAGAGCCATGTCGAGGTTGCCCTGATCTCATATGGCGAATTACTTTCTTTTTACCTTGCCTGATCACACGCGGCGGTGTTTCGGCGGATCTCCTTTTTTGCGATCTCTCTCCTTTCCCAAGAGAGAATCACAAAGGAATTAGTAAAAGTGAACCTGCGAATAGTTCCCAATATCCTGATGCCTGGCTGCATTGTCTAACTTGTTTAGGGGAGCTGCATCGTAAATGCAGCCAGTCTTTGACACAGTTGACAGCCTTTCTACGACCGCTGAGCCTATATCCAAGTAATCACAGACAAGTTGGTGGGATGACTTCGCTAAGCCCTAGCCAGGATCAACTTGAAGAAACCTTGCTTCGGTTCAACGTCTTCTATCAGGGCGAATGACGAGGAAGAAGAGACGGAGATATCCAAAATCTCATCAAAGAGCGGCGCTCTTTCCAGCCGACAGCCAGCTTGGACTCTCGTCCGCCTATTAGTTCGTTCTAATATACAGATAGCGAATGAGCCTCCTGTATGTCAGCCCTAGCTTGAGTCTCCTGTTCGTGAATACATCCGAGTATCCGAAAGGTCTGCCTAAACCCCCCCCCCCCCCTTCCCCCTCCTTTCTCTTTTGGCCCCCCTATGGGTTTTTCATTCCTTCCACGTGCTAAGCAACTGCATAAGCAGCCCTACGCAGGGGGCACACGCGTCACCAAGGCGAATACTACATTAGCCCGACATCCGGAGGCATACCCGTAGCTCCCGGAGCGTCTTCGAACTGGAAGAGAGCTGTCAGTTAGTTAGGGCCTTCATCTGACCACCTAGCACTTGAGGACCCGTTCAAGCTTGGGGATGATGGAGGTTGGAGGACCTCTTTGGCACCTTGACTAGTTAGTATTGGTAGTTGGGCTAGACCTTTTACATAAAGAGTCCGAGAGTGCGAGATCCGAGAGCCTCAGCCTTGTTTTAGTGGAGACCGGAAAACCTTCGAGCACAGGTAGTGTCAAGTAGTCTAACGCAATGGCCGAGTAGAATGATAGCAAAGGTTCGTGGCCACTTTTCAAACAGATTCAATGATGGATGCTTCACAAGAGACCTTTACACAACTGCCATTCTATCGAAAGAGATGAAGGCTATGTCGGAGAGTTAGGTGTGGCTTCCGCTTAGCATCATCAGGCATATTATAACCCATGTATGATCCTGTGGAGAGATATAAGATACAGCCAGTGTCGGCACAGAGACGGTCGTGTGATTTCCACGAATTCGGATGCTATTGGCCCTCGGGGCAACATTACCAAAGAGGGAATCTCAGTTCAAGAGTTGACCGGTTCTCAAGAAGTGCTTACTGTGATAGTTATCACGGGTTGGATTGAGAAGCGCCAGAGCGGCCGGGGCTTGCCAAATTTTCCAACCAGGGAAGACACAAGTCAGAATGGTAATCAGCCACAATTCAATATATGGGGTAGACGAGATTAGATGGAAAGATCATGTTGCAAGCAAGGCTTAAGACAGACCCCGAGTTACCCGAGATCTTACACGGTGGTGTTACAGATGTTTGCTAGATCTGAATGAACCTTGAGGGCCTTGCCAGAGACGAATTATAAAAGGGAGATGAAGTCAAGGCTTCCATGTCATGAACTGAACTGAACATTGCAAACAAAACTCAGAAACAATATCTCCAAAGGCCAATCAACCAATTGTTCATAATCAATATGTTTTCCTATAATAAAGTCTTCGTGCTGTTGACAGCTGCCTCGACGTAAGATGCTACAACTCACAAGATTACGAGACTCCCTTTCTTGTTGTACAATAGTTTGGAATCATGTCAACAGATTGCTAACTCTTCGTCCTTAGAGCTTTGGCTGCTCTCCAAGCCACCAGCCTCCCAGGCGAGCAGAAGTGCTCACCGACCGTCACGTCCGTCACCACCTCACTGCTCACTACGCCTCTGACCTGTCACTGCGGTCTTGAGACGGTCTGCACGCCCCCAGCCGTAGCCACCACGTCCCCGCTGCCCACCACCACGCTTCTTGAGGGGTGCACTCTCGACATAGTCATCGGACCCCCGAACTGCGGCCAGGTCTGCTCCTTCTGTGAAACCCCGACCCCGACCCCGCTGGCGCACAAGCGCCGCCCGAAGACAACTCCCACATCTCTCCCTGGCCACAAGGTCTGCTCGCCGACTTCCACGATCACTACAACCTCCACATACTCTGAACCGTGCAGTTGCCCTATTGAGACGCCTTGCTCTGCTGGGTCGACCCAGGTGGCCTCCCCGCTGCCCACGACAACACTGATTGAGGGGTGTGTTGAGGAAGTGATTGTGGGCCCGGGATGTGGGTGCCTCTACTGTGAGGCTGATGCCTAAAAGGTGCGGCGAAGGGACGTAGGGCAATTACATGCCATTATCACGGAAGGTGTTGGAGGGGGGGGGGGACAGCATCTAGTCTGCTGCACATTCAATGAGGAAGTTGAAGGATCACTTATAAGAACACACTGCATGTTGCTGGACGAAGTATAGGAATAACTTAGAAAAAGAGGCGACACTGTTCTATGAATTTTCAAAACATCCCGACAGTTCCACACCCTAATACCATGACGTGAAACTATGCTGTGGCAAGAGGGAGGCTGGATCTCCAGATACGCATCGTTGTATCCCTTCAGGTGGACCACTGGCGATGCTGATTTTTAGCAGTAGCACGTGTTTCGGGCAGGATTGCCCCGCCCCATGACCCATCAGGGCTTTCGTGTTCTGTATTTCAACCACAGTTTCGGGAACGGCGGACACTTTTGGAGTCTCGTAGTTTGCAGTGTCTTGTAATCCAGACAGGTTTAATAGTGCTGAGTCAACGGATGTCACATCACCGGGTCGGGCGTCACACAAATGAGACGTTGACATTGGGGCCGCCACGTTAACATGAGGATCCTTCGCGCCTTGTTCGTATCCCAAACAAGAAAAGGCTAATTAGCCGACAGACATCCAGACGCCCCGAGAAATTCTTTGCTTATTCCACAGACACGAATGGCTCTTCGGGTCCCTCTCGTATTGGGGTCTCAGCCTTACGGGAACACACTTTTGCATGGGTAGGATTCCGGAAGCGCTGGCTAGCAATGCACATCGGGAAAGTAGGTTGACATATATTTAAGTACGTGGTTTTCCTCTTTTGAGGTATCGAATTGTGAGTGCAAACGCTTCAGGTTGTTACCCATTAATCGGATAATAATTACATCATACCTTTGTGTCCTAATCAAATCAACATTTTCTTTCCACGTGTGGTATTTCTTCCCTCATTCAAGATGCGCTTCATGACCGTTCTCCTTTCGGCTGCTGCCGCCGCCACCGCTGCTTCTATCCCACGACAGTACGACTCTGAACTGATTGACTTTACAACCTGGGGCCTGATGGGATGCGACGACGACTACAACGGCTATTTTACCTACAACCAGTCAGCAGCGAATACCTGTATCGAGAAAGACGACATCCTTGAAGTCCAGTCGCTGTTCGTGCAAGAAGTATCCACCAGCTCATGCTCTTGTGCGTATACCAAAGATCGTTCTAGAGAGACGGGCCAAATGTGCTGATACTTTCGATAGTCTACGTCTACCAAGACACCATATGTGCCGTGGAGGCGATCCCGGTTCCCTTGAACGAATGCTTTAACATTATCGGCTTCGGGGCGTTCAAAATAGTGTGCCCTTGAGGGCATGGGCGGCATTTGGCATGCATTAGTGTCATCGGGTAGGAGTTGAACGACTACGTACTGCGCACCTAGTCTTCACCGCTCAAATGTCTCAAAAAACCCCCCCCCCCCCCCAAAAAAAAAGAGGAAGAAAAAAAAGGAGAGACTTGGTTAGACACATGCTAAAGTCGTAGAACAAACTTCTACAAGATCTGAGTTACTGTGGGCTGTGCAGTTGTTTAGGTTGTAGTATAATTCCGAAAAAAAAAAAAAAGAAATAAATGAACAATCACGGAGCACAACCGAGTTAGCTGTTTTTCGTCACTTATGTCTCGAAATAAAATTTAAGTGTGGGCATCCAGACCAGCAGTGCATGGCCGGGACGCTGGCGAAAGGTGAAGGGATCAGTTCCGGGTTTCTGCAGCGACAACATGAAGATTCACGTACATCGAACATGAGCCAATGCTGGCCAGAACTCAATTCTATTAGCGGCACATGCCCTGTGACATAAATTGCCACAAATGCTTTATCACTGACTTAGATTTGCCGACGGATTGGTGCCAGACTTGATGCATTACCCATGTTATGATATTTATACCTAGGTGCCTATCAGCCAGGTTCAAGGCAGCATACGCTTGACGCTCTTAATGTTCCCCTGCAAGGTCCGTTGAACCCTTCCCCAGCACTGGCCGAGCCACATGGCAATGAACAACACGGTCGAAGTCTAGGTGTGCGTGTCTCAAGGTAGGAACATACACGAATCGAGAGATTGGTATCCTCTGAAGGCTGAGGTAGCTGAAACTGTTGTGCAGGCTCGGTCAATGAAATGTTTGAAATCGAGTGGCTGCAGTCTTTTGCGAGATCATGCTATGCATTGACAGTGGCTGAGTACTTCTCGATGGGATATTTCGCAACGCAGTAATGCCGTGTATTGGTAGTGTACGAGATGACCAATGATAGGATACCAGACCAAGTGGTCTCTGCTGGAAATGCCTGCAGAATAACGAGTTGTTGTCAAATGTAGTAGGCCGTCGTGCCTGATAACCCCTGTCATACTGCTTACCCCGGCACCCTGGCCTTTTGACACCCTAGCACAGCGTGCCCACCCCCTGTAGTTGCCTCACTTCAATGCTGCTCGAACGTCCAACATGTGAAACACACATCTCCGAAACCTTCCAACCTCGACACCTTTTATCCAGACCCAGCATCAGGTTCCTTCGTGCTGATGTTGGCGCTGGGTTGCTTGAATCATCAGGATGGCTGACCTGGAAAGGACCGTGCTGGACTTCTACCAGCTGTCGACTCCGTACCCTGTCGAGTGGCCTACCGAGAAGGACAACAGCGATGTCTCCGAGGACGAAGATGCAGCCAAGAAGGCCAATCGGCGCAAGTCAAGATACCAGGCCCTGGAGAAAGCAGTCAGCAACAGGAACAGCCAGCTCCCAGGACACGAGAAGTCAGCCAATGGCGTCGGCAACATTGTGCAGAAGGACGAGCCAGACCCCTTGGGCACCACGGATAGTGTCGTGAGGACCTTGAGGCAGCTTGGTGTTCCTGTCCAAGAAGACCCGAGGCTACGTACGTGTGCAACCCTCAAATCTCCATTGTTGTAGCATGGCAGGCTTTCTGACCAGCCTGGCTGCAGGACAACGCTTTCTCATGTCCTCTACTACCTTCTCCCCCGCGCTATTCCTCTCTCAGATGCACGCGACGGCAGACACCCAGTCTCTCCTGAATGGTCTCGACGTCCTCTCGCAATCTATCGACCAAAAGAGCGCCTCCCTCAAGGTCCTTGTCGAGTCTAACTTCGAGCGCTTCGTTCGCGCAAAGGCGACTATTGACAACGTCTATAAGGAGATGAAGTACCGTGGTGCCGACCCGAACCCACCTGCACCTGCGAACCGGGCTCGCCCTCACAGCAGGCACGCGAGCAGGAACAGCTTCCGGAGCAGTTCTGGACCGGGCCTGCCAAACCCTCTGGCTCCGGACCCAAGAAAGAAGAATGCGCTGATCAAAGAGAGCGAGTACGGTGTCTCTGGCATCAAGGCTCCACTGCTCGATGTCTCCGCAAAGGCAGAGGATGTCTGGGGACCGGCTCTCGGCGGCAGAGACAAGGAAGAGAACCTGAAGATGGTGGCTGCGACCCTGGAGAAGTACCAGGAGTATGTCGAGACGAGCTCAGCTGTCGCAGAGAGCATCAAGCGGAAAGACAATGAGGCACTGGTGGAGGAGTATAACAAGGCGAGGAAATTTGCCGAGGACGCCCGTAGGATGACCCAGACGGGTTCTCAGGACAGACTGCCCGACGACCAGCTCTACCAGGTGCTTTTGGCTGCTCGTATGTGGCACGACGTACATGAACAGATCGAGGTCTTCAAACGTGAAACCTGGAAGAAGCTCGTCACCCTTCATACCGCACCAAAGTCGGAAGCAAGTGGGCGCCGGGACCAGCACATGGAACTCATCAGCATCTTGCTTGAGCTGGGCGTGGACGAAAACCCCATATGGATCTGGCTCCTCAGCCGCTATGATTACCTCAAGGCTAAGGTCGCCTCAACAGCAGAACGAACCAAGGTGGAGATCGAGGTTGCCAGACGGCGCATCGCCAATGCCGACAGACCCAAGCCCCAAGCGATCGCAAACCATGTCAAATCCATTGCGCGGCAGTCCATCGAGAGCAGGTCTCAATCTTTTGATTCTGCCGACATAGTGGAGCTCTGGGAGAGGATCATATCCTTCCTTACCAGCATGCTTTCCTCTCAGGGCATCATTGGTGAGGTCGTGGAGTTCTGGCAGACGGTTCAGGGGTTCTTGGAGGGCAGGTTGCAGAAATCCTTGCCAGCTGGATATAACGGCGAGTCATTCAAGCATCACGAGTTGACAAAACAAGGAGCAGCAGATCTACAAAAAGGCACGGTCGAACTCGTGGATGCCATCCGGGAGCACGTATACCTGTTCTTCGTCGGACCACCTCCAGACGATCTGTCAATGCTGCTTTCTCCTATGCCGTCAGAGCCTAGCACGCCTTTGACGGCCTCTCTCACTGGCGGTGGACGGCCGCTTACACCTAGCACACCCAACACATTAAAGGCACCTCGCACGAATCTCGACCCCGGCAGTATTCCCCCGCCATCACCTAAGCGAGGTGAGGCATGGGAGAAGTTTGCCTTCTGGCCTCCTTGGTCAAATTCCGTCAGTGGTGTACACTACCTGGCCAAGGTGCTCGTGTTGGTAGGCTCGGGCTCCTGTGATATGGCCAGTCTTGCGCCAGTTGCCGAAGGAGATGGTGCGGTACTCGACAGGTTGAGAACACTTGTTGGCTCTGCAAGAGACCGCTGTGTCACAGCCGTGTGCGCCGCTTGGAACAAGGATGCCGAGAACATCAAGTATGTCGAGGACTGGAGCAGATCGCCAGAGAGAAAGGACGTCACCAAGATGCCCGCGAGCTTCAAGGCTTTCGAAAGCGCTCTGCTCACGGGCATGCAGCAGATTTTATACATCTCAGATGCCATGTCGAGACCAGGCGCCGGGGATATTGTCCAGCCGCCACCAACAAAGCTTCAGCAGATGGTCCGCAGCCAGTATGTGACGACATTGTACAAGGCGCTGAGTGGTATGGTCGAAAATGCGGAGCGCTCCTCCCGGAGGTCAGATGATGAGTGGACGACTGAGGAAAGCTTCGTTGTCCACAACGGCGGCAGCTCGCGCGCGTCCAGCATGATCAGCGCGTCGACGCTTAACGCTGGTGACAGGGTCAGTTCAAACCCTAGCTCTCTCTCTCTCTCCCTTACTTGTGAAAAAGAATGCTGACACTCTGTGTTGTAGAATGTGCGCATGCTGTTGACCCTCAGCAACTTGCAAGCGCTGCGAGCCGAAGTCGTGCCAGGTCTGAACACGCAGTTCGAGAATGCCTTCTCCGTCAAACTGACGGATGAAGAGAAGAAAATCAGAGATGTACTGGGCCAGATCGACGCACGTCTATTCCAGTCCTACACACGGCCGTACATAGAGTCTCTTCGAAGCAGCATCCGGCAAGGCATCACAGCCGCAGATTGGGCGCCTGCTTCACCCAACGACAAGCCCCGGGAGGTGAGGCCATACATCTACAAGGCCCTGCTCGAACTGGTGCTGGTCCACTCTCAAGTATCCACTACCGCTGCTACGCTCACCAGCCAGGTTCTCTCGTACCTGCTAGAGCAGTCCTCGCGCGAACTCCTCGAGGCGTTCAAGTCCCGGCCGAAGTACAGCCTCTCGGCTCTGATGCAGGCGACACTCGACGTCGAGTTCGTGGCGCAGACGCTGAGCCAGTACATGACGGAGAAGTCTACCGAGATCCAGACGCAGATTTACCAAGAGCTGGACTCGCGGACGGACAATGACGCCCGCGCCAGGCTACAGAGCGAGCTGCCGGAGATGAGGAGCGTGCTTAAGAGGCTGAGAGAGGCGAGCAAGAGCGAATTTGCGTGCTTCCGCAAGCTGCGCCGTCGAGAGGCGGCGCCGGGGGCCTCGGGTGCGAGAGGGGATAACAGCAGTGTTTCTACCACGACTATGTCTATCGCTGGGTCGATCTGAGGTAGTGTGTGGTCTTGTGGGTTGGAAACGTAATTATATTGGGGAAACGAGCGAATAGAGATAAGTTTATATAAAAACGCTAATCCGTCTTATTGATGTGCCACTCAATTTCTTTGCTATGTATGAAGGAGAAGAAAGGGGGGGGGGGGGGGTTGTAATCAAAGTCGTGTCTGAGCGAGTCTCGGGCTGGAGGAAGATTGTGTATCTTGAGTGCCAAGTAGTGGTGGATAGCTTGCCAGCACCATTGTGGATCTCAGAATTGCCTCTCTGGTGTCGATAAATCCGACCCTCCATCAAAGTATGCTGAATCATTTGACTGCTTTTTCTCTTATTTCATTTTCTGTCTCTTCTTCCTTTCTGCAAGCAGCCCAGTCAGTATTCCAGTCAGGACAACTCCAGAGTAGTACACGCGTGGCCGTATATCAGCCTTGTTTCAGACACATGTAAGTCCTGGTTTGACAACAAGAATCACGTTCAGGAGCACACATGCTGTATGACAATGACTAGACACTGCCTCCTCATGATGAGGGTCACGAGCCTTGTTGTCCCTTGGAAGGATAGTAGGTGGAGAGAGAAGAGGCTTCGTCATGAGAGAAAGTCAGCGAAGCAGCTAGTCCCAACATGCACAAACGACGGCCACTAAGGTAAGCTATGAACAGGGACGAGGATCTTTTGGCCCTGCCCTCCACGATTTGTCAGGGCTTGTTGGGGGAAGGGAAAGAGAGAGAGAGAGAAGACTTGGCCCCATCCTTCCCTCCTTCCCGTCCCGTCCCGCCCCCAGTCCAAGTCAAGTCCACTGACTTCTTTACCCATTTATACCGCCTTTCCAAGTCCCTGCAGGTAGACCCACATCCTGGAAAAGGCGGTGTCGTTTACGCCGGCAGATTTTTTCCCTTCCCCATCGCAGTCGCCATCGCATCGGCATCGCGGATAACCCTGACGACGGGCCCCATCTACGAGGAGAATAATAGGTCTTTCCGAGGGCTGCAGAGGGGCCAAGCAAGCCGACCTTCCTCCTCCCCTCCCCCTCCAGGCGTGGGAAGAGAGACCAGCTGCCCCTCTGGTGGCAGTTAGATCATTTCCACGATGGGCCGCCTGCAGCATCCAGTCATCAAGCAGTTCTTCGACCGAGGAGAGAAGCTGAAGGATAATTCCAACCGGTGAGTTGAGTCCTTGTCAAAGTCGCTGGTTAGGATCCTCGTGTACTTGTGTACACACGCCCAGACTCTTTTGTTGCCCTTTTCTTCCTGTCTCTCATCATGTTTTCTTCCCTTCTTTTCCCTTATGAGTTCTTCTATTCTTGCCTTTCCTGATCTATTTAGGTGGCGTCTTTCATTTTCTGTCTTCTGATTTTCTTTGCTTCTCTTACAAGTGTCGAAATGGACGCTCATGGAACCTACATGCTGTCCGTTATCACGTGGCAGACACGACACGTATCGATCTGTCACTCGCAGCTGACCCATGTCGTAAATATAGCTATGTTCACAGCTGCAAACTCTGCGGCGAGGTCTTTAAGAAGGGTCGGGTCGAGAGCCTGAGAAAGCATATCACAAAGAAGTGCACCATGATCTCTTCTCAGGAACGCATCAACGCTGCCCTCCGCTTTGCCGATATCGATCCTCAGCGGCCGGAGTCGTCTCGGCAGGCCAAGCAGCAGTCACGACAAGCTCAGCACGGTCAGCAGCAGCAGCAGCTCCAGCAGTTCCAACAGCAGCAGCAGCAGCAGGCCCCTGGAGGGATGACTCCCCTGAACCTTGATATGCTGCCGCACCAACAGAGCTGGACCCGTCTAGAGGCTCTCGCAGAGGTCTCTCGCCGTATGGACCGTGACGATCGAGAGTTTGGGGAGGACGACGGTCAGGCTCAGCAACATCAGCACATGTCTGCTGCTGATCACATGTCTGATAGTCTCTTGATGAACTCGTCGTCCGGCGCTGCTGCGCATGCTGGGTCCAACCCATTCCACGTCCACGATCAATTTGCCTTTTCGAGCCCCCAGTCCACACCACAGAAGGACCAATCACAGCAGCTTCAGCCACAGGACAAACAAGGTCAGTAGTGTCCATAACTCTAAACATCATGGTCATCTTCTCCTCTACAGGCAGCACTAAACTAACGCTTATCACAGTCACCATCGACTTTGGCAGCCCAGTTGGTATCGAGAAGCAGGCCCGCCCTGCTGATGAGGTTCTAGACTCCATCAACAACCCCGCCATATCAGTCGCTACTGCAGCCACAGCACGGCTGAATACAGGATCACTGGTTGATCCTACGCTGTTCGAAGACTATGATCGGAACCCCGAGGAAAACCTCCGCCAAGAGCTTGCCCGAGCTATTGGGGAAGCTTCGCGCGGCTCAGCCACACCTCCTCTTCCTCCTCCTCCAGCAGCCTCCCACGTCACAGCACCTACAGGGCCATTTCCGACGATCAACAATTTTAGCACGGACAGACAGACGCCAGCGCAGATGGAGACACTCTCTACATTCAGCAGCGCACTGGCAGCAGGCGACGGCCAGTCTAGTTCACTTGGTCTACAGCAGGACCAATCGCCAGCTGCTCACAACCAGCACTCAGGGCCCTCTACAGGCCATGATTCCGGTCCCGCACAACTGCCGTGGGGTGAGTATACATTTGGCGCAGGTACGAACGAACCAGCGAGGCTTCCCGACATACGCCCGATGATGGGGGAGCCATCGCGCTCCGTCTTTCGCGTTGATCGAAACGGCGGCCGAGGACGACACGCACGGGCTCGATTTTCGGAGCCGCGCAGGAGGGAGGTCCAGAATATAAGAAAGATTGGTGCCTGCATTCGCTGCAGGATATTGAGGAAGACGTGCTCCGATGACACCCCTTGTCTGACCTGTCGCAAGGTCTTGTCCCCTCGCGTCTGGCGCTCTGGCTGCATCCGCACCAAGATTACCGAAAAGATAGACCTTTTCAATGCTCGCCTTCACGAGAATCACCGCAAGGCCGAAGTTGATACCTGCAAGGCCAAGTGGAATACCAAGTATCCTATTGTTGTGCTGCAGGCCACTCATTCAGATGCCGGTACTGTCCTTGGCTGCGAGGCACTCCTCGGCACCGAGCCTGCTGCGATTTTTGATCCCACGCTCGGCAGGGAGTACCAGACTGTCTTTCCAAAGGTTGTCATGATCGATCCCAACGATGACCTCCCCGACAGGATGCAGACCTATGTCAGCGAGATACTGCCAGAGCTCATCAGCAGGGAGGAGTCTGTCTTCTCACGCATCACCCTCGAGACAGCCCTCGACCTGGCCAACAGGAGGCATGTGCCGGAGCGGAGCCTGAAGCTGGCCCTCGAACTCTGGGCATGCGTCGAGGTCATCGATCGGGAGACGAGCTGGAAGTTCAACGTTCAACCCTGTCCCGAGATCCGAGATGCCATCGCCGGACCCATCACGAGAGAAACAGACGAAGACGTCTACAAGATGCTCGGGCTGCAGCTCACGGCGGCCGCCGAGCAGAGAGCCGAGCTTGTAAGCAAGGAGCTCCTCAGACACCTGCAGCGCGATCTCCAGGATGGACGTGCGACTATTGACGAGAATATGTTTTTCGCGGTACTGTTACTACTCATCAGCGTGGAGAAGGCCATCTGGGCGTTCAAGGTCTGGGAGCAGATCTCTGCAATTCAACACGGCTGGCCTCACCCTAGCAAGCAGCCGAGCTACTTTATCGCACAGGGCGACCAGATTGCTGAGCTCTTGCGCATGCTGCTACAGATCCGCAAGGCTATGCCTAAGGTGGAGGTACGGGATCGTGACGGTGTACTCGTGGTTGAGGATTATGGTTCCACCTATTCCTCGTACTTTGATCGAGTCAAGCTGAAAGGTAGAGTTCAACCCGCTTCATGGGAATTCCGAAAAACCGGTGTATAATGAGTGGCGCTGACCTTTTTGCCTTTGCCATAGCTGCCAATGTCATCAAGCGCCGACAGGACCCCCCGTTCAGACCCACCAACTCGCGAAGTCTGGAGCTACATTTCTGTTCGACGATCCTCCTTCCGGAGCATCTGCTGCCCTCTCAAGAGCAGCCAGAGCCTTCGGCCCAGGCATCTGATGAGGCCTCAGCTGCCGACCCTGCTGCTGCTGCTGCTGCTGCTGCTGCTGCGGGGAACATTTTCCAGCAAGAATCGCAGACCAACGCACAAGACTTTGGTCAGGGCAGTGGTGACGACCAGGACGGTCTGCAGGCTGACTCTGGCTCGCAAACACCACAGGAGGCTGCTGTTGCATTCTCATCTGCTGGATAGAATCCTGCAGGATACGACGCGTACGACTGGGATTTATAAGGCCATGCTTTATAAATGATAGGGGCCCATGACACCAAGAATATTATGGATAATGACCACACATTTCGGAAACTAGCAAGTTTTCATCTTTTTCTTAGTTGCCGGGAAATCTGAATGGATTCAGTAGGCCAACCCTGTATACTTTTTTATGTTTTTGCCTGGGAATCAATGAGGCTCAGGCTTTTGATGGCAACCTTCAAGGCTCTGTGGAGTCCTGGTTCTCTATAGGGCCTGGAACGTAACGCATGCATTTCCAGGTGTTTCGGAGTCTGGAACAGTTTGTGGTCCATAGATGGATGGCCGCTTATTCAAATGCATCAAGGAAGTGGTTGATTGGTTCATGGAGAGACTTGTTAGTGCACTTGGTTTTTTTTTTTTTGGTTTTTTTTTTCTACGTAGAGATGGTCAGAACATCCTACACGAGCAGGTGATCGATCCCATCACCCATTCCTTTCCTCACATGTGGCCCCGGGGAGGAAAGGAAGAAAATTTCAGTTTTTCCAATCTCTATTGACCTTGGAAGAGATACAAAGATTTAGACCCCCCCCCCCTTGGCTCTCTCAACAGGAAACATAAGGGCGTTTGTATGCAGAATAGAAGAGAAAGAAGAGAGTTACCTTGATTCCATCCGGGCTTATGGTAGCTGTAAGTGGTGGCTCCTTCTTGGTGGGCGATAGTACGTACCCAAATACTACGACTATTCTTGCGCTTCAAGTTTCGAGCGGGTTCCGAGTATAGAGTCTGGGTAAGTTTTTTCCATGGGTGGGTGGTTTGTCACGACTCAACCAACCAATCAATCATCATGAGTACCTCACAACGCACACCAATAATGCTATACGATAGCAACATGACTACCGAATTGTGCTAGACGCCACGCAACGCCAGATGATGCATTGTTACCACCAGTGCGTGTCTATAAATATCAAGAGAAAATTAAAAGGAAAAAGACCGCCAACCCTCCTCATCTGCCTGCGCGCAAGAGACCCAGTATAGAAAAATACCACAGAATATAGAGGGTATCACCAAGGCTCATTCAATAACGTCTTTGCTTCCTTGCTGTAATTTTCACAATCATTCCAAAAGAGCAAAGAGAGAAAAAGAGAACAGGAGCAGAATAAAAGGGGCCCCATGCCCGAAGATTGCTTGCTGTCTTAATTTTTTTTTTATCGGCCCCATACATTCCTGAACTCATCCGAGCCATCGATGGCCCCGATCGGGGTCGTGACTGGAGATGGGCTCTCGTGCTCCTCATGCGCCTCCTCCCATGCTTTCGAGCCCTCTACCAGCGGTCCTTCGTTCTCGACGTCCTTGACTCGGCCGTCGTAGCCTGTGTGCTGGGCAGCTTGGAGATATTCTTCCGTCAGGGTATTGTAGTCCTCATTCGCGGTTCCGAAGCCCGATGGGCCTGCGTCTTCCTCGTGGGGGAGGGGTGGTGAGGGTTTCGATGCGGGAGGAGATTGATGATCATCCCGGGTCTTGTGGACTTGGGCTGAGGGCTTCTGGCTCGAGCCGGCGGAGTTGGGTGAATTCTTGCCTTTGCCTTTCTTCTTGGACTTTGATTTTATGAGGTCAGTGCTGGGCGTCCTTGTCCTTGGCGTTGGGCGTGCGGTCGATGGAGACGATGAGGACGATCGGGGCTCGATACCAGGCAGTCGAGCGAAGCTCGGTTGTGGTGTAATCCACATGTCCCGGTACGGTTTGTTGGCCGTCACGACTGGATACTGTAACCAAAAGTCAGTTAAGATACTGCCCGTGGGAGGGCAGGGGCGCAGATTGCAGAGACTTACGTTCCAGTCGCCAAACTCCAGCTTCTTGGCCTTCCGATATAGTCCCTCCATCTCGTCATCCAGAGTAGGATCCTCGTCTAGCGCGCCATGCGTCATTTGCGCCCTATCCCGACTCGCCTCGCCGCGCAGCAGGGAGGTGCCCTCGTTGATCTCGCCAGGGCTCGGCAGCCAGTACTTTCCCTTACCGCCCCTCTCGTATCGCATGCCTGCCTTCAGCCTCGCCAATCTCGACTTCGAGTCCTCGTGAGCCATGACCCTGTCGCTCGCATCAAAGTAGCGATACTTGTACTTGTCTCCACTAAAGGTCTCCTTCGAATCCTCGATCAGATCCCGGGGCCCGAACGCATCCCGACAAGCATACCAGACGGGCATCCGAGCCGCAGACAGGCTATTGTCTGCAAAATCGTGCCATGAGAATGCATACCAGTGCGCCACGGCGAAGATGGGCATCTCGAGGCAGATCAGAGCGTCCTGAATCGCCGCCGCCAGGTTGTCGGGCGTGTAGCCCTTGACGTCGTCCGGGATCGCACCCAGCCAGACCAGGATCGAGAGGGCAAAGCCCTGCCAGTAGGACGCGAAAATGATGAGTTTAATGCACAGGAACTTGGGCACAGGCCGGAAGGGCTTGAGGTCGTCGTGCATGCACACCCAAAACAGCCCGAGCGAGTACAGGCTGACCGTCACGCTGATGTTGTAGATAATCCCGCTCCAGAGGTAGCCTGAACTCAGGCCTATGTAGCCCTCCTGATATGTTCCAGTCGCCTTCATAACGATGGCGGAGATGCCCAAGATGGGCTTCAGCCAGGCGTACTGTAGAATGCCACGCTTGATCGCGAGGAAGGTATATGGGTCGGAAATATCGACGCGGGACAAGACATGGTTCAGGGGCCACAGATGATTGACGGGGGCCCGGCCGTGGGTGAGGACAATGAGAGACCGCTCACCGCCGAGGTAGTTGATCAAAAGCTGGAAGAAGGTATAGATCGTAAAGGCTTCGTAGATGTCGCGTATTGGATCGACAAACTGTGCGGCTGTAAAGGAGACCAAACTAATCCACGAGGATATCGAGTAGATAGGCACCCTGAGAGTGCGTACTGTGTTAGGCTCTTACTCCTCGATCGTAATCAGAGGCCGATTAGACTTACATGAGCAATATGCGCACGACATATCGCTGCAACAGCGGTTTCCTGTAGTTTTTGCTAGAGGGGTATCAGCGTGGCGATCGAGGCAGTGGAGTAAATCGGGTTATCGACATACGTTTGGAGCCATATTGATCTATGAGAGGACGTGTTAGTAACTTGAACCCGGTAACCATGCAGATTCACCTCGAGACATACATCAGAGACACGATAGTTGCTGATAAGGACGCGACGCCAGCAACCACCGTGGTGGCGTAGGTGAGCTTCTGCCCGGTGCCTCCAGACATGGCCTCGCACGTCAAACGGTACGAAACAAGAGGAAGAAGTGTAGAGACAAGAGGACAGTGCCCTACAAGTACAAGGTCATCATCCTTGGAACCGTGGTGATGGGTTTTGAGGTAGTCTGGTGGTGGTCATGTGCAGGATGGGGGCAAATCTGAGGAGGAGGAAGACTGACGACTGCAAAACAATATGAGAGGCACATGCTTCATCAGTTTGGGGAAGCAGGGAAGTGCGCTGTATTACAGCACAAAATAGACCCCACTATCGGGTCAATGTTGGGGTAGCGTGTACAGAGGAGCAGTGATTAGCTGTACAAAATAGTGGCCCCAGGTGTCCAGCAGGGCTGCAGGGGTTGTCTGCCAGCGTTGAATGACGTGGGGCCAGTGCATGCTGAGCTACTGCACGACACCCCTGCCCCGAATTTCAATCTTACGTTGTACCTCCCAAACTCCTGAGCCAATACTTTCGTACTACACTGCAATGACTTTAACAACACACAGCACAGCTCAGGCTGCTCCGATTTTTAGACACTGCATCTCGGACGACAATTCCCTCCATTCGACCTAGCATGGCATGATCTGAGGGTATGGCGACGGTAATCAGCTCTATGGGAGTAGTTGACAGATCACGGGGAGGAGCGTGGAGTGCCACCACTGGCTGAGGACAAAAGACGATTCGTTACCACCATGGACCCAAGCATGACCGAAAAGAGTCCCTACGCGAACTCCGGGTTCAGCGGGTATGTTGAACTCCTATCGAAGAGGCTTTTCTGGTTCTTACATGCGCTGACGTTGCCACTCTGGCAGCATATTCCTCGGCTACTGCATCGTCGCCCTCGTCCTATCCGTCTTCTTCCTCGCCTACTTCAACAGAGTGTTCGCATCTCTGATTTCACTGGCTATCCGAACATACACCTGGAGAGCGTACGGAATTTATCTCGACATACAGGCACTGCAAATTTCCCTGCTCGGCGGGCGAGTCTTCTTCACCCGGCTACGGTACCATGGCAACAATGAAACCATACTCATTCAGAAAGGCTACATTACCTGGTCGTACTGGCAATGGAGGGTACGGGATGTCGGCATCGTAAATGAAAAGGACGCTGCCAAGGCGCAGGCAGATGGCAAGGACAACAGGAAGGCGAAGCTCCCCTGCCGGGTCAATGTCGTCGTATCAGGCCTCGAGTGGTTTGTCTACAATCGCAGTGCGGCTTATGACTCTGTCCTCGAGGGCATGGTCAGTGATGCAACAGACACGGCACCCGCTGCTGATGACCATGGTGAGAATGACAGCCATGCCAAATTGAGAAGGCGTAATGCAAAGATGACGACGAAGGAGGCTCTGGCTGATAGTGCAATGCGCAATCCGGCCTCAGCCCACGGGCCTCCTGGTGCAGATAGCAGCGATATCGGGTCCACGAAGCAGCACCCGACTTGGCAGAGTACTGTGCTCGAAGGAAATGGTGCGACTCAGTCTGAAAACCGCTCTTCAGAGGAGGAGCTCCCCTTATTGCTGCAGTTCTTTCCGATTCACCTGCAGTGCACCAAAGCTGCCTTGGTAATGGGCAACGAGAACACCAAGTCTATCATGATCGTCAAAGCTAAGGGCTTGACTGGCGAAATTGATGCCGTGGCTACAGAAACGCCTGATCCATATCGGCAGCTGTACAAGATCAAGTTGGACTCTCCTGTCATCGAGATGAGAGACAATGAGGATTACAGAGAGGACCAAGTTGAAAGAGCACTGCGAGAGAGACAAGCAGCCCAGGATTCCGAGCCACTGCCACGACGCTCTTTTTTCCGCAGATATCGCCGCAAGGCGTTGAATCAATTGCGAGATCTGGTACCCTTCTGGAGGTCCTCCGTTGAATCCTTCTCTTTGGGTGATAGGACACCTATCGCAACTTCAGATCGACAACGGCCGGGATCTGACCACTGGCAAGGGCTCACAAGGTATCTGGACGACCTTGAGAAGAATGAGCACCTGCGTTGGGCCTCTGTTGAGTACGCAGCCGAAAACACGGTGTTGGATACTCCAGAGGCTACTATCACAATCTATTGGGATACACCTAGCCTGGTGGCGCCTCGGCGATCGAACACTTTCGAGAGCGCAGTCGAGGGTGATCGAGCGGGGAACAAAATCAATGGGGACCAACCACCGGCCTGGGGAATCAACATATCGATCAAGGGAGGTTCTGTGAACTATGGACCGTGGGCGGACCGTCATCGAGCAGAACTCCAGCGCGTCTTCTTTCCTGGGCTCTGCAAGGACTCGCAACCGGCGAAACCCCTTCCCACTGGAGCCAGTCGGGTGCCTACTCAGTTCCAGCTGTATGTGGAACTCGACGATGAGGTGACACTGCGAGTACCAATCAGAGAAGAATCCAAAAATTGGAGATTCAGAGGCAAAGAACCTCCTTACAAGACCGAGAAACCACATGACAATCGAAGGACTAAGAATCGCTCGAAGCAGAAAGATCAGGCCGCTTCAGGTGCTTCCGAACGCCAATACGGATGGCTCGACGTCAAGATCGCGGCAAATGCTACAATTTCCTACCACATGGATATGTTTGCAGGTCCTAATGGGTTTTCGAGCTCTCTCGATCTCGACTTTCCCAAGACGGAAATATCAAGCAGCATAAATCATGAACTTTTGTGGCAATCTGGCAAGCAGCGCATCTCGTGTGAGATGCCCACTCCTTTGAAGTGGAATGCCCTACGTCAGTGGAGGTTTGACATAGATACCGAGGCACTCGATCTATTCATACTCAGAGACCATGTCTTCCTGCTCACGGACCTTGTGAATGATTGGTCAAGTGGTCCGCCTGCTGAATACCTCGTCTTCACGCCTTTCAAGTACTCCCTTGATCTACACTTCCGGAATCTAAATCTCTACCTCAATGTCAACGACGGCAACATCATCAACAAACCGACCGATCTCGAAGACAATACCTACATCACTATCAAGAGCCCTCTTCTGGATGCAAGCACCTGCGTCGCGATCGACAAATACAGACCGCCCAAAAACATGATACCCTTTGATGTAAAGGCCGAGGAGGCGTTCATCGACCTCCACGTGCCGCCGTGGAACACCCAAGGCAGCTTCCTCAAGTCCATGTCGGTGGGACACCTGGAAAACCTGGCTGTGGATGGTGAATATCACTACAACGCAATCACCTCTGCAGCGACGACAGACACACTGGTACTCAACATTAACGGACAGTCGCCAGTGGTCCACTTATACGGTTTCGTGATCAGATACTTCCTCAAAATGAAAGACAATTATTTCGGAGACGATGTTCATTTCAAGACACTTGACGAATACCAGGACATGTTGAGATTGAAAAACACAGACCCCGAAGCCGAGCTACAAGCGAGACCACCTCCGAAGAAATCCAACGATATGGATGTTGTTCTCAGCGTGAGAGCAGACGACCCCAAGGTGTTTTTGCCTGCCAACCTCTACTCCGCGGAGCGAAATGTTCAGATCGATGCGTCAAGTCTCACTATAGATCTTCGTTTCACGAACTATTATATGGACTTGGACCTCGTTCTCAGCCCAGCACACCTAGCTCTAGGACGTGATGATACGGGAACTGCAACTCCTCTGAGTACAAGTGCCACGACTGAACTCTTCATAGACGGTGTCAATGTCTACGGCCATCGCGTCTTCGGTTTGCCGCCTACCGAACCTACATATCTCTGCAACTGGGACATCTCCGTCGGCGCGGTGACAGGAGAATGCTCTGCTCAATTTCTCATGACGCTCATGTCAGGTGGCAAGGCCTTCGGGTTCACCTTCGATGACGAAGAGAATGCACTCATCCCTGCGTCTGCTATCGTTCTCTACGATGTCACATTCCTTCGTGTATTCGTGCAGAGTGTCAAGCTTTGGCTCCACGTCGAAGAGGCCGCGTTTCTCTTCTCAACCGGTTCCGTTGACGTCAAATACAATGACTGGGCAAGGTCTCATTACTCCAAGAGGGCACACGTCAAAATTCCAGATATGGCATTATCTTGCGTGAACGCAGAGTCTGTCTCGAAGCATCGAGCACGGCCCAACGATGCTGTTGATCCGGATCTGTTGGTTCGGACCAGTGTCCATTTGGCAATAGTGGGACGCAAGTTCGACTTTTCGAACCAGCGCAGACTACAGCAAGAACTGGTCAGACGTGAAGACCAACGGACTCTGCGGACTCCATTTCTTGTCCTACCTGGTCTTCTCGGAGAACACGTCCCAGTCCCTGTCGATCCACCAGCGCAGCCTGTACCACCAATTCCTCAGCCAGTATCTGCAGAAGCCATGTCAGATGACAAAGCCTCTTTTTCGACCGGCAGCACCTCGCGGCGCTCGAGGAGCCTCAACCATAGAGCATCCTTTCTAAGTTTAAGCAGCTCAAGCCAGAGCAGCGTTAAGGGACCGGCCTCTACTCGGCGCTCATCTGCATACTCAAGAACGCTAGAGAGCCGACAGCCTTTCTCCCCAGTGGACAAGCATCATACAGGGCCGCAAACCTATCACCGGAGGGAGGCCTCAGGGTCGACTGATCATCGATCGGCGTTTTATAGTGCCTATGGGGACTTCGGTGATGGTAGGGATCCGGTTCACAATACTGTTGCGTTTTCTAGCCAGTATTTCGCGCCTTACTTTCCGCTCGAGACAGTCCAACCAGATACAGCAGAAACTCTTGTTCCCAGCATCGAAGTCGACCAAGATAGTGATTCAACTAGCACCAGATTTGATCTGGACGACATCGATCCAAGTGCATTGAAAGAAGACAGAGCCTATTCCAGCATCTTAGTTGAATTTCCGACAGGTCTCACCGGCTTCGTGAACCCAGCTGCTGCGAGACACGTTGCATCGTTGATGTCGGCACTACAGCTTTCTGAGCCAGAGGATGTGCTCGATGCTGTACAAATCGAAGCGATGACAGACATATTTGGGAAGCAGAAAAAGCGGACGATGAATGGATCCATCACCGACCTTCATCTGCGGATTCCTCGAGCTAACCTACGCGTCCTGAACTCATCTCAGCTGGACTCTTCAGAGCCACCCGAGGAAGAGCAAGACCAGTATGATTTTCATATAGGCGAGCTGGCTCTTACGACGAGGACGGAGACAACATGGGCCGATCCCTTCGATGCCAGGAGTCTCCGTACTAGACACTCTTTCCACTCCAAACTGGGTTTATTAGCCATTTCGGCTGCAGAACGGCTGGCTGCCCGACTCGACGCCCACGCAGCTGTGAAAGCGCAGGTTGAGAATGTCATGGTGTCCATGGGCTCTAAAGACGTCACCTATGTCGATGGCGACTTTGGAGTCATCAACTGCAGCCTGTCATCCGAGAAGATCGAGTATCTTGCATCGCTTGTCCACAGGACAACAACGCTGGCCTCCGAGCTTGGAAAAATATTCTCGCCCGCCATGTCCAGGGAGGACAAGCTCAAAAAGTTTCTTATACACCGACTTGTTGCCGAGCGCCACAATGCTATAGACCCGGCATTCCTAATCAGGCCATCGGCGGTCCTGCGATCAGTGAATGACCATCTACGAACATATGATTCGTGGAAGCTCATCAGCCGGCTTCGACAGATCTGGACGACGTTAGATACTGCCAGGCGCGCTACCCTTCGACTTGACTGTCTCGGGTCAGCATTCGATATTCCCAGCGACGTCCGTCAGCAAGTCGTCAGTGGCTTCCAATCTTGGAGGAGCTGGGATGTTGGCGACATGGACGATACGGAGCTCATACAACATGTCTTTGGCAAAATTCCAAAGGATGAATCCGACTCTACGGGATCGAGCTTGCCCCTTCTCGCTGTGATGCGTCTTCGCGATGTTCGCCTTGTCCTTGATCCTGGTCCAAGACAGAACGAGATCATGTTCTCCGACATCACTACCAGATTCCAGGATAACGGGTCGTCCAGTACAGAGAGCGACCCAGATGTTGAGAACAACAACACAGCGGGTGCTGCCTCAGTCATGGTGCTTAATGTGTACTGTGGAGAAGCCGCCGTGAGACTGAACTGGGATCTCCTCGAGCTCGTCGATGATGTCCTCAGACTCTACAACAGGTTTCAGGACGATGAGCATCAGCAGTCCGAGGGCTCTCATGAAGGCCATTCCTTCAAACCCGGCAAAGCGATTCACATTGCCGTTGCTGTCAGCCGTGGAGAAATTGATTTTGATGCTATCAATCTGAATGCTGCCTCCCTTGCGAGTGGCATGAAGGCATCTTTGCTCGTCAGGAATGGCCCAAGCGGCAGTCAAGATATGGATTTTGTTCTGGGCTGCAACGCGGTGACCTCACTGATCCGGAGCCACGGCCAACTTCTCGGAGTGTTTCAACTTCGTGATCCCGCGGTCATCGCGTCCCACACGCTTCAGGCCACGGAAACAATCGACCGGCATACCATCAAAGCATCTGCAAGCAGCAAGCAGCTCACGTTTGCAGTCGAACAGGATCCCACTGGTCTTCTGGAAGTTCTTGATCTCCTAGTCAAAGATGAGGCAGCACGGTTTAATCGGTTGCTGGCGCAATTGCCTTCTTCGCCTCGACCAAAACGATCAGGAAGGAAAATTCGGGATCGACTGTCCTCCTTCCGAGTCAATGTGGCAATGTTCCTCGACGAGTACCACGTCAGCATCCCACTTCTGCAATCTCTCACATATCGCATGGCTGGTGTTGTTGCCCGCGTTGCGATGGCTGCGAACTTCGGCAAAGAATTGATCATCGATTTTGACATCAAGGAGAACTCTCATGAAGTTCAAGCCCGGGTCAACAACCACTTGCGGTCTCTGTCGTTGCTGCAAATCCCACCGCTGAACGGCAGAGTAAAGTACCGCGTGGGTGAGAGTGAACACTCGATGTCCACTGTCGCATCAGTCGAGCTCATCAATCTGGATGCATCATCGGTCTACAGTCTTCTCAGTGCTTTGAATCGCCCGGAAATGTCCAACGCGATCAATGATATCCAAGAGCAAGTGAAGATGATTCAGGGCCACATGCGTGAAACTTTCAACACCGGTAGCCGGCCGGCGACTGTTGTGCAGGACACGCCATCAGAGCAGAAAACGAAATCACCTATTGTCTACGTGGTCCATGTGACTTTCGAGGGATTGAAGATCTTTGGCAACTCGCCGCTCAAGTCTGAAGTCGAGCCTCTGGCACACATTTTGTTCGGCCTGGGTCGCATCCACTTGAGAATGACAAACCGTCCAGAGCCAGCGAGGCCGATTCTGAGTAACCCAGAGATCTACATTGATTTACAGGGGGTTGAGTGGAAGATTGCCAGGGGGGTTGAAGGCAACTTCCGCACTTGCGGCAGCGTAGCCTTCAGCGCTCTCATCACGGCAACAGCGCACTTGGCCGAAGACGGCTCAGAGCAGAGACATTTCAACATTACCACTGATGGTTTTGACGTGACACTTTCACCTGAGACTATATCAACGTCTGTGGATGTAGCTGGCTACATGAATGACAAGATCAAGGACCTTGATACTTCTCGTGAGCTCGAACTGCTGCGGAAGTTGAGACAGACAAAGCCGAAGATCACGTTGAACGATGAACAGGAGGAAGAGGATGACTCGGACTTCTTCGACTCTTTTCTTTCGTCGGCCAGATACAACTTCGAGATCCGTAGGATGCAGATCGCTTGGCTTGTTCTTACGGACGCGCAAGAGCCATCATCCCAAGGAAAAGAAGATCTGGTGTTTAGCTGGGACAGGATCCAGTTCGGGACCCGCACCAAAAACTCAGCCAGGCTGTCCGTTGAAAATCTCCAGGTGCAGACGGTTCCTACCGACCAAGACAAGAACGTGCGCCCGGCCAACTCTGCTTTGATGCCGGAGATTGTTTTCAATGTAGCTTATGTGTCCACGGCAAGCACTCGCCGGATGGCATTCCAAGCCGTCGGAAAGTCTCTGGATCTGCGCCTAACCTCAGGCTTCGTCATCCCCGTGGCACATATCGTCGACTCGATCAAGCTGTCCGTCGACAAGGCCAGGCAAGCGACTCAGCACTGGGCGCCTCCAAGAAGGACCGGCCAGCAAGTTGAAGCCCCGACGCAAAAGGCTGCTCAACCACGCCGTACGCTTTTGGGCAACAAACCAATGGAGTCACTCCTCCTGGATGCGGACTTCGCTGGAGCCAAAGTATACTTGATTGCGAAGAAAGACACCGACGACCCATCGCAATCATCTCGAGCTGGACTTGCTGGGAAATATGGGCAGTTCACGACCGATAGCAGTGGAAAGGGGACCGTGATGAAGTCTCCTGGTGTCGCGGTTAAAATTGAGTACAGGGATTCGGGCAAAGAGGATCCATCGCTCTACGGCGAACTCATGATTGATGCTTCTGACAACACCCTTAACCCGTCGTTCGTGCCACTAGTGATGGACCTCACTTCGAGCGTCAAGGAGATCGTTGGCAATAGCGATTCCGAGGAGAAGGCCGAAACACCAGCAGTCCTCGTTACACCCAAGCCTGCCCAGGAGGACTACCTTCTTGATCCGAATGCTGTCATTGGGCGACTAAAACTGAATCTTGGTCTGCGCATCTGCAAGCAGGTCTTCACGCTCAGCTGTCAACCGATCGCGCGAGTCGAAGCCACAGCCTCCTTTGATGACGTGTATGTGACCATTAACACTGTGGCTTCTGCCGATCAAGGCAAATTCTTTGCTGTCTCTGGAGCGATCACCAATCTGCATGCTTCCGTTCGGCATGTGTACTCTCGAGAAGAGACGGGCCATTTCAAAGTGGACTCCATCGTTCTGTCACTCATGAACAGCAAGCATGTGAGTGGCGTCAGCGGCTTGTCCGCGATTCTGAAATTTAGCCCCATGGGCGTGTCGGTGAACACGAAACAGCTGCAAGACTTTTTACTGTTCAGAGAGATCTGGTTGCCGAGAGACGTTCGCCAAAGCACGTCAACAAGCCCGGTGGCCAAGCTACAGACGGAAACCTCCCAGGGCCACCTCGTACAGAGATATCAGCAAGTGGCGGCGACTGCAGCTTTTCCCTGGACAGCCACGGTATCGATGGCAGCGCTCGAGATTAGTGTCGATCTTGGCCAAGCCATCGGCAAGTCCAAGTTTGCGATCGAGGAGTTCTGGATATCCTCCAAGAAAACCACAGACTGGGAACAGAATCTTTGTATGGGATTCCAGAGAATTGGGGTTGAAAGTCAAGGGCGTATGGGCGGATTTGTGGCTCTGCAGGATTTCCAGCTGCGAACTTCGATCGAGTGGCCAGAGAGACAACAAGCCCTGGTGGAGACCCCTATGATCCAGGCGTCGGTCACGTTCAGCCATTTTCGCGTCAAGGCTGCCTTCGACTACCAGGCCTTCCTCGTCGCCGACATCACGTCCCTGGACTTCCTCATGTACAACGTTCGACGCTCACAGGATGAGTCAGGTGACCGGCTTGTAGCGACTCTTAATGGTGAGGCTGTGCAAGTCTTTGGAACCACGACATCTGCTGCCCAGGCTGTCGCCCTGTATCAAGCTCTCAAGAAACTTGTGGCAGAGCGACAGGCCAGCTTCGAGACCTCGCTCAGAGAGATCGAGAAGTTCATGAGGCGGGGCTCCGTCACATCAGCCACTGCTATCGTTCAGAAACCGTCCATTCCAAAAGCCAGAGACGATGAGGTCTTGGCAAGGGCGCCCATCTCTCTAGATACCGATGTCGTGGTGACACTCAAGGCACTCAACCTAGGCATCTTCCCAACCACCTTCTCGGATCACCAGGTGTTCAAGGCGGAAGCAATGAATGCTCAAGCGCGCTTCGCAGCCTCTCTGGATGACCACCGGATCCACAGCATTCTAGGCCTCACCCTCGGGCAGCTACGCATCGGCCTCGCAGGCGTGAGGTCTGCTGGTGCGCCCAAGGCCCTCAGCGAGCTCTCGGTCGAGGACGTGGTAGAGTCTGCGACCGGGTCCCGCGGCGGGACCATCCTCAAGGTGCCCAAGGTCGAGGCCATCATGCAGACGTGGCAGACCCCAGAATCCCCACAGATTGATTACATCTTCAAATCAGCCTTCGAGGGCAAAGTGGAAGTTGGGTGGAACTACAGCCGTATATCGTTCATCCGGGGCATGTGGGCAAACCATAGCCGATCATTGGCACAGACCTATGGAAGAGAGGTTGCGCTGACCAGCGCGATCAAGGTCACTGGTGTGCTCCCAGAGCCAGCTCCATCATCGTCTATGGGGTCACAACAGAAGGAGGAGGAAGAGAGGAAGAAGAAAAAGAAGGAAGAAAGCCAGCCGCCGAAGGAGAGGAACGGGAAGAAGGAGGAGCAACAGGGCAAGATCACAGCCGAGGTGGAGCTCCCACAATCCAAGTACGAGTATCATGCCCTGGAGCCACCGATTATCGAGACGCCACAGCTGCGCGACATGGGCGAGGCGACGCCGCCTCTCGAGTGGATCGGATTGCACAGAGAAAGACTGCCAAACTTGACGCATCAAATTGTGATTGTCAGCCTGCTGGAGCTAGCGGGCGAGGTTGAGGATGCGTATAGTCGCATCTTGGGAAGTTCGTAACGCCTCGCGTAACTACTTAGACACAACACTCTCACTCTTCATAGGCATCCTGGGCAAAGCGACGGCGTTTTCCCCCTTTCTTTCTTGGGTCCAATCAACGGTTCAAGTCATTACTGGAGTTTTAGCATTGGAAAACTTACCTGGTCTGCATTTTGATGTGCAAAATTAATTCAGTTTAATATAATTATTTTTCTATTTTGTATCTACTGGATTGACACTCCTGTCTTCACCACTTGATAGGATCACCAAATCTATCAACAAAACATCCACTGGCCAGGTTGTCATCGCCCAACTTCTCGATCAAGGGCAACAAACCCTTCAAACTCTCCTCGTAAGTGATTGGTCCTTCTTGCCCTTTGGCTGAGGGCGCCTCCACAGAGCCAGGATGTACACTTGCAAAACATACATCAGGCACATCAATGCTCAGACTCCTCACTATAGCATTCAGGGCCGCCATGCTTGCCCTGTACGCATAGGCCCCTCCCGACGTATTCCCACCCACACTCCCCATACTGCTCCCCAAGATGACGGCCCTGGGAGGCGGATCCCTCGAGGGCAGCGGCCTCGTGTGCGTGCTCTGCAGAGACGCCCGGCTGCCCTGCTGGCGCAGCTGGTCGAGCCACTCGGTGCTCCCGCCAAACGCGGCCGTCACCTCCTCCTGGCGCTCCTTGACCCAGTCGGCGTGGAGCTGCAGGTGCGGGATGACAGCCTGCACGAGCTGCAGGGTGCCGACGACGTTGACATCGTAGGTCTGCCTCATTGTCTCGGCGTCCATAAACTCCAGCGCCTCGGCGGCCGCGAGGTCTCCTGGCACCGCCTGCTCTGCCACACCTGGCACGAGGCCACGTGCTCCTGCACAGTGGATCAACAACGATACCGGGCGAGGGTGGCGCTTCGTCTTCTTCTTGTTCTTCCCGCTGCTGTCGTTCCTGTTCGCCGTCGTCGTCACGGGCGCGTAGAGCCAGTTCTCGGCCCACGTGTCCAGACGTTTGGCACTCGCCGTCACGTCGAGCTGGACGAACTGCCCGCGCCCGCCGATCGGGGCCTGCCACTGGAAGCCCTTGCCAGCCAGGCGCCAGGGGTGCCTGTCGACGCCCAGGACGTCGTATTTGAAGTCTGGGGAGGAGGGGCTGCCGGCGGAAAAGTGCTTGAAGAGGGCGAGGCCTAGGCCGGAACCGGCGCCGGTGATGATGATGAGGGGTGGAAGCTCAGGGGTCTCCTCGTCCTCGTCCTCGTCGTCATCATCCTCATGCTCGTCCTTGTTGACGAGTTCTTCTGGTGGTTGTTGCTGTATGTTTTGGGTGTACCCAGGTGCTCTGGCTGTGCTGTGAGATGCTGCTCTGACCACTGGGCCAGTCGATAGCGGGCGCTCGTCGGCGAGAGAGCGGTCTATCTGATCCGAGTAAGGCGGGTATGCAAAGGGGCTTGACGGCGATGCTGCCATAAGGGCTTGCGACGCTGAGGGCGGGCTGGCAAGTCCCCGATCCGGGGAGTCGATATAGTATGAATTCGACCGGTTGTCCAGTAGTCCTGTCTTGACAGGTGGTGGCGGCGGTGGCCTGTTAGGTGCATTGGCTAGACCCATGGTTTCTTGTTTGTTTTTGTTTTGATGCTTCAGAAGATTGTTTACTTTTGGTTGCGATGTGGTGAAATGGCAAACTGAGTTTGGTTGGATTGGCTGAATAGTCTCACTTTGACCGCAGAAGACGCTATTTTTGGTATGTGAACGTGGAAACGCTCTTCATCCAAAATCGAAGGGGAGATGCGTCTCCATTTGAGATTTATATCGTGACGGTGATTAAAGTACGGAGAAAGTTCCAGGTTGTTGCCGCAGGTCGTGTTTCAAAACGCCTCCCAAGGGGGCTCCGCTCCACCCGCGAGCACTGACGGCCAAGACGGGCCCCAAGACGCAGCAGAAACACGCTTTGGTCGAGAACAGCAGCATAGTGCGACCGCCTTGGTGTCCAATTTCAACAACGACTTGTCTGATCTTCTTTGGTGGGGGTTGATGCCAAGTTGGACAGAAGGAGTTGTCGCTTCAACAAGCCAGTCAATTGATACCTAGAGCTCGATGGAAATGACCTACCCAGAAGGAGAGAATTGAGGCTGTGAAGGCAATTTTGCTGTCCTCAAGTCTGATAGTTCTGTCTTGTCACTGACCTTCCTCCTATGGATGGCTGGATGGAAAAGCGCTTTCTGGAATTGTGTAGATATGTTCGATGTTGATGCTTCTCTTCTGCTGTTGATGCCTAACATACGAGGTGTACAGAGAAGACCCTCCATGCAGCCAATTTCATAGTATATATCTTCACAATATTCTCTGTGGAATTCAGGGACACTCATCAGATATGGTAATCTGAATGAACCTTTTAATAATGCAGTCTATAAGAAGCTTGATTAGCAATTACTTCAAAATTTCTCTCCACTCCCACTGAGAGGGTTTTCCTTTGGGGGGCCGGGGGGTATAACATATCTGTAACTAGGGCTTTCAACAGATACATGACAAAACTTTACATAGCCTATGGCATTGACCCATTTGCCGACCTAGGTTTGCTTGCTTTGCGGTAAGCTTCTTAGGAAGTAAGCTTAAGTCGACCGATGATGCCCTAATTTCAGTGAACTTGGGATATTGGGCTGCAAAGTGAGATGCCCCGAAGCCGTCGAATAGGACGTAACACTATGGCATATAATCGGCTGAGAACTCCTTGAAAAACACCAAGATATCCACGAAGTACCAGCTGAGGCTATCCCAACGCTGGCTGATCATTGTAACTTTTCTGACCATTACACTAGGGTGGCTAAACGAGTCCCGAACTCTACGCCCTTAACCCTGTTTCTCCCAGGTACAGTGCCATCAGCATGCAGAAGTCTATCCTCCACGTCTCTGACCGTCATCGATGATGCCATATACTGGCATAGATATTCCAACCCAGCGTCGATCCGTCCAGCCATGACCAGCACCTCATCAGCCGAGAACACCGAGGTGTCATATTCTATCCGAAGTGTAACCACTGACGAGCTCACAGCTGAGAACTCAAACATGATGCCGAACTTGGCGCCCTCGGCCCAGGTAATCAGAGGTTCAACCCCCGCTATAGCCCCATTTGCAAACGATGACGCCTTGCCAGTTGCACTACGCTCGTGAAAGGTTACCATGGCATCGAAGAGTGGGTGGTTCGGGTTCGGCACAGGTACAGCCGAGCGCAAATTCTCATCATCCGACAAGGAGAGAACGTCCATCAACGAGGTCCAACCGATGCCGTGACCGAGAGCAGATCTCGCAGAGTCTTGTACTGCATGAAGGAAATCCTCCACGTGGGCGTCCCCAAGGCTCTCACCCATCTTCGACCGCCTCGGGACGCGTATTGGTAGTGGTTGCAAAAAAAGTCCGATGGTGTGCATATCCTCCTCCTGTCTTCCTAGGTACGGACTGCCCAATATCAAGTCTTGCTTGTCCAAGCTATCTGCCTGTAGAACCAGGGATACGGTACCCAGTGCGACTTGATGCATGGTGAGGTGTAGTGATGTCGAAATCGTCTCGAGGCTATGCACCGCATCTTTCGAGAGCTGGAACATGCGCGACTCACCATGGTGCGATGTTCGAGCTCTCTTCATGTAAGGAGGCAGTCTCTTGACATCGATACCAGAGAGGTAAGACCGCCAGAACTTGGCTGTGATTTGGTCGACGTCGACATTACACCAAGAGCTGTCTTGATAACATCTTTGAGAAGCCAACAGTGACGCCTCGACTCTATCGTCGTGGTAATATGCAGCGGCAAACTCTTCAAAAAGCCGCTCAAGGGTAGAATAATCGCAAATGATGTGGCTCACGCAGACCAGCATGTGTCTTTTGGAAACTAACACCCGTATGGGATGTTCAGTCTCGAGTGAGAACTCGGTATTGATCGCAGCCCGAAGGTCAAACGACTCCACGTAAAAGGCCTCGGGTGGTTCAGCAGCGTAGAACCTCTCCACGCCCTCGTGCGCCGTAATCGAAGGACGAAACCTGCAGCGCAGAATTGAGTGTCTTGCCAGGACCTTTGTCCATGAGGACACAAGTGCGGAATGCTGATCGAAACAGTCGTCCAGTTCTGAGACGTGTGCCACATTGAATGATGAAGTTCCAAGGTTTTGCTGATATCTCGAGAACCAGACAGCCTCGATGGGCGATACAATTGTGTCTTCAAAGGCAGCTCCTGCTCTGCTGCTACCAAGGCAAGAGGGCTGCGCCCAACCATCTTGGTCCACAGCCACCTCTCCATTCATTACCTCGTCCACTGAGGACGCCAGGTGCGAGATGACGGGATTGTCGATAACATTTCTGACGGTGAATTTCCGTTGGATGAAGGACGAAATGCGACTTGCAAGCCGCAACTGCACGATTGAGTGCCCGCCCAGCGCCGTGAGGTCTGAGTCTCGGTCAATGGTTATACTCGAGTCGAGCCTCATCAAATCGCGCACAGCCCGCACAATCATCATCTCGGTCTCGGTCATGCTCTTCTGCTGAGATTGCAATCTCACAACACTGGTGCTGTCGATCTGCTCGAGCTTCTTATAATCTAGCTTGCCTGCTGCCGTAAGAGGTAGGTCGAACAACGCCAGGATTCTTCGGGGCATTGCATATGGGGGCAGAGCATGGCTAATGAGGATCTTGGCCTCCAATTCGCCAACCGCATTTGTCGAGTTAGAAGGGATCTGGTATGCTGCCACTAGATAGTCTTCGCGCCGGAATATAGCGGCGCCTCTGCAATTTGGGATGGCCTTGGTGATGCGTAGTTCCAAGTCATCGAGGTCGAGTCGGAACCCGCGTAGCTTGATTTGCCGATCTTTGCGACCAATGAAGTAGATTTCTCCTGTCATGCTGTCTCGATAGCCATAGTCGCCCGTTTTGTACATTCTCTGACCAGCCTTGGGCAGAATGGAGTCTGAAAGGAAGCGGTTTGCGTTCTCCGAAGGCAGGTTGATATATCCGTTTGATACTTGGATACCTGCAATATACAGCTCGCCCGCTGCGCCGGGGGGGAGCAGATGATGATTCCGATCCAGTACATACACCCTGCTTGATGGGTTGGCCTGGCCAAGTGTGACAGGCTTGCTTGGTGCCAGTTGTTTGATTGTGGCGCCACAAGTCGCTTCGGTTGGTCCATACATGTTGTACACGCAACGGTTCCTTGCCCATGCATCAGAGACAGACTGAGGAACGGCTTCCCCGACCAGATAGACCTAGAGATAGCCTCTGTCAGTTGTGCACTTTGAAACTGAAATGGGACGATCTCATACATTACGCAGACGAGGGTACTGGTCAGCATCCAGTGCATTCGCAATGGAAGGGGTGAGAATGGCCGAGTCACAGTCCTGGAGATGCGCCAACGGGTGATCTTGGGTATCAGCCGACGCCAATCGCAGTGTCGCGCCGTGCGTGAGGGCAGAGAATATCTCATGAATACTGCCATCGAATACGGGGGACATGACTTGAGCCACCACTGTCCCTTTCTTCGCAGCAAGACGAACAGAGTAGTCCTTCTGGAAGGCGACCAAGCCTTTGTGAGTACACTGCACCGCCTTGGGCTGACCGCTGGAGCCGGACGTGAAACATATGTACGCGAGATCATCTGGACGAGCGATACGTCTTCTTGGATAAGAAATTGCGAGATGGTCTTGACGCGCCTCTGTCTTGCTCTTGTCTACAAGATTGTCGACGGCTATTGTCAGGCAATTAAGAGGTGTCGTGTCTGCGGAGATAGATCCGCTCGAGGGAAAGAGGATGGCGCGCGCACCACTTCGTACGAAGTTTGCATGCCGCACGGAGACTGGTGCCGACGGATCTAGTGGTGTATACACGCCCCCTACTTTGAGCACACCAAAGATGGCAACAAGCCAGTAGATCGATCGAGTGGCGTATACGCACACAGGTTCGTTGGGCTCGACCCAGCTGAGTTCCCGCGCGACGGCGGCTGCCGCTTTGTCAAAGTCGTCATAAGAGACGTCTTGCCCATGGCCACGTGTGATGGCCACTGCCGTTGGCTGTCTTGCCACGACACTTTCGAATAACGTTACGAGGTCATCTCCTTTCGAATCATCCAAAGCCTCAAAAGACTCGCAGTTGCTCCATTGTCGGATGGTCTGTTCCATTTCCCGCGGCATGAGCCCATGTTGGATAGCGGGCACCAATGGCCTGTCGTCGTCGTCTTGGAGAAAACAGTTCATACCATTCCGAAAGACGGACCAAACGTTGTTCATATCCTCTTCGGAATAGTCAGCAGTAGAGTAGAACACTTGCAGCCGACTCTGCCCTTGGATAACAAGGCTCAGGGGAATCCCAGACTGCATATCAGGGCGGTTGGGGTCTACTGGCGGAGACTTCTCTGCCCCTTCACATTCCTCAAACTGCGTGGCTATGATAGAAGTGAATTGCCTGTCGAATCCATCTGTCGTATCCGAGTGTTGAACGTCGCTCAACCCAAGGATGCCTTCTTGTATGCGTCGAAGGAATGCCCTGGCAGACGTTTCTCGGTCGCCCACCAACGGTAACTGTACAAACAGTGGAAGGATGTTAATGAGTGGCCCGACAACATCGAACGCACCCAAGATGGGTAGGTCACGTCCCGAAAAGGCCATTCCAAAGTAGACCTGATCGGTATCCATGAATTTGCCGAGAGTCAGGGCCCATGCTGCCGCAAAATATACCGTAGTTGTATACCCTGTTCGTGCTCGAGCAGCTGCCAGGTCCGCCTCAGGAAATTGAATCGTGATGCATCGCTGTGATGCCAATCCGCCATGAACCCGCTGCGGATTCAGGCACAGCTTGCCAACCGCAGATGAAAACTGCTCTCGCTTGTTGTCCCAGAACCGTCTCGTGGCTTGTCCCCTCTCGTCTCGTAATCTACCCAGCGCACGCACCGTATCCTTGAAGGACGGACCGGGACTGGCTGTAAGTTCTCCTCCTAGCAGATTGCGACTGATTTTATCGTGAAGAATGCGGGCGGAGAACCCATCCATGAAAGAGTGGTGGACGCGCCAGACAACCGCGACGGAAGACGACGCTAATTGTACAACGGTCAGATGACACAGTGAACCGTTGACGAGGACTGCATTTTGGAGCTCTCTCTTGAAATCTTCCTCGGTCTCGACCTGGATTATTTTCCGAGGCAGGAGGTGGTGTGGGGGAATGTCTAGGTCGATAATAACGTCCCGGAATATCGGCTCGGCGAGAATAGTGCTTGTCCAGACGTTGCAGACGAGGTGAGCATCCCATTCACCGGTGTATGCCTTATGTATGGTCAGAATGTTCCGCTTCTGATCATTAGCTGTTTCCCGAAGTAAAAGAAGCTGCGGCTCGGTCCATTCGGTTGCATTGATGCGACCCAAGAGGTCTCTTGCAGATACTATTTCTCCGTTGTAACACGAGAGCGTGTTGGAAGCCTCCAAGTCAATAGTTGTGATGGCTGTGTTGTAGGATGATGATAGTGATGAAGAAGAAGCAGTCGTGAGAGGTTCGAGGAACCGAGAAGGTAGTAGAGGGGCCGGCGTTGGTATAGATAGTGCAGTTGGGTGCATGTATAGAAACTGGGCAGAACTTTCAGCCTTGACGATGGCGTCTTTCAGGGTTGACTCTCGCAGAAAAACGTTCGCTGGTATGGAGATGCCACCCTTCCGACACTCTGCAGCAACAAGAATCGCGGCCACAGAGTCACCACCGAGCTTGACAAAAGTGCTGTCTCCTGCGAGAGTATCAATCTCGTCAACTCCAAGCCCGAGAACTGTCGATATGGCCTTTACAACAGTAGAGACACTATGAAAATAGCTCTTTGACTCCATGGTTATTGGCGTTGACTTGGTAATTTCCTTGTCGCTTTTCGCCACCGCTCGGTGTGAACAACACACCAAGAGGGAGCACTCAGGACTGAGACACTCTTTTATTCCTCTCTGCCCCCATCCAACAGGGCGATGTGAATACAACGAAATGACGCTGATGTGAAGTAGCCCAAGTCCCTGCTGAGTATTCCATTCCACCAGGCAATTACATACTTAGTATGTAAGTAGGTACCGAGCGGCCGATCTTACAGCCAGCCGCCGAGGATTCGGTGGCCGACTGGGGGCCGCATGAAAGTGTAGATAGTAGTAGTTCGGAGATGAAGACCAGTCCCTTTGCCTTTTTCACCGTTTCAAAAAGAACCCAACGTACCTCGCTTGTGGCCTCTAATTCCCGTTATGGTAACAGCGTTTCTTTGTACAAGTTCATGCGATGAATTTCTCAAATCATGATCTGTTGGTCCTGCCCTTTGACAGTGCGGCTCTCGCGTCAATCCTCACTGGAGCCACACTTTTCGCCATTGTTTTATTACAAATCCAATCCATACGGGCAGGTTTGGGGGCCCTGATATCCCGTGTGGTTAATGTACCGTATCCTTTATGTTCACCCCTTGGCGCATCTTCGGCTCAACTAACAGCTATGCTCTGCTCAGATCATCCTATTACAGTGTTATCCTATTAAGCATATAGAGAATGCGACGAGCCTGCCGTCTCTCCCGTACATTTTCCCTAACGGTCAAGGGAATGTTGAAAAGTTTCTGCGGGGACGTGCAAACAGCGTCAAGTGGGAATGCGAGTATGGCGGCCTGTATCGCTTATGGTCTGGGATGAGGGGAGAAGTGTGAGTCTGTCACCGTGCAAAGTGAATACCAAGCAAAGTGCTGACCTCCTCGTCTCGCAAGAGTCCTCACCAAGCCTGCCCACGTCGAAGCGGTATTCCGAGATTCACACAACCACACAAAAGCCCACGCAAACGATAGCGGCTATCTCATGGATCTTCTGCTTGGCTCATGCCTCGGGCTGATCAGTAGACAGCCATGGAGCACCGTCAGGTCCGGCGTGGAGGCACCGTTCCTCCATACGTCAATGCGCCAATATGCTACAGACGTGCAAAAGTTTACTGGCAAGTTTATGCGCCAACTTCAAAAAGAAAATAAAGTCTTTGGTCAGCAAGGGAACCTACACCCTGTGCGAGACCTCAAGCTTCTACCATTCCGTTTTGTCGCAAAGGTCGTTTATGGATCATTGACCGAGGACCTGGAGAGAGAGCTACTAAACTTGATCCCGCTGCGAGAAGATTTATTCAAGAGTGTCATTGGCGGTGGGATCACGCGGTTTGCATTTTCGCGATTTCTTCCTCTGCCCGCGATCCGAGCTCTTCACGACTTCAAAGACCGCTGGGCCCTGTGGAATGACCGCGCACACACCCATGCTCTCAAAGGTCCTGGAGCAAGCACTGCTCCCGTCATAGCTATGTACAGGGCTGTCGAATACGGCGAGATGACGCGGGAGCAGCTTCTTCAAACTCTCGATGAGATACTATTTGCCAATATTGATGTTACTATGGGTGGCCTATCTTGGACACTTGTCTTTCTTGCAGCTCATCCCGATGTGCAAAAAGCACTCGGGGATGAGGTGCGCGGGCACTGCTCTGACAAAGCGACGCGGGACACTTACCTCCTATCATCATGGACAACAACGCCGACTCTTCTCGGAGCCTGCATTTTGGAGGCGGCACGCTTGCGGCCCCTTGCTGCCTTCTCCGTTCCGCAGTCATGCACAAGCCCACGCATTCTCGACGGCTTCGAGATCCCCGCCGGGACCAACTTTGTTATTGACTCGTATGCACTCAACATTCGTGACCCTTTCTGGGGGCCGGATCGAGACAGATTTCGCCCAGAGCGTTGGCTGGAACGGCAGAAGAGTGGGCGTGATCTACGTTACCGCTACTGGCGCTTTGGGTTCGGCCCACGGACCTGCCTAGGCAAGTATTTGGCGGAGTTGATCTTACGAAGTGTTGTTGTCGAGATTTTGGAAAACTGGCACATAGCCTTGGAGGCCACAACAGGGCAAGGGGAGAAAGTGGGAGAGAGCGGTGACAGCAACGCTGGCGACGAGGGCATGAACTGGCCCTGGGATGATGAGTTGTGGATTCATTCTCCCCATCTCCTACTGAAGTGTGAGCCTCTGGCGCGAAGTCCTGCTGAGAAAGTCTTGCCAAGGGGCTCTCATTCGTACTGAGAGAGAGAGAGAGAGAGAGAGAGAGAGTCTCGAAGATGTGGACTCAATAATACTTGTTCAGTATTCAGAGATCAATACTTAGTACTTGTAGATACATGGCACGTAAATTCGGTGGTAGAAGCCGCCTGTCTCATGCGCCGTTTCCGTCCCATACCTCAGTCTTCGAACGTCTTACGTCTATTATGGAACCAGGAGGTAACTGACAGATGGCAAACGCCGCGTCATAACCGTGGTCCGAAACTACTCGTTGTTTCTTTCGCCTCAAGCTGTCCAGCCTCTATTTCACCAAGCACGTCGGGCGGGATTCCCTTACCGGAAAAAACCGACTGAGTCTGACCTTGAGAGGGATGATGCCTTGGCGGCTCCGGACCGAGATCCCGATAGAGTCGTGTTCGGTCGGGCAAAGCTGCAATGAGCCTTCGATGAGACTGGTCTGTTGCAGGTTGGGGTCACGTTTCATTCAAGAATTCCACCCAGTCTAGAATACGAGAGCGAACTTCATGTCCGCTTGCCGCACCACTCATGCGAAGGTGCAGTGGGCTATGGAATGTAATATGTGGCTGGCGAAAAGGTGGTGTAAAGCCGCTTACTGAGATTATGGGACCTTTGCCCTCTTGGGCCTTATGGATGGTAGTGTTACTAGTTTGGGTTGCGGTTGCTGCCAGCTGTGGGTCAACTGGCAGCCAGGTGGGTGTAACGTCAGCCAACTCGCTGGCTGCAGCAGGCTCACGACTCCGTAGCCCTTTCTTCCTCTCCTGTTGTCGCAGACCAGATGGAAGGTCACGCGTAGCATTAGCATAGACAGTATTGAGATTGAATCTAAAGAAGAAAAGCAAGATATTCTAAGTGGCTGTCTAAAGGCTCCGAAGGAAATTCACAACCTGTCAGAAGACAGGATTAGGGTAAATATAACTCATTTTCCCCATCCCTATCAACACCCATTTGCAATGAGAATATCAACTACTTAGATCATTCCCCTAATGACTGCTCTGCTAGCTGGTGGTGTCTGTCATGGCGAGGGAGCTGATCGGACAGAGAAAAGGCAGACCGCTATGAACCATCCACTCCATCGACGAGTATACCGAGGGTGAGCAGCTACCCAAATCGGGACCGTGACATTCTTCTCTTATAGCCCTCCGGCCAGGTTCCACTCATGGGCTATTCTGGGCTTGGATTACTCCGCTCATGGATTGCTCCAATCCGGTGAATAATGGCGGGATGATAGCGAGGGTATGCTTGTCATGATGGTGATGGTGGCTCTGGCCGTAATAGCTGTATGCAACATGTACAAGCTGAAATGAGCCCGTCACAAGTACGCTTTTGACCACCCGAGGACACGAACTCACGTGCTATGATATCAATATCTTTGATGCACCCCTTGTCTGCTTCATCTGGTAGACCAACGTTACTGTCCGCACCCGTAGGTCCTCTAGTAAGAGGTCATGGGTACGCTTGGAGATGTTACCCCATTCCGGCCGACGTAGTGTCTGCTTGATCAGCTTGGACACCTGCAACATGCTCGACAGCTCCTTGCTCACAACGTGCATCTGTAGAGCATGCTGAGCCTTGCGGTCGACCTGGAACTCGCCGAGTCGGAGAGAGAGATCGCTCGCGCCCGCGGTGGAGCGGCCCGCTAGCATAGACGGGACGCACTGCTCAAATAGGGTGACTATTTCGGTGAGGCACATGAGAATGAGTAGGAGACTGGGGGCGGATGACGAGACATCTGCGGAATGTAGAGACCGCAGAGCCTTCATAGAGCGTGGCAATAACTGCGAGCTATGATGCAGCATCCCATCAAGCGGGACGGGGGGCTTTTGTGATGTGCGAAAGAGCTCCTCAAGCTGCGTAGTCCAGTACCGGATGCCATCTATTGGTGAGCTTGGCGTGCCAGCTGTCTGGCTGAGTCCATAACTCGAGTCCTGATACGTCTGTGATGTTGATGATGAAGGCGTGTTGAACAGCTGTGTTGTTTGAAGTTGGAGCTGCTTTTGTTGAGGTTGAGTGTGTTCTTGAGACACTGTCTCAGAAGGGCGCGATGATTGTGCGACAAAGCGAGGGAAGCCCACATCAAGAGAATACTCATCGACTTCAAAGTGCCCGTCGTCGTCAATGTCGGAAAATTCAGTGTCATCAAACGTCGAGATGAGCGGGTCGAAGCTCAGGCTATCTAGCTCGCTGCCAGTGCTGTCTAGTATTGATTTGAACTGCTGCTGCTGCTGCTGTTCTTGTTGCTGGGGGCTACTGGGCTCATCCCATACACTCATGAAGTCATCTGCGGGATGATTTGAGCTTGCTTTATCTCCTGCCGTGGCTGACAGTGGCGCCTGCTGCTGGTCATTTTGAAGGTCGCTGCTGTTGATGCTCTCATATGGGCTGGTTGAACTCCAGTCATGAGACTGCCGTTGTTGCGGAAGACCAGTCGTAGCGAATGCGCGCAGAGCCATGTGAGGACTGGGCTTGCGCTGCTTGCTCACGCCACCTGCGAGATTGCGGCCCATATTGGACTCGCTGTAGTGGCATGTCTTACGGCCGCGCTCACAGCGCTGGCACCCTGAACTTTCGCCCGTGCAGCGGACCTGGTGCGTCTGTCAATCAACTGTAAATTGTGGTAATGCTTTCATAAAAGCTTTCGTCATAGCTTACCTTTGAGAAATGGCAATTGTCGCAGGCAATTCGTTTCTTTCGCATGCTTGTGGGCGGCACGTTCGTCGGCGAGTTAGAGGCTCGGCTCCCAGCCAATGTTAACATTGTCATAGAATCGGGAGAAGAAGAAGAAGATGATGAATATGATGAGTAGTACAATGCGGGGTTCCGTTTTATGTTCTAGACAACAGCATCACGCACGCTGCCACGGGCTATCGAGATGTCACAGTCTGGAGACCTGGAGGTATCATTGGCGGCACGAAATACGACGAGGAAGAATGGCACCATGCAAACACCTGGGCCCGTCACCTCCAGGTTCTAACTGTCTCTAAAAGGGACTTAACTTTCGACTTCCTTTCAGATGGGGGCCAAAATGCAACTTCGGCCGCATTCAGGGCATTCTCGTCATGCATTGATTATTGTTGGGTAACACTGCGCTGCACAGTCAGCCAACATACCAGAATAGGTAGCATTCGTGTTATGAAAGTTGGTCTCTCACATATTATGTATCATTGGGCGGCATGGTGAGCACTTGGCAAGCATAGCCAAATTGTATTCCCTGACATCGCTGTGTAATTTTTGTCGTTGCTGCCTTTCCCACTGTGCCATTCTAAGCCTGCAAGGCAGCCTTTTGCTTGAGCTCCTGTGCCCACCTCTCAACCTCTTCGGACAGATCTGGGTTGTACAACCAACGCAGCTCGCCCCCATCTCCGCGTGTCGACGACGAATCGGTCCAGATAGCACCCGGAGGCAGCTTGGCCTTTTCTGAAGCAGGCAGCCGTTTTGCGTTCATCTGCTGCGTTAGGTCAAGGATCTTTTGGACGCGCTCCTGGCGATAGAACTGCCATAGCGCAGCGCCGTTGTCCAGGGGAACCTCAGGCGACAGCTTTGAGAGAAGCAATGCTAGGGCATAAACATCCTCTATGGCCTGGTTAGCCCCCTGACCGACCGTAGGTGGTATAGCGTGAGCTGCATCACCGACTAAAATGATGTTTTTTGATTCAGAGAGCCAAGACGACAACGGCGGAAGGCTGTAAAAGGCCCAAAACCCCATCCTATCTACAGGCATGGCCTCAAGCGCTGATTGTACAATATCCGGCCAATCAGCCTGATTTTCATGGATCATTTTATAGAGCTTCTGTTTATCTTTGCGTAGATCATTCCAGCCAGCATCATCAAGCTCTGTAAACATCCGCTGCGCCCCGACATAGAGCTCAGAGCCATCGGGCTTCTGTGGGACAAGCAGAAACCCTCCTGGCTTGCCCATGGCGATTGCGGGCAAGCCGTAATCGTCGGGTATACGGAGCTGTGACCGCTGTACAACGCAGTTGATGCCCAGGATGCCTGCATACTTGGTCTTCACCTCGGGCAAAAAGGTTGAACGCACCGTCGAGTGAATGCCGTCAGCGCCAACCAAGAGTGAGGCTGAAGCGGTTTGGCCATTGGTGAAGGTGAACTCGACGTCGTTGTCAGGGCTGTCAGAGTTGACAGTGGCCAACGCACTGTTGAAATGGACTGGGATACTGCGTTCCCGCAATATGGCCAATAGCTCGCCTAGAAGGTCCTTACGCATAATACGGAGAGCCTGATAGCCGTACATGGCCTTGGAGCCAAAATAGTAGATGTCTGTCGTCTCATCCCTGTCGTTCTTGAAGTAAAGCTTGTCAAACTCCAGCGCCTTGTCGCGTAGACGCTCATACACTCCAATACTGTCGAGGGCGCGCAAAGCATTTGGCGAGAGCATGAGCCCTCCGCCCGGATTGTGATCCTCAGAGCGTGCTTCATAGACTGTGGACGATATCTTGAGCCGATGCAGCGCGAGCGCAAGAGTCAAGCCCTGTTAAGCAGTGTCAGCGCCACGCGGTTGAGCACAGTGGGCGCCGCAGTACTTACGGCCAGGCCTCCTCCAATGATGGCCACCTCGGTAGGGGGCCTTGTCAGTGTCATGGTGAAGAAAGGGAATGTGACACAAGTGCGGTGGAAAGATAATTAAGGGGGGATGAAGAAATCAGCGGGCTGATGAGCAGGTTACACTGCGGCAGAACAAGATGGGCAAACCATAAAAAGTGGACATGCATCTATACAGTGTCGTTAGTGATCAGCGGGAGGGTGGCAATTGTGTTGTCGTTGGTTGTTGGGCAAAAAGCGATTTCTGGTAGAGCTGAGCATTGGGGGCCTGGCGCTCGGTTCAATCTTTTTATCATTCATGTCTCCTCATGCTGGAACCGTCGTGGGAGACCTAGGATGGGAGCATAAGTGTGTTTGTCTGTCGCCGAGCCTTGTTGACCGACCTCGCCGAAAGTCACATCATCCAAGGCGAGACCGAGGTAGGGTTACAGCGGTCATTGTCAGGGAAAATACTACTTAACACTTGTACACGGAAGCGTGGCTTGCACGCTGAGCGGTTGCCCCGTGCGGAGTGAGCTGTACCGGCTTACATCTCTTGTATTTGTCCTGTATGTACTCACCCCTCATCCGTGGCGAGTTGCATGGCGTGGCTGCTGACTTGTCTCTCGGCGCATACGCTGGTAGGAGGGCGGCCTGAGACATGTTTGTACTACGTAATTAACTGTATATACTCAACGTTACGGGTGAAAAAAATATCTCGGTAGATAATGACTACACATGTTGATTTTGGGAGCAGCGCTGACTTGGTCTATTCTAACACTTTGTCGTTTGCAGGGGCGCGTGTACGTCGATAGGTGCGCCGATAACCTTCAACCCTCTTTTGGTACAGGCACAGATAGTTGTACTTCTAGCTGCACACATGTGCAGTCATCCCGTTGGATTAGCATGCATTGGCCCCCCCTCCTGGGAGACGAAAAAGTCTCCGGCTGCCCACCCTTTTGAATCAACAGCCCGCTATTCGCTGCTAGGCTCTGCATGTCACGCAACTGTGATGTATGGGTGTGAAGCACTCACCAGCTCCTTCAGCCTGTTACTTCCAAATCGAGTGACAACTTATTCATCATGTGTAGGCCGGGGAACATTAGTTTCCATACAATACGAAAGGACCGTTCAAGGGCTTGAAACCCCGCCTTCCTTCGATGCGCCACAGCGTCCTGAGATGCTTTAGATCCGTATTCTTCCATCTCGCTGAGTATTTATACCCTTCTAGACAGATTTTGCTGGCTTCGTTGAAGATTTTCCCTTCCCATTCACTCACAAAAGTTCTCTCATCTTGTGTGTAGCTGTCTGCGTCTGTATTTAATCTTCACACATTTCAGCTGCTTTAACCATGAGCGGTACTTCACCACCACCAGGGGGCTGGATAGACCCCTCTACGGCTCCCATGCACCCCAGAGCCGTTCTCCTGGTTGCGCCCGTGACCGCGTTCTATATTCTGGGGCTGGCCGCAATCGGCCTCAGAATCTGGGCGAGGCACATCAAGAAAGTTTCTTGGCGGCTCTCTGACTATACCATCTTGATTGCCGCTGTGTTTGGGACGGGCTATGTTGCAATGTGCTGGCTAGGTGAGACTCGATATATAGGAATTGGGCTGCTCTTTGTTCTTCGTCCTTGTGACACTGACCTCCTCACTCAGCGGCCACTCGTGGTGGTATCGGCTACCCTCTCGTTCGAGTGCCTCTTACTGGGCTGCTTGTGACCCGCAAGGTAATCTGACCTTCCTCGCGTCTCCTCGACCCAACTTCCGCTGAGCGTCTTCTAGGCATTTTTCGTGGGCTGGCTCTTGCAATGCTGGGCCAACTCATTTGTCCGCCTCTCCATCCTAGATTTCATCCACCAAGTCTTCGCCATCAGGAAGTTCCGCTTCGCCGTCTACGTCTGTGAGGCGGCAACCGTGGCCTACCTGGTTGCTTGCACAATCGCCTTGTTGGCCACCTGCCGCCCTTTCGAGTACAACTGGGAGCTCGGTCCGGAAGTGACCAAGCACTGCAGCAACCTCTCACTAAAATTCCTTCTCAGCTCCATCTTCAACCTCGCCCTCGATCTCAGCATCCTGATTCTTCCGATGCCCATGCTGTGGACTCTGCAAATGAGCACGCGCAAGAAGATTGCCATTAGCTTTGTCTTTGGCCTGGGTATTTTGTAAGTCTTCCAAACGTGGTGGTGCCGTTCTGCTTGGTGACCTAACACATGGGCCAGTGTCTGTTTCGCTACGGCATGGCGAACATACGAGGTGGTGGAGTTTTCCAAGCCTGCGTCCCAGTTGAACTTCACCGAAACCATAGTCGAAGATGCTCTGTGGTCTGGGCTTGAGATCACCCTCGGAATCATCAACGCATGTCTCCCTGTGATGCAACCGGCAGCCCAGCGCATCTTCAACATCCCATTCATCCGACTCATCAGTTTCTCCACAAATCGTTCCGCCAAGAACTCCAAGATGTCCGCAGACTCCAGCACCCCCTTCAAGAATTCGCGCTTCCCATCGTGGGTGCGTCTCGGCAGCTCAAAGAGCGAATCGAAGGTCGGCATCCAGCGCGAGGTGGAGTATTCGGTCGACATCGAATCAGACTCTGGTCATCGCATTCCTATGGAGAATATGGGGTCAACCACAAAGCTGTCGACACAGAACCCCACGCCATACCACAGATCCCTGACGAACCAGTACTTTGCCGGGGACCCTCGATCCTAGATTCAGCTAATCACCCGGCCGATCAAGACTTGGAGGCCAGCGAGTACAACATCGGAGCCGACAAAGGGCTCCGAAGAAAGACTACTGCACACTGTGTGGAGGAACTTTGGTTGCTGGATGCGTCTGCTCAAATGCTCTCATGTATCTACCTAGATATTTCAGAATGTATCGTTGATTTACCATGATTGTGGTGAACAAATGGTTGCTGTCTAGCTAAGAGGCACAGTTTCGTCACCTGATGACCAACTACAAACGTCGTGCATTAAGATTGCTCGTCATCTACAATGTACATCTGAATCTTGTCGACGTCCAAAAATGTCTTGTCATGCGCCTCGAGCCGAGCCTTGTTCTCGGGAGTCCCCGTAATTTCTTTCAGCCTCAGAAATGCCGCCTTGTCCTTGAACTCAAGATACCCGATGCCATCGTATTTTGTATCTGCCGGGCCTGTAGCCTGCGTCGGATAGTGGTGGTAGTGGGTTTGAGGGTAGGCGTCGCCGGCGATCTCCTTCAGCATGTTGAGGTGATGATGGTCCCACTGATTCTTGAACTCGTCAAGGGAAACGCCAGGGGCCTTGACGGCGAGCAGGTAGACTCTGAAGACCATTATGTTGACTGGTGTTGGCGATATTGACTGTTGCACGGAGAGGTACTGCTTTTGCTATGATGAAATGGAAATCCGAGATATTTGATCGCTTTGAGTGAGAAGTGATGGATGATTTTGAAAGCAGTCTTAGGGATTATAATGAATATTTTCTGTCAATACAGCAAAAGCTGGCGTTTCAGCTCATTGAGGATATAAAAAGTTGGCGGAGAGTACAGAAAGTTCAGGAGAGATACAAAAAGCTCAGAAGGCGTACAGGACCTCGAGAAATATATAGAAGTAGGGTTACATAATTACTACCTCGATACAACATTAGTTTGCTTAATCATACATAATGAACTCGTAAGTAGAATAATGATATTATTCATTTAATAATAAAAGATATTCATAATTATTAGATAAAAATACAATACAGATTATTGCTAAATCAAGCTTTATGATACCGCTAACTGTTTTATATACTTTATAAGCATTTTATCCTTTTTAACAACTTTTTTGTATCCCTTATAAGCTACATGCTTAGAAAGCTAATAGCAGCTATTATTGAAGACCAATAGAGCACCAGCATGGGACGACCCGAGCAAACAGGATTCCGAAATGGACGCGGCGAGAGGGTGGTTGGATGATCAGCTCAGACCAATATCGGGCGTCGGCATTGTGCAACCCTTGATTATCAAAACTCCGACAGGTATAGCCTGTTCACCGATGGCAAAGCCTGCCGATGCTGAGAGTGCCGAGGGGCACTGGGGGGTCCTTGTACAGTGGTCAGCGACAGGGTGGAAGGCTGGAACATGATGGTTGCCCGTGGGGGCTAGTTCTTCAATGGCTCAGTGAGGCACACGTGAAATCCCCTCAGATGCTCAGGCTGATCCTTCAGGGATTGAAATTTGTACAAGGTGAATATTGAAGGTGGAAAAGCTTTTACTGCCTGTTAAAATGCTGCCTGGTCCAGTTTGATTGCGTATCATACTGTTAGGGACACTCGTTGTGCTTGGCGGACTTGTATGATAGCAAAAGATTACACACGTGGCTATGCAATATGGCACCAAATAGCATCTCAATTTTTGTTATTTTTGGAGGCGGGCTCTTGCTGATCTGGCTGCGTGGGCGGATATTGTGGCGAAGAAGGTTTGCTGGAGTCTCGCGGGTTGGAATCGACCCAGGCTTTTTGGGCCTTCGGACGCAGGCTGCCAAAGATGAGTTCCTCGCCGGAGGACAACAACTGCTGGAGCAAGGCTACGCAAAGGTTTGATCAGTGAAACTTCCTGCAGATCTCCTCTATGCATTATGATTGTAGAGGGGTAGGCATTTCTGTCTATTGCTTAAGTGCTGACTTGGGAAATCACGAACAGCACAAAGACACGCCATACGTGATCCAGACATGCGACAATGAGCGACTCGTTGTCCCCGACAAGTTTATCGAGGAGTTGAAGAATCTACCAGATACTCAGCTTAGCTTCAAAGAGGAGCTTCTTGATAGATTTATGGGCAAATATACCAAGCTAGATGCCGTTCGCGGAACGGACATTCACCGCAACATTGTCAGGTTTCAACTGACAAAGAATCTGGGTACGCAACTTGTCTTGCACGGCCGCAATGTGTTGATATACTGACAGAAATGACTATAGGGAATTTGTTACCGCAGATGAAAGAAGAGGCAGATATAGCATTGGAGAATGCCCTTGGAAGCTGTGACTCAAAAGGTATCTATTCTCACTCTCCCGCGTCCATCAAGATCGCAACCACTTGTGACAAGACGGGAAGCAATTTTTGACGAACCTGTCTTCATAGAATTCACCCCCGTCAAAGCATCTTCCGTCATTTTCGCTGCCATTGGCCAAATCACCTCACGCCGAGTGATCGACGACCCCCTCATCTCCCGCGACCCGATATGGCTCAAGACCATCATGGGCTTCACCGCTTCCGTGGCCGTCTTCTGCATGAAAATGAGAACAATTTCGCCCACCCTGCGTCCCATAGCTCGGTATACGCTGCCATGCGGCCGGAGACTGCGCTCTGACATTGCACAAGTAACGGAGCTCCTGGCTCCGGTCATTCGGGCGCGACAGCGGCAAAATATGGACATGAAGTCTGCAGAGCTCGACGAGGGCCAGCCGCAGGACTTTGTGCAATGGCTCTCTGAGTCTGCCAAGGGCCATGATGCGGAACCAGAGGCAATCGTCATGAAGATCCTCTTTCTCATTGTTGCTGCGATGCACTCGAGCGCTATCACAGCTATACACGCCCTGTATGACCTCTGCGCCCACCCTGGATCGATGGAAGAGCTGCGCGAGGAGGCAGTCAGAGAAATCGGTACCAACGGCTGGACCGAAAGCTCGTTGCTAAGGCTGCGCAAGATGGAGAGCTTCCTCAAGGAGAGCGGCCGCACCAACTCTGCCGGGATCGTCTCCTTTCAGCGGTTGGTGCTCTCCCCGATTCCCCTCTCAAATGGCTTTACCATCCCAGCAGGCACGCACATCTGCGCAGCCTCCGACGCCCGCTCCCGTGATCCTACACTGTACGACTCGCCTCTAGAGTTCCGGCCAATGCGCTTCTATTCTGATCCTAGCACAGACCGGGAAGAGGCCAGCGAGATAGATGCCGCCAATTTCTTCAGCTCCGTCACTGCGGGTGACTCGTGGTTTGGAACGGGCCGGCAGGCGTGCCCGGGGCGGTGGTACGCCAGTGCGCAGATCAAGCTGGTGCTTTGTCTGTTGTTGATCGAGTATGAGTTCAGATTTCCAGCCGGGCAGACTGAGAGGCCAAAGAACTGGGTCAAGGATGAGAAGACTGGCCCCAACATGGAACAGGTCATCTTGGTCAAGCGGAAGGCGTAATCAGAGTACGAATCACCTGAATAGTAAAGGCATAGGATTGAGCGTATTGGGTTCGTATTTTCTATAGAGAATACCAGCTACCCATGATTTTCATTTGAGTCCACATCTAGGTTCGCGAAGTCTCTATTTATCAAGTACTTCTTATGGATCAAGTAGGGTATAAAAGAGGCGTGATCATTGCGTGGGTGCTTATGGATTTTCCGTGATCAAATGACAACATCGTCTTCTTTAAGTCCGTCAATGGCTTTAGGGTCTTTCTAGGGGCGTCTGTGTCTTGATCTCTACTTTAATCTTCATACATCAAAGAGTAATTTCTCTCTAGTTCACCTGGCTCCCGGTTACCGAGCAATCTTTCGAGCGGCGCCGGAGCCTCACTCTGGTTTCCGGCCCCATACCACTCTCAATGGGTACACCGCCCCTTTCTCCGTGAGTTCCTTCTCCAGGTCCGCCGGTAGTGTCTCGTATCTTTCAGAGGGAAGCGGCTGTTTCTCGGGTGGAAAGTCTGTGAAGCCAGTTCCTCAGCAAAGGCCTCATACCCACGGCCATCTGAGTTCCTCGAGAAGTGCAACGGAAAATAAATGTAGGGAAGCCGAAAGCTTACTTTTCGCGAATTTGGACAAGCCCTGTACTGCAACACCACAGCTTTCTGCGCCCTCCTTTGCCAGCTCTGGATCCTTATTGGTTCGACCCATGTTCAGCATCACATCTTCCTCGCCAACATCCGTAAAACCCGCCTCCTCTAACAAGCCCTTGAGTGATCTGCCAAGGTGCCACTCGGCGCCGACCACTCCCGCAACACTGCGCATCAGCTGGAGCATGTCACTATATGCAGGCGTCCGCTCTTTATTCACAATGTCGGGCGGGAAGTCCATGGTTCCTTCGCTGATCTGAACCCAGCCGCCGGGTTTGACTAGGGCGTAGAGGTGAGAGATGGAGGCAGAAGGGTTGGGGCCAGCACCAAGAAGGGTTAGGCGTTGATGAACGAGGTCGAACTGGCCATGTTGGGACTCGGGCCATGGTTTCTTGATGTCTTGGACGGTAAACGTCACGTTTGAGGGAACCGATTGTGGGAAAGGTGTCGGGTTGAGATCCGTGCCTACGAATTCGTGGGTACCGGCCGAGAGAGGCGGCAGTGATGAGGCGAGATCCAGAAGCCAAGTTCCTAGATGCCTCAGCAGAGGGATCTCACTCCATGTAAGGGTGTAAGAGTAACAGATGTAGCTTAGCTATTACTTACCATCGGCAGTTCCACTATCTAGAATCTTCACTGGCCGGGAGAAGTCCACGGGCGCCCGAACGAGCTTGCCGCCCATGGCATCTTTGGCGATGAAATGATTGCTGGCTAGGCGCTTACGCTCGCCTTCGCTCTCCATCCAGTACTTGCTCTCTTGTTTGCTGGCCATTATGGATGATTGTGCGAGGGAAGGATCTGAAGCACTTGAGCATACACCAATTGCATGTATGTAGGGAGTATATCAGCCGATAAGAATTGAACCTTGGAGGCTGAATGGAGGTGATTCGAGGATTGTCTTTTTGATCCCGATCCTCGGTGTCACCGATGCCGACCGTCGGGATGTGTACATAGTTGAAGTATCCGCCCAGCTGTGGAAATTTTACCGTTGGCATTGTCGGAGGATCTAGTCAACATATTGCTATGCATTGTGATACGTGATTTACTTCACCTGTGCGTGCCATTTTGAAATGATCTGCGTTTGTACTATCAGGATGTTTGCCTTTCTGAGCTGCCACTTCTCCGTAAGCACTGGCGGCCCCGCCATCTGTGGATGGTGATGCCGCCGCATCCACACGAGGAAGAACGAGGCACTTGGAGCAGATCAGGGGCAGATACTAGTTAACACACGGTAGCACTCAGTCAAAATTTCTCTCACCCTCCCTGTTCATGAGCAGATACGCTCAAGCTGCTCTACTTGGTAGCCAAGAGGATGTAGGCCTCAAACCTGATGCCGCCAAACTGCTGTACCTCTTCCTTCACGGACTGAGCAACAGCCCCAACCCACCTAGACTCCTCTTCCTCCGTGTAGCCCTCGCGCGCCTTGGCCATCATGGGGCCCGACATGAGCGAAGTAAGGCCAGCAATGTTTTCCTCGTCGTCGACGACCAAGACCTTATCGGTCACTGTTATCTTGTCCTTGGCGAAGCCGCTCTCCTCGACCACTTTCTGCAGTACGCCCTCTTGGTAGAACTCAGGGCTTGGTGTAGACATGAGTGGTAGGTCCGGGCGGATCTTCTTCTGAGCGGCATGGACGATGAACATGGGCGCGAAGCGGCGCCAGCAGGTGACGACAGCGAGGCCGCCAGGGCGCAGGGTGCGGTAAGTCTCACGGACGGCGTCACCGGGGCGGACAAAGGTGAAGATGCTGAAGTTGTCGATGGAGTGGGTGAAGTAATTGTCAGGCACCGACGACAGGTCCTGCGAGTCGAGCTCCTTGCAATCGACGTGGGGCAGCGGGGAGGCGACAAGGGACTCGCGCGCGGCCGACACCATCATGGCGACATTGTCTGAGACCAGAATCTCCTTTGGCAGCTGCTCCTTGGGGAGCCTGGCGACGAGGGCCGCGGCGCCTATGCCGGGCCCAGCGGCCGTGTCGTGCACGACCGAGTCCGGGCCAATAGGATTGGCAGACGTCTGGACATTGGACGTGATGACGTCGGCAAGAATGTTGAGGGTCGTGTGACCCGTCTGACGAACATAATTGCTGGCAAACTTGGAGAAGTAGTCAGGCAGGGGGAGATTCGGATGCTGTTGAGCCATGTTGAAGATGAGGGTAGGTTGAGTGTGACTTAAGCTGTGGGCTGAACTTGGGTCGATGAGTTTAGCCAGGTTGTGCTGACAGTAGGAGCGGGGTGGAAAATTGAGGAAGAGGATGAAAAGCCACAGGGGGATGGTAATCATAGGGAGCCTTTATTCTTGTTGTCCACAAAGGGAGTTGGCCAAGAGAAAGCTGAAAGAACCAACTCTACGCAGCATTCTAGTCTGATTGGTTCTCCTGAAGTACACTGCAGCTTCGCCATGTGCAACGCCGGCCAACATGTCTCGGATATTGGTGCCGCTGGTTCAGCACTGCCTAGAATGGAAAGTCCCTTCCTGCATGGCGTGTTGACAACGTCACTCTCTCGTTCCCAAAGAATTGAGAAGTAGACAGTACTCAACACATGTCCGTGGAAGAAGAAAGAAAGGTTCACTGATGACTGCATACTTGAAGAGAAGAGCCGTATCTGGGTGGGGTCGGCGCAGCTCGTAAGCGTGGCTCGGTGCATGCGGCTCGGTGCACCGACCTCGCCGACACGAAGATGAGCCTCTCCGACCAACTCTGCCCCACACATGATCCGCCGATCAAGATGCCGGCAGCCTCGTCAAAGTGAGTCGGTCTGCTGAGAGATGTCCAACCACTTTGACACGAGGGGGATTTTATCTACTTGTGCGTAGTCCGCACCCCAGAGTGCCTCGAGTGCCGATCCAGGCACCAGTGCCTTCTCAGCCAAATGGGGGCCATGAAGTGCCGTGTCGCCTGGCACCCAGATTCGGTCATGTTGCACTGCGGCATCTTCCCTTTTTTTCTTCTTCTTTCTTTTTCTCTCTCTATGTAATAGTCGTACAGAGTCGAATTGTAGAGGCCACGGCTCGCTCGGAGGATTGCACGCTGCTCGTACGCAAAGCAAACCCTGTGATGGTCAAGGTAGATAGTTTGCTCTAGTTGTTTGTTCTATATCTCTGTAATGCTGCCAAAGCTCTGCCGAAGCAAAAGAATCTTTACTCCCTCTCTTTGTTTAATCGTTATTATCCGAATTTCCGCCGACAGCTTCCAGAATGTCGTCAGATGAAGCCAAGATGCGAACGAGCGCGGACGCAACTAGCCCCGACTCTTCGGCTGCTGTTCCATCAGCCGCCGTCTCGCTAGAGGAAAAGGACATCTCCAAGAGAGAGAAGGCCAGTAACAATGATTCGACCGATGAGTCGACGTCGGAGTACGCCCAGGGATGGAAGCTGTGGCTTGTCTACATCGCGACACTTCTGACTATGTTTCTTGTGGGTTTCCATTGCATCCTAGGCTCACAGAGGCTTGATTCTGACGCTGAAAAATGTTCGGTCTAGGTCCCACTGGATATGGTACGTCACATCATCATTTACAGTATCCGATCAATATTTTGCTTCTTTGAAACGACCTGCTCACAGAAAGACCTGCTTAGACCATCGTCGCAACTGCAATCCCAAAGATCACGCAGGAATTCCATAGTCTGAACGAAGTCGGGTGGTATAGTTCGGCCTTCTTCCTAACCTTGGCGGTCTTCCAGTCGCCTTGGGGGAAGATCTACAAATACCATCCGATCAAGGTTGCATACATCGCGTCGGTATTTACATTCGAGCTTGGAAGTCTCATTTGCGGTTCGTGCAGTCGTTCCCACGACGAACAAGGAAGCAATACAACTGACAATCCATTGTTGGCAGGCGTTGCGCAGAATAGCCACATGCTCATTGCAGGTCGTCTCATCACTGGCTGCGGAGGTGCAGGAGTTACAATCGGCACCTATGTCATTATTTCCCATCTCGTGCCGCCCTCAAAAACTCCTGCATTTATTGGCGGTATCGGTGCGGCATTTAGCATCGCGAGCGTGGCCGGTCCTCTCGTTGGAGGAGCCTTTACCGGAGAGGTGTCGTGGCGATTCTGGTAGGCCCCCTCTCTTCTTCGTTGCTCATGGTATCCATACATTCTTGAGACGCCTGTTCAATATCCTGCTACATGTATCCAGTACTTACTACTTCTCTCATTCTTTCAACAGCTTCTACATCAACCTTCCCGTCGGCGGCGTCGCAACCCTCGTTTTCTTCGCTTTGTTCCCCAAGCCCACTGCGCCCCTTCCGCAGGCAAGTATCAAAGAAAGGCTCCTGCAGCTGGATCTACTGGGTACAACTTTGGCAGTTGCATCCATCGTCTGTTACTTCCTTGCTCTCGAATGGGGCGGCGTATCGAAATCTTGGGGCGACGCAGATGTGGTTGGCACACTTGTTGGCAGTATCCTGCTCGCCATTGCCTTTGGCGTGGTGCAATGGATCCTCGATCAGCGGGCGTCCATCATGCTACGAATTCTTGCACAGCGCCATGTCGCTGGTGGCTCGGCCTTCATGTTCCTGTCAGTAGGCCCGCTGATCACGATGCATCGCCTTGGATAATGTCAGCTAATCAGTGAGAGATAGGCTGAGCTGCGCTAACTTCTCGATGATCTATAACCTACCCTTATACTTCCAATCTGTCAAGGGCTCTAGCCCGACTTTAAGTGGCATTCAAGTCCTTCCACTCATTGTCTCAGCATGTAAGTCATCCCTCCCCCATAATCAGTCCTTGTTGCTCAAACGCCAACATCCGAATAGCTGTCTTCGTCGTCATCAGCGGAATTCTTTTCACCAAGTTTCGGTTTTACCAAATATACCTCTTCGTTGGGGCAAGTTTCACCACCATTGGCGCTGGTCTGCTCTATACCCTGAAGGTGGACTCCTACGCTGGAGATTATATCGGCTTCCAGTTCGTCGTTGGATTTGGTAACGGTATCTGCCAGCAGATTCCCCTCACAGTTGTTCAGGCTTTCTCCAAGCCAGAAGACCTGGCCACGTCGATGTCTACCGTTCTTTGTAAGTGAGATCCAATTGTCATCATGCAGATATTGCTACACACGTACACTGCAATTATCTGAAGCGACTGACTATACGCCAAAATTCTACAGAAAATGCTGACAATAGTTCTCTACAACAGTCTTCCAGCTGCTCTCGGGTGCACTATCCGTAGCCGCAGCCCAGTCCGTCCTCCTCAATCGCCTACTGGCCACTGCCGCTGAACGCCTTCCCGATGTCAGCCGCATGACAATCATTTCAACCGGCGCTACCGATCTCGGACGAGTCTTTGTTGGCGATCAACTGTTAGCTATACGTGAATGCTATCTGGATGGGCTACGAGCTGCCTGGGCGATGGCCATTGGATTTGCGGGCGTCGCCCTCTTGACCGGACTGACGCTTGGCTTCAACAGGATTGAAAAGTCTCCGCAGGGTGTAGATTCAACAACTGATGTGCAGAAGAAGACTGAGGGAGAAAGTGATGAAGTTCGGGTCCAAAATATTGATGAGAACAAAACCCCTGAGGCTTGAATAATGCGGGAAGCTGGCTAGTCTAATCATCAGGTGTCAGGGCGGTTGGGGATGTGCTTCGCCTTCGAGGCTTGAGTTCCCACACTTCTGGCAGGGAAACGAGAGATCCGACTCCTAAGTTCGACATTAGGGAGCTGACTCCTACAATGACCTCGGGGAGGACGGTTTTGTACAGTATCACTATGTATTTTACGTCGACGACTTTATCTGGCACGACGAGCAATCTTGAGTCTCATCGAATGAGAATAGCCTGTGAGGACTGGAGTACGGTCGAATCTGGAACGGACACCAAGCCCTCATCATCAGGTCTATCCTTTTTTTTTCCAGGTTCCGCATAGCGAGGTCGAATTCGCCGAAGTGTCGAAGTCCCGCTATATCAAAAGGATGCTGGACATTCTCATAATCGTCATCAAAGGACTCATCAAACACAACAAATTGAGACTCGAACAACTCGCCATCATTAGTCTATATAAATCATAGCTTAGTAAATTATAAGAACAAACTATTTACTCGAGCAGATACGGTGCTAATGTCGACAAACCAAGGCTCCTTCAGCTCACAAGTGCAGATCGTGTTCAAGGTGCTGAGCGCAGAGTTGTTATTTTCCTAATATTACACTGCATGAACCTGATGTACGCTGATCTGCTCGAAATCTTTGATAAACCCTCTTGTGTACTTCAGTACTGACATTTATGACTGGTAGCAGCTCATACTACAGTCCAACCATGCTGCCCACCCAGCTGGCCCTGCTACCCAGCTGAACAGGCACACAGAGAAATGTATCACCTCAGCCAGTCTCACCGACGCTCACAATGCATCCCTGTAAATGGTGATTGGTGCTGCTAGGCAGAAATTACGGCCCCAGGAGGCTGTGACTGGTGATCAGCTCCAAGCCTTCATCAACCTTTGCTTCGAGGACTGGGAGACTGGCGACGAGATCGATCTACCTCGCTTCAAACCAATTGAGGCAGACCTCAAAGATATTGGGTTTGCGTTTGGAATCTCAGCTGAAGCTGCTGTTGCATCCGCAAAAGAGAGTGGCAAGAAGAAGCCGCGCAGCCGCGCACAGCAGAAACTTCATACCGCTACCGCTCGCCTCACGACCATCTGCCCCGTCAGCAGGGCCAGCCAGTCTTCCTCGTGGTCGAAGTGGATCACAAGACTGGGGTAAAAGCCATCTCCTAACGTGATAAAGAGGCATGGGACTCTCGAAGCCCGTTCGTGTTGGAATTACCCGTCCAGACAATATTGCAGGTGCATACTTTCGCGCAATGCACAACTATGACAAGTATCTGGGCTTGAGACCTAGGGGTATCTGGAGATTAACTCTATGAGTTGATGGTTATCAACTGACCTGAGTTTCTTTTGTCTTTTTTAGAAGAGAAAAAAGTTTCATCGAGACTACTCAAATACCTTCATACTTACTTAGTAGATAGAGTGATCATCAACTGCTCAGAGGTCAACGTTTTTTGTTTTTTTTATAATTTGACGGAAGGGGAGGTTGGGGGGGGGGGGGGCTGGGGATAGTTTGACATAATCAGGGGTTCAACAGATATATAACATGTTTTCACATTATCATGCAGCGTTGGTGTTTGTTTGTGTGTATTGATGTCTCTCGTCTCTACCATGGCTAGGATGCGAGGTTGTGTCAATACGAGACTGTCTCCCACTAACCCTTCCACCAAATCCCAAATTATTTTTTGATCACAGTCAGTTCGTGTACCAAACTAATTGGAAATCCTGCGAAGCCCCTTCCTTCCTTGCCTCTACTCCTTGGGCATGTCGACAGCCTTGGAGGTCTGGTTCAGCAGAACGCCATGGACAGCAAGCTTCTCATCAGCGCAGCAGACGAATTGCTATGAAGAAAGATAGAAATTGGTTAGCCTTGCAAGCCCTTTGAGTGGAAGTTTGGGCATTGAAGTAAGGAGAGGTAATTAAAAAAGAAAGGGGGGGAAATCGCACCCAAGCATTGGAATCGCAATTGCCGATACCAGCGCCACAGGTCTGAGTGCTGCAGCCCCAGCAACCTGGGATGCAGCAGAAGGACTCGGCAGCAGCCAAGGCTGTCAGGTTGGCGACGATGATTATGTGGAAGAAATGCATCGTTGCAGGTGGTTGCTGTTCTTTCTTTGTTGTAGGAATGGACTTCGCGTGAGAGTGCTGTATCGACTTGATGAGTAATTACCTTGTAGAGTGAGTGGATGATGCCAGGAGGTTTTGGTCTAGCAACTTTTAGAGAGGTAGAAGATGTACTCACCTGTTAATTTGTGTTTCAGTGGGAGGGATAGGATAGGTTGATTTTCGATTTGGGAAAGAAGGAGAAAGAAAAGTCTGCAGTGTTTTATAGTACTGGCCATGTCTGTGAAAGTGACCTGCACTGCAATCGATAAAAGTGATACAATCATTCACATTCTGATAAACTTTTTCCATGACTCCCCAAGTCAATTCACGTCTGTTGTTATACTTCAAAGGACCACTTGGACCATTCACACTTCTTGAACCACCCATTCAAGCTGGGAAAAGGCGAGCTAAAGTAGACCAATTCCTCCCCCAGTATTTGATCCCTCTTGTTCCGCCACATTGAAGGTCATCTCACATAGGCAAATATTTGATTACTTGACCTAAGTGTGTTAAAAGGAAACTCATTAGTCAGTGCTTGGAATCTTCCCATGTATGTAATGTACATCTATGGCAAGCGGAGCCCAAATGTGAACGCTCTGGTAGTCCTGATTAATGAAAAGAAAAAGTGCTTATTTAACCGCAAGCCAACATCATGGATAACGAGTGTGGTGTCCTACAAAGACTGACTGCATTTCTGAGCAGTGCGCATCTGTCATTCTGGGATATATGAGAAGGAGTTGTTTTGTCATTCCAGTATTTATTGAACATACGAAATGGAGAAAGTTAGAAACCTGGAGTTTTCTTGAAGTGGGAAGAGTGTATGAAAAAGAATTTCTTCAACCCACAAAAGAAATGAAAAGACTCGGCATTTCCCCCATTCTCTCGACCAACAGGTTTCGTATCATGGGAATCACAGCTTGTAAATCTACAAGAAGGCTGCTTCTCAATCGTGATGGCACTGATACACATAGCAGTGGGCATGATGGCCCATGTCCCCCACTTCCTGGCCAGAGCAGCACAAAGCACTTGCAGCCACCAGTGGTGTTTCCTCAGTTCTGCAAAAAGGGTTCCCTTGTATTGACGGCTATATGAGAACTCAAATCATGAAGTGAAGTCAATGGGTGCTTCGTTTACTGTCGACAGACACAGCTGATATGTACCAGGCCCAGCGCCGAAGCCGAGCGCCGAGACAGTCTCGGCCGTCACACCGCCAATGTGAGCGATCCTTCGCCCATCGCCAGGAATCCCATAAGTAACATCCTGTCAAGTATCTCTGATAATTTACGTCAGTGAGATTATGACTCAACAAGAAATCTGATAAGTGCTGGCTATTTATGTCCCCCGATTTATCGCCGCTCGGATTGCTCGTCTGGCGAGCAAGCACTAGCTTGGGCTATACGACAGACAGACAGGCAGTTTAAGAAAAGGCCTTGAGCACGGCGAATATAAAGGTTCGATGATAATCGACACCACCGTTGCTGTGCTGCTATGCTCAGCCGCCTCGCCTCCACTCAAACTTGAGAAAAGCCGCGTAAATGAGACCAAAGACCATGGCTACCCACACGCAGACCGTGGGCCCGATAATGGCTGTGGAATCAGGAACGCCACCCTCTCACGACGTGGAGATGAAGTCTACAGTACACACAGGTAGAGACGCCACCATCACCAAAGCCAATGACGACCCCTTCCTTGTCGAGTTTAGGCAGCCCTTCGACAGCGAAAACCCCAAGGACTGGCCAGCGCGCCGCAAGTGGGTAGTGACCGACTCGCTCTCCGCATCGGGCTTCAACCGCATCATGGTATCGACCATTATGGCACCGGCGCTCACCACGATCCAGAAGGAGCTGGACATGACGGCAGCTGAGTCGGCCATGGCACTATCTGTGTATCTGCTGGCAACGGCATTTGGCCCACTGATCATCGGTCCGTTGTCAGAGGTTTACGGGCGCAAGCGGGTCTTGCATGCCTCCAACGGGTGGTTCATTCTTTGGAACATTGTGTGTGGGTTTGCCAATACGAAGGGGTTGCTGATCAGTGCGCGGTTCATGGCGGGATTTGGGGCGAGCGCCATCTATGCGCTTGGTGGCGGTGTGCTGGGAGATATTTGGACAACTGAGGAAAGGGGAAGAGGGTTGAGGATTTACCTGACTATTTCTGTCCTCGGTTCTGCGGTTGGTTAGTATATCTTGTCCCTATCGACAAGTTGTCTGTATGGCGTCTCTCATCAACGACCGACAGGTCCTATCGTGGGTGGTTACATGGCGGGAAGAGCCAGCTGGAGATGGATGTTCTGGTAAGCGCGGGCCCTTCAGCACTATCAAGGCAAGCCCTACAGCCCTAACTCAGGAACATTCTAGGGCGACATCCATCTTCCAAGTCCTCATGACAGCCGTTACATGGACCACGGTCCGGGAGACTTTCGCTCCCGTGATCCTGCAGAGGCGCGCCGAGAAGCTCCGTCGAGATACGGGCAACACCGACTACCGCACGGCATACGAGCGCCTGGACGACAAGAAGCCATTGGCCCAGGTGCTCAGACAGGCTCTCACCCGCCCGTTGCGGCTCCTGGCCTTCCATCCAAGCCTCCAGATGATCGGGGCGATGCAGGCATACAACTATGGCCTCCTCTATGTGGTGCTCTCGCGTTTCGCCACCGTGTGGGTCGAGCAGTACAGCGAGACTGTCGAGACCAGCGGCCTGCACTATATCTCGTGTGCGTTGGGGGAGATAGTCGGGTCGCAGGTCGGCGGACCTCTTATGGACAGGTTCTTCCTGCGGATGCTGAAGCGGGGCGCCAACGACGGCGGCGGCGCTGGCGAGCAGCAGCGCGAGCACATTCCTGAGTTCCGCCTGCCACTGATGCTGCCAGGAGCCCTCGTTGCGCCTGCGGGCCTTCTCCTCTACGGTTGGACGGCGCAGTACCGCGTGCAGTGGGCGGCCGTGGACCTGGGCGCGTTCGTGTACATGTTTGGGAGCCAACTGTTGGGACTTCCCATGCAGGCGTACATAATCGATGCGTGGCCTGAGCACACGGGCAGCGCGCTGGCGGCGACGCAGTTCCTCAGAAGCATGACGGCGTTTGCGTTTCCGCTGTTCGCGCCGAGTATGTACGCGGGGCTGGGGTATGGGTGGGGGAACAGTGTGCTTTCCCTGGTGGGAGTGGTCCTGGGGGTGATGTGCCCATTGTTATTGTGGAGATTTGGGAAGAGGATGAGGATGAGGGCTGGTGCGAGTTATTGATCTTATGGTGATGGTTGTGTAGTCGTATTGTTGTAGGAAGGAGGCCGAGGAGAAGAAGGAGGACCCAAGCGGGGAGCAGTTGGTGGCAGGTGGTTGGGCAGACGAGCGCCAGCTGGCAGGGACGACCCAACCATTCGGTTCGGCTCGTCATAGTGGGGGTTGGGGAAACCATTCCTCTTCATCCATAGTATTGTGGTACAAAGTATTTTGGCAGGTGCTACTGTAGCTTGCCCCTCCATCAACCCTGCGATCTCGGACCCTGGCTCACCAAATATGTGCGAGCGACCTTTTCCTATCCACCACCAAAAGAGTTGAATTGACTTTTCAGAACATGACATGTCGTGATTTGATCTATACGAAACATCACTCACATTGTATGTGCATTCTAGTGGTAACAGTGCGCTGGCTCCCCTAGTGCCGTCAGCACCTATGCTATGCGATATGACGGAATTTTAATGTATACTCACTGATTCGGTACTATCTTCGAAACGTTGAGGAGGAGGAGAACTGTTGACTTGACCAACCAATTGAGGGGTCAGATGCGACATGCATGTTGCATACTGGCGTGCTCAGTCTAGCAAATAAGAGGAAAGAGAGGAATATTTATTTCCTGCAGTCAAAGGGAGCGAAGGATAGAGGCATTCGAATGTGAGTGGAGGGTAGAGTAGCACTTAAATACCTGTACCTTGTATAGTACATGCAGAACGACTTAGTATTGGGAGGCCGGCCCGCATCCGACTTAGCACAATGCAGACACTGTCGTCGCCGAGTCGGAGGAGGCTAAACTCTTTCACCGGTCTTCTTCTTCTTACTTCCATCGTCACACGCAAAGCCTCACACTCTTACTCTTCAGAACCCCTCTTTCTTCTCATCCTCCCCTGTTCCCCTCCCCTCCCCAATCCCTCCTCATGGTGGAATAGAGAAGAAGTCATCCACAAAGGGGACGAGTTGAGTTTTTAAATATCTTACTTTCAAGATTGTAAAGGTAAGGTTTTTCTGTTGACTCTCACGATTCATTTCCCTTGTTCTTTGCAATTTTATTTTTTTGCTCCCTTTGTTTGCAAGCTTCCTGCCAGTCAACTCCAACGGACCTCGGCGCCTTTCAAGAAGTCTCCGAACCAACGGCCCAAATTCTCATTCCTGCTGCACCTCTTAAGACAAACTTCTCTCGCCCAACTATATTCTTGGGCAGACTAATAAGGGTCTCCAGTCCGGACTTTTCCTTTCTCCAGAAACTTGCGGCTGCGTACTACGAGACAGCAAGCTAAAAGACCTTAAAGAGCCACCCTTGACTGACACATCCTCTGCCTATAGAGCTTCTTTCCTGAGCACCCCTTCTCACTAATAATTTCGACCCTCCTCCTCCTTCCTCCCGTTCAGTCTAAGCTCGGAGAGCATCGGACCGTTCTGAGCCCACGAGAGATCCTCCCTCGCTCCCTTCGCTCTCCCCTTCTCCCTGCCACCACCACCACCACGAAGCGCCGCCAAGATGCACATCAAAGAGATGATCGCAGACGCCGAGAGGACGGGCCAGCCCTCCTTCTCTTTCGAGTACTTCCCACCAAAGACCCTCACCGGCGTCCAGAACCTCTACGACCGCATCGAGCGTATGGACCACTTCGGCCCCAAGTTCATCGACATCACATGGGGCGCCGGCGGCCGCATTGCCGAGCTTACCTGCGAGATGGTCAGCCAGGCGCAGGCCTATTTTGGTCTCGAGACCTGCATGCACCTCACATGCACTGACATGGGCCTGGAGAAAGTGGACGAGGCCCTGCGCAAAGCCTACAAAGCCGGCTGCACCAACATCCTCGCGCTGAGGGGCGACCCGCCCAGGGACAAGGAGAAATGGGAGGCTGCCGACGACGGCTTCACTTACGCCAAGGACCTGGTGCGCCATATCCGTAAGACGTACCACGATCACTTCGACATCGGCGTCGCCGGCTATCCGGAGGGCTGCGATGACAACAAGGACGAGGACCAGCTGCTGGACCACCTCAAGGAGAAGGTGGACGCTGGCGCCGGTTTCATTGTTACCCAGATGTTCTACGACGTCGACAACTTCCTGCGTTGGGTAGCCAAGGTTCGGGCCCGCGGTATCGACGTGCCCATCCTCCCCGGCATCATGCCTATCGCTACCTATGCCAGCTTCCTGCGGCGGGCCAACCACATGAACTGCAGGGTTCCCGATGAGTTCATGGCTGCCCTGGAGCCTGTCAAGAACGACGACGTTGCTGTCCGCGACCTCGGCAAGACTCTCGTCGCCGACATGTGCCGTAAGATCGTCGCTGCCGGTATCCCCCACCTGCACTTCTACACCATGAACCTGGCACAGGCCACGCGCATGGTTCTCGAGGAGCTGGACTGGCTGCCCTCGGAGCGCAGCCCCATTCAGCAGTCCTTACCATGGAAGCAGTCCCTTGCCCTCGGCAGGCGGCAGGAGGACGTGCGCCCCATCTTCTGGCGCAATAGGAACAAGTCGTACATCTCGAGGACCATGGACTGGGACGAATTTCCCAATGGCCGCTGGGGCGACTCCCGCTCCCCTGCCTTTGGCGAGCTGGACGCCTACGGCATCGGCCTGACCGGCACCAACGAGCAGAACCGCAAGAAGTGGGGCGAGCCCAAGTCCATCCAGGACATCTCCAACGTTTTCGTTAGGTACCTGAACAAGGAGCTCGACTCTCTCCCCTGGAGCGAGGCGCCCCTCACCGGCGAGGCCGGCCCCATCATTGACGACCTCATCGCCCTTAACAGCAGGGGTCTGATCACCATCAACTCGCAGCCCGCCGTCAACGGCGTCAAGTCGAACCACCCTGTTCACGGCTGGGGCCCCAAGAACGGCTTCGTCTACCAGAAGGCCTATGTGGAACTCTTTGTCTCGCCAGACGTCTTCCCCGAGTTGATTTCGCGCATCGAGAAGAACCCAGACTTGACCTATTACGCCACCACCAAGGCCGGCGACTTCAAGACCAACACGCCGTCAGAGGGTCCCAATGCAGTCACCTGGGGCGTGTTTCCCGGCAAGGAGATCGTCCAGCCCACCATTGTCGAGTCCATTAGCTTCCTCGCCTGGAAAGACGAGGCTTTCCAGCTCGGCATGGACTGGGCGAGGTGCTTTGATGCAGGCAGCCCCAGCCGCATCCTGCTCGAGCGCATGATGAGGGAGTGGCGTCTTGTTAACATCGGTGAGTCTTTTCCCTCTCTGCCCTGTAACATGTGTTATTGGAATCCTTGAGAGGGCTCCCTACTAACTTCTCGACACCCTAGTAAACAATGATTTCCACCAGCCACGCACGATCTTTGAGATCACGAGTGACCTCAAAGTCAAGGACCTGAGCGTTGAGGTCCAGCCGGACGGACCCGCCACGGCAAACTAATCTTGCCCAGCTGCGCATGCATGCATACACGGCCTGGGTATTAAGAGGCTTCAACAGCGCCTCAAACTCCATATAATGGAATGATGACTGATACGACCTGAATTTAACACGACGGAGCGAATACACAGTTTTCTCACTTAATCACTTTTCGCCAACGGGCACACGTACACACACGTGTTGGCAATGTCTCACGTAGTCCACAACCAACGTGGAGACATGAGACATGTATACATGATCAAATCGAGATCAACCCCCCTTTCCTTAACGATATGGGTTGCATGGGTCCCAGAGGGCAGGCGTTTTTTTTTCCTTTTTCCACCGAGATTCAACATTCTAATTTCAACAATATCTGGCATACTAGGGGCGGGATGGGAGGCGCAAATCTAGGGGAACAGCAAAGAGGAAAGAGAAAGATGTTGGCTCATCTTTTTTCTTCTGCTCTTTTCTCTCCTTTGTTTTTCAACAAAATTCTCATTGGGCAGAACGGCGTTCTCCCCGATTTCCTCTTGCCAGGACAGGACTTGGCCATGAAGAGAGGAGGGATGCAGTAGCGGCATCATGTTTTCATCTCAACGATCGATACCCAGGGGACATTCAAAAAGGGAGGGGAATTTTAACAAAAAAAAAAGAAAAGAGGGCAAGGGCGGCAAAATGGGCAGCATTTATTTGGGAGTTCAACACGCTCCTGTGGAGCTTGGTCAGGTTAGGATTCTGAATGACGATCATGTCATGTCAAATGGACGGATGGAGGCCAGCCTCGCTTCAACAGAGGCCGCACCCCGTCGAAGAGAGATAGGAGCGTAGCGGAGAGGAATTGAAAGTCATGGTGTGAGGTGTAACGACAGCAGCAGGGTTAGACAAGAAAAACCCAGACTGAGGATGGACGAAAAGTCTGCCAAAGTAGAAGACGATGCGCAGGGAGAAATCACTTGCGAAATGATCGCTACAGGTAGAGGAACGATATTGCCAAACCCTCACGCAATTGATCAGCCCTAGCTCATTGGATATCGAACTTCATGCTAAAACACCTCGGCTGTTGATATGATTCGCCTATGCTAAACTGTGAGGTCTACAGTCAGTCCCTATTCGACAAACACGCCATAACGATGTTATATTATGAGGACCCAGCGTCAGAGATCCTCTTTCTGCTCTGTGTTTCCCTTTTCAAGCGTGATCACCATTGCTTTTCCGCCGTCTCTCCACCGTTTTCCCCCTAAACGCCGGTATGCAGAGAAGAATCAGAGAAAGAACATTGAATAAAGTGCTACGCTATGCTTGGTTGTATTAGACAGCCCTTCCATGTAGGGAGAGAGAGAGAGAGAGAGAAAGAAGATAAAGCCCCTATTGAATAATTGACCGAGCCGGTTTGCCGTCACCCAGCAAGTCGTCCATCCTATGAATGACCCTCCCCCCCCCCCCCCCTTCGGGTGGCCCCTCCCCACTGCCATGCCACGCCACAGCAGCTTTATCACAACGACATCTCGCTGCTAGCTCCTGTAGCCTCCAGTCCACTCTCAACTCACAAATCCGACACCGCATTCACCAAGAATCGCACGATCGCGAGTTTCCAAGTGTCCAATAACTTAAGACCCGACGAAAGAGATCCAAAGAAAACCATCGCACGACGTCAGACTACAACCAACGCCATGAAATCAGCGAGACCGGTGGTCGCCCTACTCGACATCCCACTCGTTCTCGCCCGCAACATCGTAGTCCATCTCGGCGCCCACAGCCTCCTGCTGGGCCTGGCCGCCGCTACCTCCCTGGTGAGCAGTGGCGCCGGCACTGGGGTCCGTCGCGGTCGCGTCGAGGCCGTCGTCAGCCGAGGCGGCACCATTGGCAGCCGCGGCAGAGGAAGAAGAGGAGAAGTCGACCTTGTGGGTGGAGCTGCCGGGTAAGGGCCCAGCAGTGTTGGAAACCCAAGAGACCTGGACCTCTTCGCCTTCGCCCTCGGACAGGCCGGGCACGGCCTTGGTATTGACGCTGTGGTAGAAATTTTCCGCGGCCTTGCGATCGTTGAAGCTGATGTGTGTTACTGCTGGGGTGACTTGGATTTCGGCGGCGAACTCCCCAAGGCTCTGTGTAATGGAAGAAGAAAGGAAGATTGGTGTCAGTACATGAGATCCTCACGGCAAAATAATCGAAATGATTAGGAAAAAGGGGTGCTTACGAAGAGGTGTTGTCTCAGCGCCTCATCCTTTTCAGGCACTGAGAGATCTACACCAGCCAGCGCAACCTTTTTGGGCCGGTTATCCAGTGAGAATGCTGCATAGGCCGCGTGGAGATTGCCCCTGCCACCACGACCACCTCTGTATGATGCCCGCGGCGTGTAGCTCGCGCGACCCTTGTAGAAACCGCCTCTGCCATGAGGGGCATATCCTGCATACGTCGACACCGAAGCATCGTCCTCCAGCTGCGCATCAGGGTCCAGACCGAACACCTTGGCCTCCTCCTGCAGTTTCGCCAGTGTTGCTCGGAGGGCCTCGGTCTGCGTAGAAGATGGCTTCAAGCCCTCGGTGCCTTCATCTTTGACAACGGCTGCTGCTGAAGCCGGCGAGTCCTTCTGTGCACCACCTAGCTTGGCCAGGAGGCGTTGCTTCTCTGCCATTTGCTTCGCCTGCAACTCCTTCTGTTTCTTTTCGAGTTCTGCACGCTGCTTGTCGAGCTCCAGCTTCTGGCGCTGCTTCTCCTCGTGGATCTTCTGCGCCTCTTCCTGTTTCCGCGTGAACTCTTCCATGTCAAACCCTTCCTCCTGGTCATCGCCTGCTGATGCGCCAGCTCCTCCCTCTGTCGCCGCTGTGCCGTTCTCCATCCCGTTCGCGCCAGCCTTCCCGTTCCCAGCGAGCTTGTCGTCTTTGTACCAGAACACCTTGACGAATCGGTTGCCGAAGATGGCCTTGGGGGATTTGTATGCCGCATTGGCCGAGTCCCATTTCTCAAACTTGACGGTAGCGAGTCGCTTGTAAGGCATCATTGTGACCTCCTCGATGTTTCCAAACTGCGAAAAGAATTCGCGGACCTGGGCCTCGTCAAAATTCTCCTCAGGTATGCTCTCAACCACCACCTTTGTCTTGGTCCTGTCTTGGACAGGACCGACCACTGAGAATGGGGCGCGTGGTACACCGTTATTGCGCTGCTGCTGACCACGGCGGTTGTCTTTGCGCTGAGGAGTGAAGTTTTTGTTCTGCTGGGCCGAGGGAATGTTGGGCAACTGCGGAGGTAACATCATCATAGAGTTGTTGTTTGGATCATGTTCTGTTTATTGCGTTAGACCTGGTGCGCCAAAAAGAAAGCATCTTGTTAAGTGCTTGAAGCAACGGATGAAAGCCTCAAAGGGAATTCAGACACCAAAAAGACATAGCCCGGGAAGTGAGAGAGGCTCAAAGCTGGACCAGTGGTACACAGGAGAATGGACGTGAACTGACCTTCTTTGGGAAGCTGTATCTGCCCTGATTTCTGCGGTGTGGGCAGAGTATACATGGCCTCGCTGCCGTTGCTGTGCTCATACAAGCAGTTCTGACCCCTCGCGCAGTAGCCCTTTGTGTCGTAGTCGCGACACCGTCCTCTCCTCTTCTGCGGTCCTGGCCTCTGTGCCGAGAAGCCCTGCTGCTGCTGGCCGTAGTCCGAAAAGGGAGCCATCTGCATCTGGAGCTGCTGCTGGAGCTGCTGGAGCTGCCGCAGGGCCTCCATGGGGTTAGTCGGATCGAAGCCGGGCATCGGGGCGGCAGGGCCTGGAGGCACGAAGGGCGGCGGCGCATTCTGTCCTGGCGCGCCGGGGTACCCATACTGCGGTTGTTGTACCGGCCGGGGCCTGTCCGGGTCGACGTAGCCCCTGCGCCCACCGCGGCGTGGCTGTTTGATCGGGCGGCTGCCTCCCTGGAACTGGTCTCGTCCATTTGGCGCATCCAAGTCGCCACGGTCCTGGAAGCCACGCTTACGCGAGCCAGCTGCTGGACCGGTCGGGAAGGGCGACTGGCCGGGCGGCGTAAGCCCAAGAGAGGGTTGAGGAGTGGCGGTGGCGGAGGTAAGAGCTGGTTGCGACTTGGGAGGGGGAGGAGGTGCGCCGGGGATGTAGGACTTGTATTTGATTGTCTCGATCAGGTCGTTTGCGAACAACTTCGTATCTATGTTTGGAGAGTCTCAGCCCTGCATTTGAGCGCTCGAACAGCAACGACGCATCCTACCTTCCTTGAGAAAGGGGGTGATCTCTTCCTCGAAGACTTCCTGGATATTCGCACCGTCGTTCGCGTTGTGCAAGAGGGCAAGGACATAATCGGCGAGAACATCAGCATCGGCATCCGAGCTGTGAGAGATTCCAAAGTCAGCGACACATTCGTGGAGAGTGAGGTGTGGTGGGAGGCGCAGAGGCGCAACACACGTATTCTCGAGACGCTTGACGATCCAGTCCTTCAGCACTGGCGAGTCCTCCTCGGGAAACAGCATCTTTCCCACTGCTGTAGGTAAATGTTGGCATTAATGAGGATGATAGCAAAGAGAACAAGTAAAGTGTCAGCGCAAAGTTCTCAGTTGAAGACGCGACCGCCTTTGTAGGTGTGCAGGTGTGTTTCAAGCAAGTACGCTTTGGGGGATTTGAGATGGATAAATACAGTAGCACATCACTCGTCTCTGCCTACGCGTTGACAAAAAAGATGGGCTCAAGCGACGGGGCCAGAGCCGGGGCCAAGGGTAGGCTAACAAGCTTAGTGCTAAGATTGAGTTGCTGGCACCAAAGGAACCTAGAGTGCCTAGACATGGGAGAGAGGAGGGTTAGGGGTGTAGGGGATCTGTAGAATTAGAGGACAAGCAGCTTTAGCTTCCGTTGTGTCCTGCGTTAACACATTTGACTTACCTCCAGCAAAATTGCAATATTATATTCTCCTGAGCGATCTCCAGATATAATCAAATTTGCTGCTCCTTTTGTTTATTCACATGAGATCTCAGTAGTGGATTGTCGGAACCTGTCTCTAGTATTAGCCTTTCATCTTTTATGATTTGCCTGCTAGACTGACCATAATTGACATACTCTCTACGGAGCATGCGAGTATCCGCTTCATGTCAGTGGATCTATATCACACAGAACCTTTTCTAATACTTACACGCTCAGTTTATAATGGAACACCCCCCCCCCCTCGAAAAAAAATAAAGGAAGTGAAAAGAGGAAGGAGAAGAACGGGATCAAACAGCCAGAAAATAGATATTCGTTCCCAATACACAGTTCGACGACCCACGACTCTCTCCGTTCTAGGGTGCAGGGGCCGAATGCGTCGACTATCAACATTAGTCTTTCCCTCCAGAGACGTACAAGCATATCCAATATCGAGAGTAGCAAACAATGCCAAAGAAACACCGACATATACGGATTTTGCGTGCTCTGGGCACTCCTCCCCATACCTACCTAATTCACTTGGCTTCCGCCCACTCCTAGCTGCTCTCGATACTACAACCCCTGGCCTTGTTTAGGAGGTACATGAAGGTATTCTGACTTCGGAGGAACCTCCGGAGCACGTCTCCTCTTCTTGACGATGGCCCAAAGCCTTAAGCCGCTGATAAGACTCACAATAAACCCTATCCCAAAACCAAGGCCGAGACCTAGTTTCTGGCTAGAAGTTATTAGGCGGGCACCTCCGGATGGGCCGCGCTGGTCGCGCCGGTCGGGCTCGGCACTGCCCCTGTGTTGGACATTGTTGGTACCACAGTAGTCATCTCGGTACATGTGCAACTGTCGAGGGCACTTGAACTAGTTCCAGAGGTGCTGGTTGTGGAGGTAGACGTTTCGCTCGTTGGCTCCGAAATGGACGAAGATGACACTTCTATCTTCGTCACAACAGTGGTCTCAGTAGTTGTCGAAATACTCAGTGCATTAGAGGCACCGCTGGTATTTGCCGGATACGTCGTGCTGGGCAGAGCCGATGGGGTCATGGGCCCAAAGTAAGACGATGCCAGCTGAGATAGAGTCGCCTCTACGGCGCCTTGGACGGCAGCACAGATCTCCGGAGGTGATGTCTAAATCGGAGTCAGTGCCTAGGATCTTCCTACTACCCGAGTGCGAGTTCTCCAGTGTGGCTTCAAGACTCACATCAGACGAGGCCCCGGCACATATTGCGATCAGCGCAATCATGTTCGCCGTGTCTGCCATCTGAATGGCTGTTGGACAGCTGGTTGGCTTCGTCTGCAATCTTCCAAGACAGTATGCTGAACGTGCCAAAGAGTATCGCGGTCACCGCTCTGAGAACCTGGAGGACCCAGATCAGAATTGCCTCAGGCAAGCTGGCCTCAGTCCCGCTGCTGTTCATAATTGTATGCCTTGGTAGAAATTTGTATTTTCCTGGAGCCTAGGAGGCGGGTCCCATAGCTTGTGATTAATTTGGTATCGGATGTCTATGAACACACGCTTTTTTCCTTAGGAAGAGTCCTCAATGATGTTATGGACAGTCTCTTTTGGGAAAATGGTTTTGCAAGGTCAGCCTTTTGTCTTTTTGTTCCTCATTGCGTATTTATCCATCCCTCACTAGCTTCGCCCCCGTGCTCAGCCTCGGGCTTTATATTATAGTAGCTGCGGGCCTGGTCCTTCAGCCCCTTACCTTCAGGCGAAGCCCTGAATTTCACTCAGATCGTGTGCTTTATTTCTTGAAGATTGCTTCTTCTTCTCCGCTTCATGTGGTTCTTTTCTGGCAACGCAATGTTGTCTGGTATACCCGAGTACATGTGCACAGATATACATCCAAGAAAGATGATCTTAACGGAAGTTCTGAGGGGCAAAGGACATTTGATCAGGACTTTTGAGACAAACATGAGAGGCCTCATCGATACAGACAGGAGGCTGCCATTACAAAGAGGCACATTTTTGTTGAACAAAATCAAATTAAATTCCCCAGTGTGACTACAAGCGTGTAAAGTTGGACATTCGTGGTGTATCCCGGTGCTTGTTTTCTCGACATCCACTCGCTCTTCACATCCCCAATTTCTCGTCGTTTTGATATCGTAGATTGCTTTTCCGGCTTTTGGGTAAGCGAGCAAGATGCTTGCCGAAGAAAACACATTCTATGAAATGCGCCATGTAAGGCGGCGGGAAAGGTCTATGAGCATCGATGAGAGGCGTTTACAGCTTGTCGTAATACTGCAAGGAAGATGTCAGTGACAAGTTTTGTAAATCAATCAGGCATCACATGGAAACTTACGTTCTCAACACCGGGCACCTCAACCTTGATAGCCTTGCGCTTACGCATCTCCTGCACAAGCGTACCGACCTTGGAAGTAGGGTCGAGGGGCGAGCCACCGGGCAGCAGCTGCCAGTGGTCGAACACGGACTGGGGGAAGGCCTGGCCAGAGGTGGCGGCACGCAGATCGCCGTTGAAGCCGAAAGACTCCATGACGGGCAGGTAGGACTTGATGGTGAACAGAGGAGTACCGGGGCGCTGCTCCTCGCCGAAGACGTGACCACGTCTCCGAGTGAGGACACCGTAGACACCGCCCATAGCCTGCTCGGGCACCTGGATCTCGCACAGGAACACAGGCTCCTGGAGAGCCGGCTCGGCAAGCAGGGCAGCCGCGTACAGGACACGGCGGGCAGTGGGGATGAGCTGACCACCGCCACGGTGGATAGCATCGGCGTGCAGGGTCACATCGAGGATGTTCCAGCGCACGGAACGCATGGGCTCCTCAGCGACAGGACCCTCACGGGTAGCCCACTGGAAACCAGAGACAACAGAGTCCTTGATTTCGTTGAGGTACTGGACGGCCTTTGTCTGGTCGACGAGCAGGTTGGCACCGGTGGTGTCGGGGCCGAAGGTCCAGATCTTTCGGGCATCGGTGACATCCCAGCCGAAGTCATCAGCGAGGACACGGGCACGGGCCTTGAAATCGTCACGGGGGGTGACCTTGCCATTCTCAATGGCCAGGGAGAGCTCCTCATCCAGAGGCTCGGCAACCATGTACAGACGGTTGTGCTTGTTGGGGGACTTGGAGAGCGCAGTCATGCTGGACTTGGCACCAACGGTCTCACGGTACTGGACGACAGGGTCGGAGATGATGAGAGGAACACCAGCGTGGTCGTGCTCCAGGTCGTTCAGGCAAATCTCCAGGTGGAGCTCACCAGCACCAGCAACGATGTGCTCACCAGAGGGGGAGGTGGTAGTCAGGACACAAGGGTCAGACTTGGAGAGACGCTTGAGACCCTCAACCAGCTTGGGAAGATCTTGGGCGTTCTTAACCTGGACGGAGCGCTGCACGACGGGCGAGACGGAGAACTTCATAACCTTGAGGTTGTGGGCCGCCTTATCGGTGGTGATGGTACCCGACTTGAGCAGGAACTGGTCAATACCGACCAGACCAACAATGTTACCGGCGGGGATGTCGTCGATGGCCTCAACCTTGCCACCCATCATGAGGACGACACGCTGGATAGCCTTCTCGTGGAGGTCCTCCTTCTTGCCAGGGACGTAGTTGGGGCCCTGAATGCGGACCTTGACACCAGACTTGACGGTACCGGAGAAGACACGGCCGAAGGCGTAGAAACGGCCCTTATCGGAGGTGGGCACCATCTTGGACACGTAGAGCATGAGGTCCGCCTTCTCGGGGTCAGACTCACAGTCACGGATGGAGGCGAAGATCTTGTCGTCCTGAGGACCCTCATACAGGGTCTCGGCACGGTACTTCTGAGCGGTCTTGGGGGAAGGCAGGTGCAGGATCATCATCTCCAGAAGAGAGTCGGCAGCGGGCAGGAAAGTCCGCATGACAGCCTTAAGCAGCTGCTTGCCCTCCTTGTCACGGTCCTCGGGAGCCAGCTTGAGCTCGAGCTTGCCGAGGAGGGTGGCGACCTCGTCCTTCTTGAAGTTCATGACGGCAGAGAAGATCTTGAAGATGGGGTCCAGGATGAACTGGTTGAAGGCACGCTCGAGCTGCTGGCCCTCGTAGGTACCGTTCTTGGTCCACTTCTTGGTCTTGGGGTTGAAGTAATTGTCGCCCCAGAGACGCTCCATCATCTTGTTGCGGTCGACACCGAACTTCTTGGCGTAACGGACGGCGAACTGACGGATGGTGAAGGCCCAGCCGTGCAGACCGGAACCGAAAGCAACGGTGCCCTTGTCAGGGTAGACCTGGACATCACCGAGGCTCTTGTCGAAGTAGGTGGAAATGACGACGTTGACCGACTCGATGGTACGGGAGAAGGACTGGTACAGATCCTCCTTGGAGACCTGCAGCTCGAGCAGAGCACGGTCGACCTTGTTGATGACAACAACAGGCTTGATACGCTCACCGAGAGCCTGGCGGAGCACAGTCTCGGTCTGCACGCACACACCCTCGACGGTGTCGACGACTGACACATAGGGTTAGTATATGGAGTGGATCTGAGGAGTTGCACGAGATTTATGCTCACCAACGAGGGCTCCGTCAGTAACACGGAGAGCAGCAGTGACCTCAGAAGAGAAATCAACGTGACCGGGTGAGTCGATCAGGTTAATCAGGAAGTCGGTGCCATCCGACTCCTGGCCCTTGATGTCCTTGAGATCCTCGCCTTCGGGAAGAGTAGCGTACAGGGAGATGGCAGTCGACTTGATCGTGATACCACCTATATTTTTCAATCGTCGTCAGTATACTATTCTGCCTTACACCGATTATATTACCGGGGGAAATTGGTGGACGTACGCTCCTGCTCGTCGGCACGAGTATCGGTAGCGCGGGCATCGCCAGCCTTTCCGGTGGAAATGATACCAGCCTTGGCCAGAAGGGAGTCCGTCAGGGTAGATTTGCCGTGATCGACATGAGCAATAACACTCATGTTACGAACATTGGACGGCTTCTTCATGAGACCGTGGATCTCATCGACCGTGAAACTGCGGAGGGTGTCTAAGTTAGCAAAGCGTCATCCTCCAGATCGGTCGGTGTTATTAGATCTCCATGGAAGAGGATGTTGGCGGAGGAGAGGTGTTTATCATGGTGTATGCAAGGTTTGGAGTCTGTAGAAGATTCTCTCCAGATCGAATGTTTGAACGGGTGAAGGCCGGGGAATCAGCAGAGACGGCGATGGCTGGAACTTACTTGACCATTTTGATTGTTTTGAGGTAAAAACCTGTCTAAATGAAATCGGGTCTTGCTTGTAGGAGGTATTGGGTTGGTGCCTCGAGAACGGCACAGCAAGGTTTTGAGTTGGCGGCGACAGGAAAATTCGCACGCTGGGCAGACTCGAAACTCGGGAGTATAGTCTGCGGGTCTGGGAGAAGAAAAAAAGACTGCGCGCGGGGTTGATTAGCTCTTATGTTACTCTTGAGCGGTGGCTCAACTCTCGGCGAGTGAGTCAAGGACTGAGTGAAAAGTGAGCCAAGGGGAGTGAAAGGGATGCGATATTCTAATGCTCAATGGAAGATGAGAGAGTTGGGACAAGTTACGTACAATGTTTCGCCGTCAAGGCTTGCGCTGGCGAGAGAAGGAAGCGTCGGGAGGGAGGAAATGGAAAAGGCGGTTTGGAGGGGGAGAAACAAAAGAAAGTGCGTTCCAAGGTTGCCCCGCACCCAGCAAGAGATTTTGTAATCCAATCCCGGCCAGACTTGCAGTGGCGGGTCCTGAAAATAGTGGGGACTCGAGTAAAGTAGGTCGACACTTCACTTGCAAGCCTTGTTGGGGAGTGAGTGCATGGGCACTGATACCACCCACCGCTCTTACTCGACTCTCAGGGTTGGCCCTAAACGCCCTTGCATTTGCCCCTCCATTAGCCGGGAAGCCTGTTGCTGTGGTACTTGTCGATGGGCTCCAAGGCTCAAGCATATGCTACACAGTACATTGCACTCAGATGAACGTCTATCGCCCAACCAAATACGACCGCATCCGGTAGTCTTCTCCATGTCCACCAGACGACAGCTTCGACTCCATATTGTTGCTGTACTATGTCCTATGGGGACCCGGAGATCCGTTGCTGTTTTCTCTCTCAACTCCGGTACCTGGGCAGAGATGACCACCATATCTCGCATTTTCAAACGCCGTTTCATCGACGTATGTAAACCATTTTGAAGGTAAAATTTCACAATGATTAAAGGAAAAATCTCTGATCTGCAGGAAACTCGCCAAGATCCTATTGAGAAAGCTGGGACTGCGCGTGTGCGTCTAGCTGCATAATACATGGGCCGCCTGAGATCAGATGGAAGAGTCGTGTTGCAGCCATCATGATGCCTTCGAATATCCTCCCACTTGGCGGGTATTAACAAGCTACTCATATGGGAGAAGCTGTTATAGGAAAATCAAGTCACCGTAACTTTTCCGACCGCCATGGGAGATGTCCTTCTTCTGAGTATTCTCTCTTTGATTCCATCTTGACGTAGCACAAGTAAATTTCTTGTCCAACATATGCTAGCAGGTGGCTGGTCAACGGTTCGTGGTTTTTGTTTTCTTCTTTTTTTTTCTCTTTTCCTGCCTTTCCCGCTGTTACTTTTCGAGACGAGGGGCGTGCGGCACAGCAACAAGTACGTACCATAGTATACAGAGCTTGAAAATGGCCAGAGCTTCTGGCTCGAGCTCGGACCTAGTGGGGTGGGTCTAGCGAGACAGACCAATTGCGTGGCTGCCGTTTTGCCGCGCCGAACATTTTCTTTCGCAGACGTCAGGTCAAACACCCTTCGACCCGTGCGTCTAAGTTGCACAGCATCTCGTCTCTGGATTTCTGGAGGGAGCTGCGGCAGCTTGACAATGGCGACAGCAAGCAGGAGTCTGACACCCGGTGGCGCGCTTCTCCGGGCGTCACGCATGTTCTCTCTGCCCTCAGCAATCCCATCACCTCCTGGCGACTACCAAGCCGCGACCAGCTACAACTCCGACACCGCGACCGCCGCCTACCCAACTCTACAGACAGTCACGGCCCCGGAAAGCTTCAGACAACGCGGAGACTGGGGCTTCAAAAGAAACTTTCCCCTAAGGTCGACTGCCAAGACCAGCACGCCATACCTTCGTGTCAAGCAGGTCGACTCGCTGGAACATGTCACCGACTTCACCTCGGCGGCGGACCACACATTGTCCTTGGAGAAGTGGCAGGAGATGAACATAGCCGTATCACTCCCACACAATGCGAAAGCAGAGGGCGTAAGCCTACTGACGAAGATGGATGACGCGCTGGAATCGGTGTTTGAAGACAAGCACGATTTCACTGCAATCGACGATGCTGAAAAGATCAATGAGGCCGGACACAAACGTTGGAAGTTTAAAGGCCCCTGGCTTGCCAACCTGACCGAGGGCGAATTCCAGACATACCTGAAGAGGGAGGTCCGCGGAAGGAGGGCAGAGTTCCGCCAGTTCTTGCGCCAGCAAATTGCGCCTGACCTGACCAAGAAAGCGAAGCAGCGCGCCATGGATGAGGGACTCGATCGGGAGATCCCCGATGTGCGACCTGAAGAAGTCACGGATGAGCAGGTTCTCGACTTTCTCCGCGAGGTCCGTGAGTATCGCCAAGTGCTCTACGACCTTGTTGGAAAATTTCTCGACCTTGCGCCCCTCGAGCCACCCTACGCGGCAGACCACTTGGGCGCTCTGGCACCGGGTCAGACGAAGCAGATTTCAAGGCCAAATCCATACGCCAGAGATGGGCCACCAGCAACCCACCCGTCTGCTGGCCTGTCATATCTACGGAGCAACGCATACCTCGAGAACCACCCTGTGTACGGGCCGCAGCAGAAGCACAAGCCCGTCAAGGCCAGAATCATGCACCTTGGAACGGGCCAGAACGCAAGTGTTGGAGTTGGTGGCTTTGTCTCGGCATCTCCCCTTGCCAGAACAGCGTTCATGAATAAGAATGAAAGGCTCGACTTCAAGCAGGCTGGCGGGTCCAAGCTCTGGGTCAACATCGTGTCCGCCCAGGTCAATTCGGACGGTCGGGCTGTTGTGAATATCGAAGAGGCTGAGCGACAGTCTAAGATGGTGCAGGAGGAGATGCAGGGAGAAAGGCAATTGTACCACCAGGCAGTAGAAAACCCGGTAGAAGAGGCCATGCAGCTCAGAGTCCCGAGATCATCGAAGTCGCTGCGTGGGAAGGCTACCTGGAAGAGCAGCAGCTCAAGTACTTATGGCTTAGATTGGGCGGATGAACCGCGAAAATCGAAGTGATGAAGATCAAGTGGAAGGGTTTAGGCTTGAAGACAACCGTGGGCTGCTCTGATTTGTTCGAAACCACGAGCGAGACACGAGCACAAAGATTCTCACCTGTACAAGAATTTAGAACTAAAATGGAATACATGTATCATTGATGGACAACTCGAGTTCTGTCAATTCGACACCCTGAAGTTCTCTTACCAGCACGTACACCCATCTACTATGTATTGCCGTAGTACAGTACATTACGGATGGAGCTAATGTCTCGACTCCTAGGCCAAAACCCAGGGCGGCAACACTGCACTATCACCTGATGAAGGTCACGTGCATCTTTGCCCTCGCGCACGGACCGTCAGTGGACCCACCCGCCGTAGCAGGACCGAACTTTGAACTTAGCATTTGGACTACCGAAGATTTTTGACAATCAACGCTCAACACGACAACTCACCCAAGTCTCCTTCCCTCGAAAACCTCCCAAAACCCCCTCACAACACCGTCAAAATGGGTCGCGTTCGTACCAAGACCGTTAAGAAGTCCGCCAAGGTCATCATTGAGCGGTACTACCCCAAGCTCACCCTGGACTTCGAGACCAACAAGAGGATCTGCGATGAGATTGCCATCATTGCTTCCAAGCGTCTGCGCAACAAGGTGCGTTTCGAACGACGTTATTTGGGGACATGGAGAAGCGACCTTCGGTTGCTAAGTTTTGGTGAGGTGATGGGGAATTGACAAAATTTTGACAACAGATTGCCGGCTACACCACCCACTTGATGAAGCGTATCCAGCAGGGTCCCGTCCGTGGTATCTCCTTCAAGCTGCAGGAGGAGGAGCGTGAGCGCAAGGATCAGTACGTTCCTGAGGTCTCTGCTCTCGACTTCACCCAGACCACCGAGTCTGGCCAGCTTGAGGTCGACCAGGACACCAAGGCTCTGCTCAAGCACCTTGGTGTAAGTCTTTTCGCCCCCCCCCCCCCCCCACCACAAGAAGTCTGAGAGTGATGTGGGAAACTGACACGATTTCTTCTTATTTGAACAGTTTGACTCCGTCCCCGTCACCGTCAACCAGGTTCACCAGGCCCAGCCTCAGGAGCGTGGTGGCCGCCGCTTCGGCGACCGTCCTCCCCGTCGCGACTAAGCGCTCTCGACGATATCGACCCGGACACGACTCGTGCGGCGGTGTTGAGGATAACTACAAGAAAAAGTCTACAAAATGCATGAGGGAATTTGATACGGATACCAGGCTTGGTTTTGGGAAATATAGGGTTGTGGCGTCTCTGGCGTCTGCGGCATATCTACTGCTGCCAACATGGAAGGTAGTGAGCTTTACCAGCTAGATCCAATGCAGATCTCGTGCTCCTACAAGGTGTCGCTGATTCTCTTGGGTAATTCCGGAGAAGATGCTTGATTGCCAGTTTTCTTCCACTGCTGCGACTAGGTGCTCTTGTTTGCGTGTGTTGTGCCTGAGGGCCACCCGCCCACGGACTCCACCTACTGACCTTGATCCTCTTGACGCACGTCTGTCTTCACGACGGATTTGCCTTGCTGAATGAATGTCTCTCCATCCTGACCTGTATTTCGCCTGAATGGGTATCGTAAAAGTCAATCATGACTCCAGGAATTCTTTTGAAAACCGCAGGGCTTTGTGTCCGTATGCCTCCTTTCAGGAACCCTTCTCGAGGGCAGGGCCACCTTCGGCCTCGGAGCCAAATCTTGACTTGTAGCCTTCAATGGTGTTGTCAGCAAGGGATGGAGCCTCCGGCTCAGTGGTCACCTTCTTTTCGCGGACAACAATGTCCACGGAACGACCGGGCGCCTCCTCGGCACCATCACCTCTCTCGAGTGCCAGTGCGGCGGCATGCTTCGCAATCTTGCGATCTTGGTCGAGCTGTAGTCTGGCCATCTCAGTTGCCAGTCTCTGAGGCTCACCCTCGCTGTCTCTCTGGGCATGGCTGCTTCCCGAACCACTCTTGTCCTTCTGCTCTTCAGGGTAAAGTTCAACCCTCAACTCTGGTAAACCTACTCTTTCCCAGGCGGCCGTCTCGTTGAGCTGCACCTTCACCCAAAGTGCCCTCCGCGTACACTCTGTGCTACACCACTTCTCCAGCTCCTTCGTCTCGACAATATCAAAATCTTTTCTGCCCTTGTTCACCATCTTGTACGTCCCGGCACCCTTGTACCTGCGGCGCTGGTTCGGACACAGAGTGTAACCACACTTATTTTCGTTTAAGTTTCGCTCCGTAATCAGGTCGTCGTAGTCGGACGGCTGGAAAATACGGACAAGCGAAAGGAAAGTCTCGATGTCGGCCGGGTGCGGAGACGAGGCCTGGTGGGATGGGTGCAGGGGTAGATCGAGCAGGGTCAGGATGTGATTGAAGATGAGCGCTTCGATGTCCTTTCGGTCTTGGAGGAGGCGCGCATGATGAAGAGCTATCGCGCGCGGATCAGACGGGGTTGATGAGGCCGGCTCTTGACTCTTATCCCCTGCAGTAGTCTTGGGCTTCTTGAGGATGCCCTTGACGGGCTTTGGTGTTCTGGAGGCCATCGTGATGTGGCGGGAGGAGGAAGGCGGGGTTCGCTGTTGCGGCTAAGAACGGCGAGATTCAGTAGACACTTTGTAGTCTGCAGGGTAGCACTGCTCTCAACAGTCAATACAAAGGACCACAGCTTCGCCCAGAGTTTGATATTTTCCGTGTTCGTCCGCAAAGCTGAAAAGAAGAAAGAAACACCCCTCAAGCGTGGAACCGAGACGAAGCAGTAAATTTGTGGTGCACTGATTTTGGTATCGTGGTCGCGCGTCTTGCAGACGTCAATGGTGGGGCTCGTAGGCTGTTTTCATGCGCAGCGTTCAGCCACAGTATCAGATATGCCTAGGAGGCTAATGCACAGTCCACTTCCTCCCCTCCGGTTTGCCCTCCACCGTAGCCGCCTCAACCATTCCAAGACACAAGGTCCTTACCAACACCGTCCTGTCGACTGCAGAGTCAAGGGCGCCTGTCTTGTGTGTTTTGAATGAGTTGAATAAACCTCAAGAGGACGGTGGCAGCTGATTACTCGACCTGTGTCGACGACATCATCAGGTCACCCCCTACGCTCCGCCTTTTCCACCCGCCTCCACTCGTCGGCCTCAGCACGAAGGCGCGCAATCAAACACCTCTTATATTCCTGCCCACCAGATGACTCCTCGAGAAACGCAGCCATACACATAGACACGCACACAAGAAGACGGAGAGAGAGAGAGAGAGAGGGAGTCGGAGAGTCGGAGATCTAGAGAGCGTTCAAACTGATTTCTGCTACGGCTAATGGTATGTTTGGTCCTTTTGCATTCCATGAGTTTGTATTGAGTCTTCCTACGCATGATCGCAAGAAATGGTTTCGGTTTCTCTCATGGGAGTGCTCGTGGTGTCATAGTAGTCACAGTACACAAGACGGGACGTCGCCGAGTGTGATTGGAATGGCTTGAATGTTGCGCCTCTGATCTTTTGGTTAATGCGCTGACGTCGGCTCTAGCTTCGTCCGCAACGTCCCGCAGCGCCGTCCCGCCTGAAATCTGCCTGAAGCTCCTGACCGATCGGCCCAGGCAGCGTCATCGTGGTTTCCTTTCTTCCGCAGCGACCAAGCTTACGGGTTGCTCACCACCAAGTTTCAGCCTTGTTACCCGCATCTGCTTTGCCGTCACCAAACTTCTCCCCTTCAACTAGCATTATCGTCGTAGACCTCCGTCCTCCGACCTGCTTGCCTGCATCATACAAACCTCGCCTGTCGCTTGTCGCCTTTCGCATCTGCAACTTCGACTGCAGCTGCTTCCGGCGTGTGCCCCTAAACCAGGGTCACATTAGACTTAAACATCTCGAAGAGCGACAGCGCCACCCCCTCGCATCGCCCTAGCTTGGCCCCAGGGCGCAGCATTATGTCCTTCAAGGTCAAAGCTATCTACGAGTACGCCTCGCCCCACGAGGACGACCTTCAATTCGGTGTCGGTCAAGTCATAACGGTCACAGACGAGGAGGACGCAGACTGGTATACCGGCGAGTACGTCGACGAGTCTGGCGCAAAGCAGGAGGGGATTTTCCCTCGGAACTTTGTCGAGAAGTATGAGCCTGTAGCTCCGCCGCGTCCAACCAGAGCGCGGCCAAAGAAGGAACACGAGCCAGCTCCAGAGGAGGCTGCCGCTGTTCATGATGCGCCTGCCTCACCTCCGGCGCGCACTCCGGCGGGTGACGTCGAGGAGGTGAAGCCCAACTCGCCACCCCCTCCTCCAGTTGCCGAGCCCATAGCTCCGACTTCTCCTCCTGCGCCGAAACCAGCCGAGCCCGAGCTTCCGTCCTCACCACGTCGAGCACCTGCGCCCGTCCTCGCCCAGTCTCCTCCACAAGCAGCACCCGTCAAGCGTGGGCCGCCTCCTGTCTCGGAGAAGCCGGCCAGCAGCTCCTTCAAGGACCGCATTGCTGCTTTCAACAAACCCGCCGCCCCGCCGATTGCGCCGTTCAAACCGAGTGGTCTTGGTGGCGCAGGAGGCAGCTCTTCGTTCATCAAGAAACCTTTTGTTGCTCCACCTCCCAAGGGCAATACCTACGTCCCTACACAGCGCAATGCTCCCATTGCTCCTGTGTACCGTCGAGAGGAGGACCCCGAGATCAGGGAAAGGGAGGCCGAAAATGTCGAAAATGCGCAAAAAGCAGGACTGCTGCCGTCGGAAACGAAGGAGGGCGAGGAGGACCAGCCCAAGCCGATGAGTCTGAAGGAGCGCATGGCCCTTCTTCAGAAACAACAGCAAGAGCAAGCGCAGAGGCATGCAGAAGCTGCCGCCAAGAAGGAGAAGCCGAAGCGCCCTGCCAAGCCGAGAATGCCCAGCCATGAACCCGCCGCCGAGGGTGCTGAAGAGGAGCTCGCTCCTCCTGCGCCTTTGTTGGAGCGCAGGGACACCGGCGAGACTGGCGGTAGACGGTCGCTCGAAGAAGGCCATCATCCTCCCAGGGTGCCTGCTGCACCCCGTCGCAAGCCCTCTAGAGACCCAGAGCCCAGAGATGGGAACGAAGCAGATCTGTCCGGTGCGGGCGAGACGACAGAGGACCAAGAAGAGCTCACGGAACGCGATGACAGCGACGAGAAGCCACGACGCCCATCCCGAGTGTCGATACCTGCACAGCCCGCTGCGGTTGCAGAAGAAGAGGAAGCCGAAGAGGAAGAGGCGGGTGAGAAGGAGAAGGAGGGAGAGGACGACGAGGATGAGGAGGATGACGATGACGACGACGATGACGACGAAGAAGCCAAAGAATTCCGTCGTAAGGAGGAGCTCCGTGCGCGCATGGCTCGACTCGGAGGAGGCATGGGGATGCCTGGCATGTTTGGCATGCCCATGCCTGGAGCTGCTCCGTCTCTGCCGCCCAAGAAGAAGAAGGCCTCTTCCTCTGAGAAGCGCACGAGTGAGGAATCTCATGATTTGCCTTCTCCACGCGCTGCTCCTCCGGTTCCTATGATGATGCCCTTGCCTGGTATGGGTCGTCCCAAGCAGCCAGAGGAAGAGTCAGCAGCTGCGGATGAAGAGGCAGCTGAAGACGAGGAACCTGCGCCGCGCAGTCCTCCAGCTGGTACGATGGCCCTCCGCCATGCACACGTGCTGACCGTAATGCTGACATGAATTCAGTTCCTGCTGCATCTACTGCCGCCCCTCCAATTCCAGGCGGGCGACCTGTCCCTCCGCCTATCCCAATTGATTGTATGTATTCATTTCTGACTACCCAAGGACTATTGTGCTAACAACATACAGCACGACCTCCTCCTGCTACGCCCGCACCCCCAAGTGAAGGCTCCGAATCTGGTGATGAGGCCTCAGATGTAGGCGAGCCTCTGGACACGCCTAGAGGTGAGGAGCCCCCTGCGACTAGGGCGCCGCCACCTCTGCCTCCTATCAGTGCCCCAGCACCGCCTGTGCCTACCTCTCCTCGAATGCCGACATCTCCTAAGTTCCATGACGATGAGGACACGCCCCTGTCGCCTACAAATAAGCGAGCTAGTCGGCCTCCGCCACCCGTCCCCGGGACTGCTCCTGCGCCTCCGTCACAGACTCGGCCACCTCCACCGCCTCCACCTGGTGGCCTGCCAAAGACTTCCACAGCCGACGACCAGTTGGATGATGAAAACGAAGAAGTCACAGAGTATGAAGGGGACTATGATACTGACATTGCTTCCTCCGTTCCCCACAAAGATGCTTTGAAGGCTCACGGACGAGAGTCTAGCTTCGAGGATACGTTCTCGATGACCTCTCCAAAGGACGCGCCCCCTTCTCTTCCGCCTCCGATACCGTCGGCTGCTGCTCCTAGGGCCCCTCCCCCAGTACCAAGTCAGCCGCCGCCGGATAGTCGCACAGATGCTCGGAAGTCTGTCGACGCTCCTCGCGTGGCCCCTCCCCCGCCGCCACCACCGTCTAAGGAGGTTGAGCAGGACGACGACTATGACCCCTACAACTACAATGCCACGTCATCCAAGGCAAGTGTGATGCCAGGTGTCCCTCAGCATGCACCTCCACCTCCGGCACGCCCCTCAGACGATGCATATGCCGCTGGCGAGTCATCGCAGCAGGCTTTCTCGGAGCAGAGAGGTCCTCCTGCGCCTTCAGCAGGTCGTCCGCCGGTCACACACCGCGGCTCCCTGGATATTCGTCCCGGTCGCCGATCAATGGATATGCTCGGCAGGCCGTCTATGGAGTCTGGCTTTGTTGCCAATGACGTTGACCTGGCTCCTCAGTCTGGATGGTGGCTGCAGCCAAAGGGTCTGCCGCCTCAGTTGCAGGGTCGTAAAGACATATTCTACGAGTCGGAGGAATCCCAGTCCATGCAACGTGGAGTCAAGGCGACTGTGACGAGAGACATCTATGTGTTGTTCCAAGACTACTCACAGACGGTCATCACAGTGCGCTTCGATCCTCAGGACGCAAACGACGTGCATTTGGAGCAACGCCATGAAAGCCCGCCCCGCAGCCTGCGTCAAGATCAGCTAGAGGAATCTTATGAGCGCTTTGGCCGACCCATCTCTGATGCTGTCACCGGAAAGAAGGACACCGTCATTGGAGATGGTACGCCACAAGGGCTTGTTCTCGAATTGCTCAAGCCACTGAACGACGCCCTCCTGCCTGTCGGTACTCGGGCTTACGGTGCACTCGTCTACTCCAACCTGGCCAATGCCAGCACCACACAAACCGATCAAATCCGGCCCGGCGACATTATCAGCATTCGTAATGCCAAATTCCAGGGCAAGCACGGGCCTATGCACGCGAAGTACAGCGTGGAAGTAGGCAAGCCGGATCACGTGGGCGTTGTGGCAGAGTGGGATGGTACGAAGAAGAAAGTCCGCGTTTGGGAGCAGGGGCGTGAGAGCAAGAAGGTCAAGATCGAGAGCTTCAAGCTGGACGACCTTCGCAGCGGCGAGGTCAAGATCTGGCGTGTCATGCCACGCAGCTGGGTTGGCTGGGAGGGTCAGAATTAGGAAATGGGCCAACCGTCGATGCCGTTGAGATGTACGGGGAAATGGTGTCCTGGATGCGTC